TATTATATACTGTATTGAGTATATCAAATCATAACTTAAGCTTAATAATACTGTATAACTTGAAGTTATTAGTATATAACTGTAATTATAAATTTAATACTCAAATAAAAAGTTATATGAAATTTTAATCAATTATAAGCAAAAAATATTACATAATATAATGGCTATTATCACTACTAAAGTAACTTTTGCTGACAATAAAGAATCGCCTGTAATCACAACAACCGTCGCGAACAACAATAATACCGGAGCCGATACCCTAACCACTAACACAACTACACCTAAGCCTAACAATAGCTTAAACGTTTGCAATACCGTTAATATCGGTAAATATATATATAAAGTTTGCTTAAAGTTTGCTAAAAGTTTGTAAAAAATAGATGTGCACTAGGTTAATTTTGTATTATAACTTTTATAATAGTAATAATAATATACAGTAATATAATAATTATTTTTCTTTATTTTTGATGATAAATGTCTCTAAATTTTTAGGTTTCATTATACATGTAGTAATTTTGTTGGTATTATTAACTGTTGTTGTCGTTGATTATTATAAATATGAAACATTCAACTGGATTTGTGCCGTCTTTTTATTGATACTAATCATACCTATTCTAGATTTAAAACAAGAAAATGAGACTCAAATATCCGCCGCCGACGACACCATCACTGACGACGCCATCCCTGTTGACGACAGTCCGCTATTGTCGACCAAAGATGACTTATATATTGTGTAATCATATCTATAGTATACAAGTAATACTTTATATATTTAAATCAAGGGCTAAACAAGGTTTTTAGATTTTAGGGTGGAGTCAAATGGAAAAAATCTGGGGGTATAGGGTAAGGAGCCATTTTTTTTCATTAAGGAGCCATTCTTTATTTTAGCCATACCCCACCCCCTACTCTTTTCTTAACCCTGAGTTAAATATTTAAATAAAGTATCAATATAAATAATTAATTAAATATTTTCATTTTAATCCAAAAAATTATAATAAATCATATTATTCCTAATATTTCTTTAACTAACAAATAAATTTATTTTATAAATTAATAATATTTTAATTTAATTTAATAAAATACACGTTATCTATAAATTTAAATTATAATAATACTGACTTTCATTAATAATAAATTGTTAAATAAATTAATTTTTTTTGTTACATTTAAACTTAAATAATATAATAATAATAAAATATTTTGGCTGTCTAATATTATGTTTGCATTTCTAATGTAATTCAATTCAATTATATATATTTTTTTACTACTGTAATTTAATTTTATTAAAAAATTAGTTAAAATCAAAATGTAATTATTTTTTTATTCTAATAAATAATATATATTTACCATTTTTTAAAAAATGCTATCTTATTATCGAGTACCTAATATTTTTTTAAAAAGTTTCTTGTATATTATATTGATTGTTTTGCTTGTTTATATATAATATATATTTAAAAAGACTTATAGTTTCATATGGTGGGATCATAGAGTTTGAAAAATTAGAGTGACCAAATTATATTTTATTTGGAGTACTAAATAATAATACATACAAATTAGAAAAATAAAACTAATTTTGATAAATAACTTATTAATTAAATATAAATTTATTATTAAATTGATAAAAATAAAAAATTAAAGAAATTAGTAATGAATAAACATTTAAAAATTATATAATAAACAAAATACAATTTTCCTTTTTTTTTTTATTTTTGTTGGAAACTCTAAATTTTTATTTCAATGTTATTGAGCAATAACTATAGATTGAATGAAATAGCTTTATATGTATTAATGCTTCCCCTCCATGCTTACCCTTTTCCCATATCCACTATTGGTTAATCCCACCACTATATGAAACTATAAGTTTTATACTGATTTAAAGTATTTATTTATTTTTAAAAAATAAACATTTAGTTATAAACCTAAATACCATTCACCATAATCATTAAATATCACCTTAGACTATTAATTGTATTTAGTTTATTAGAATTTATTAATAATTAGAAATTTATTATCATTTTTAGCATCAAACAGTTATTTAATTTATTAGTTATTTAGTTTATTTTTTAAAAATTAATAATTTTATTAATTGTAATAAATTATTAAAAGTTATAAAATATTTTAGTTTAATATGTTATAAGTTATTATTAATTTAGATAATAATTCTAATGATTGTATTATAATTAGATCACTTTAACTGCAATTAAATATTTTTTAATTTAAACTTAAAAATTATAATTATAATAATATTGAATAATAAAATATCTAAGCAATCTATTAGTATTAGTATCTATTTTTAATGTATTTATTAAATTATTTTTTATACTGGCCAATTAAGACAAATAAGGTAATTTTATTTTATTAAAAAATTAATTATTATTATTTTAAATCAAAATGTAGTTAATATTTTATAAAATAAAATATTTAATATTAACAAACTCTAGAAAAATGCTATCTTGTATTATCCAGTGATTTATATATATACAGTATATTGTATTTTTTAAAATAAAAAAGGTTACCTGGATATTATATTGATTGTTTTGTTTCTATATATATATTTATAAATTTATATATACTTTTTATAAACATAAAATGTATAATATTTTACTTTACTATAAGAAATAATATTATAAATTTATTATAATATATTCTATCTATTTGTTGTTTAAATTGATAAAATGACATAAACAATTATTGAACATTTTATACATCATAATATCTACAGTTAAAAATGGGTATTACAGGTAATTAATTTATCATTTTAAATATATTTATATTTTAAATATTTTGCTAACTATAATATTATTGTAATTATTATTATTTTGTTTGTTTGTTTGTATTTCCTTTAACAGAAACTATATTTATGACATTATTGGCCATATTTGTTGCTATTATAGGAATTGATTATTACATAAACGATAGTTTTAATGAAGTATTTGGTATATTTTTATTTATTATATTAGCTATTTATATGAGAATAGTATCGCCACTATTACCGAAAAAGTGGTCAGAAAGAGAGCGGTCGCCGTCGCCGTCGCCACCGATCATTGAGGACAGTTCGCTGCCCTTAACTGCTAATGATTTATAATTTTGTTTTGTTTTTGAATGTAATATATAAGTTAATTAAATTTTTATTTGAAATTATAATAATTATAGCTTTATTTATTTATATATACTTTAAATAACGATCTGAAATATCCATTAGCAGCTATTTCACATTAAAAAATAAATTCATATAAATATATTAATAAAAAGTAAAACAATTTAATAAATTATATTTTATTTTAGCATAAAATTGTATACTTGTCTATATTATGTTAATAAATTGATTTATTTAAGATGTGTTACTTAGATATTAAATTGATTTTTTGTTGTGTTTTGATATATTTTATGAAAATAAAAATTCAATATTTTGTTTTTAACACTTATTTCAATTTACACTCATTGTATTATAATACTTAAACTTGATGTTGTTGTTAATAAACGATAAAATTAAATTTTTAACTTGCTATTTAAATTTAACATACTATATTAATATATATTGATAATTACTGTATATATACACAAATTAAAAATGGATAATAAATGTAATTATAATATAACTTTTGAAATATTATTTTTTGATAATAAAAAACTGGTAGTTGCATTTATTATTATAAATATGGAAATTTATAATATATTATACTTTATATTTTTAATATTATTAACCACAATTAAAGCGGCCATAGAAAAAAGAGAGCCAATCATAAAAACTATTGTTAACAAAAAAATTGATAAACAATATTATGGTTATTAATAATCAATTACTCAATTAATAATTACAATATTTCTAAAATAATGTAATAAAAAATATATTATAATTTTATAAAATTAGATTAATATTCTATAAATAATATCTTAATTTAAATAATAACAATAATATTTACAATAATAAGATTATTATTTTCTACATTAAAATTTGTATTAATTTAATTTGTAATCTAATATCCATGTTTTTATTTTTAATATATTTATTAACTATTTAAATATTATAATATTTTATATAAAAAATAAACAGAAATTAAAATAATATTAAAATTATGATTTTATGACAAATACGGGGATGCAATATTATAATAGTTAAGACATAAACTTGTTATAATAAAATAATTTAGATTGTAATAAATATTTTTTTTAAATACAAATGCAAAAATTGTTATTTTATGTTAATAAATAAAGTATTTTAAATGTTACCTGAATATTAAATTGAATGTTTTGTTTGTCTATATATTTTAAGATTTATAACATCAAACAAACAATATATAATTTTTAAACATATATTTCAATTTATTATACTAGATATTAATATTGTATATCGTATAATATAAAAAATAATTTGTTATTTTTATATCATATACAAAGTTATAAATTTACATTACTGTACAGTATATGATATATTAAAATGGCTGATAAAAGTAAATAGATTTTATTGTTAATTTTATTTAATAACTTAATTTTCATGTAATTTATTTAATTGTTTTTTTTAATTTTAGATAAAACAATAATTATAATATTATTGTCTGTATTTGTTGCTATCGTTAGCATTGATTATTACATATATGAATGTTTCAATGAAGCTTATATTGTATTGTTATTATTAATATTAACAATTTATACAATTTTATATTATTACTATTGTGTTTGGATTTACAGACATATGATAAGGACAGCTAATATTATAATTACTAACCGATTAATTAATATATATTTTATTTAAAACCTTTTTAAAAAAAAAATTAATTCAATTAATATTATTGTTAATTCTATATAAAAATTAATAAATCTAACAAATTATAACTATTTACTAAACTTGGTATTTTTTATTTGTATTTAAATATATCCCAAATAAATTGATTTTACTAAATAAAATATATTTATTAAAAATTAATTTTCAGTAAACATGTTTTCAAAAAAAAAAAAAAAAWWATATTATTATTATTTAATATACTTTATTTTACTAGATTTTCAATAATTTTTACTATCATTTCCCTATCATTTGATCGCCTAATCCTATCGCCGATACGTCTCATCCTATCCGCCAAAGTCGAGTCGTCCGCCAGTTTGTCGACAGACTGGACCAGCTCTTCATCACTGCATTCAAACGGATTACATCTCAAACCGAGTCCCGACTCTTGAACTCTCTGTGCGTTATCAAACTGATCGGCAAACAGTGGCATAACTAACATAGGTTTACCGTAATAACAACATTCGGTAACTGTATTGTTACCGCCGTGAGTAATGACCAGATCGACCAGCGGTAGGATTGCCAACTGTGGCAGTGATTCGTTGCCCCACATGTTGTCCGGTAAGTCATACTTGTAATGTAGTGGACCTTTGGTAACGATAAACTTGTGCCGCGATTTGCCTAAAATATTGGTCAAACGTGTCATTAGCTCGATGTGTGAGCACCCAAGTGAACCCATCGATAGATACACCAGTCTTCCCGGTCTGTCCCTTAGTTTGGCCGGTATGTCAAAAGTGTCGCCAGTGGTCCGTACAATACAATCAATTCGTCGCCAGTTTTCAGGCAACGGCTGTACCTCTCGATAGTCTAGCTCTTCGGGTGTCATATATATGTTCAGATAACTAGAAACGGGATGTATGCAAGTGTTGGTTGTGTTTGAGGTCACTGGTGTGAGTGCGGCACCGTATGATTGATACCATTTGTTGCATTTATGGTACAATTTTTCAAATACTTTATCTAAATTTTCTCGATGTTTTGGCCAATCATTTGTGTCATTAGTTGGTAAACCTATAATAATGGATGAAACAATAATAATAATTAGATACCGGTGCTGCAGTATATTATAGAAATATGTCCTGTAGCCTACAGGCCCTGTAGGCAACCTACCTAACCACGCGGGTGGCAATTGGTCGCTACTAAGATTTGAATTAAGTATCATAAGTGGTGCAGCCGAATACAACCAAACCCAAGGTATACCACTGTTGGTGGTCAGTACGGGTGAATTAATATATGAGTCGACAACAATAACATCGGGTTTGACATCGGCAACAATACGCTTATATATCTGATCTCTGGCCATCAGTACATCGCACAGCTCGTCAAACAATCCGACATACGTTTTGGCCACATTTAGCGGACACTCTTTGAATACCTGTGCATTGCGGGCAACAAAATTGTTTTCACGTTTTGCCCGCATCTTATCCTCGGTCATCGGTGGCGGCTGTAGTTGTGTCAGACTAACACCGTCGTTGATTTTGTCCACATTTGCAGTCAACGATTGTACTGCAAAGCCATACTTTGTCAACTGGTCGACAAAAAAGTCGTCGACGGCAAACACACACCAATGACCGGCCTCTCTGAGGCTATCGGCCAAACCGTGACAGGCATTGATGTGACCCAAACCGTCTAACGGCACGAATAGCACAGTTAGCATTTTTTATAAAAAAAATTATATCAATATTTATTATTGTCCATATAAGTTATAAAGTTATATAATATAATAATGTTTATATGTAAACAAAATTATATACAAAAAAATGTGTTTATTTACCGGTAATAATAATAATAAAACTAAATTTTTATGTATTTTATTTATCAAAGAGATTAAACTAATGATATTATATTTATATAGTAATATTGTATTGAAGGCTATAATATACTAACTATAATAATGTATAGTATTTTTTTATAACTATTGATATTTTCTAATTGTAATAAAGTACAGTAAAACTTGCAAGGTTAAATTATTAAACAATTATAATTTATATGATATTTGACTTATAATCTAATAATGTATTAGTATTAATAACGGTATTAATAATATTTTTAAAAAATGATAAATATTGATTGTATGAGTTATTAGCTTTTTTATTATACATAATTCAGTCATATTGATAATACTAAACAAATAAATTATTAATTAAATAATTACAAATAAAATATTAACAAATAAAATATTTTCAATTGAAAAATATTATATACAGTAGTTGATTAATTTACAGTAATAATATTTTTTTAAACTAAATAAACTAGTTAATAAAAACATTATTTTGAAATTTATAAATTTTCTTTTTTTTATTCAAAAATAAAATATATTTTTATGTACTGTCTATAAATAAATATATAATGACTAACATAAAAACAAATAATAATTTACTTATATAATTTTACCATGACAATAATCATCTATTAGCAACAAAAAAATAATTGCCATTGTTTTATTTGTTTATTTATTTACTAATATTATTATTATTATTATTATAACTAATATATTGTTAATTGTAACCCAAAAAAACAAATAATTAATTTTCAGTCATGCCATTTCATAAATACTTATCATTTTATTTCATAATAATAATTATTATTATAAATACTATACTATTATCACACATTAATTGCAACTATAATTTTTTGTATACTACTAATACTAAAAATAATAATAATAATAATGAAAAAGTTGACAAACATTTAGTTGAATGTATCAATCATATGGACTGTTTGGACATCAATATGGATTGTATTGATAGTCAGTGTCGGTGCCATAATAACTACAGTTTCGATATCAACGACAGACGCTGTAAACAATTTATTTGTTTGATTAATCAGGACTGTCAGGAACAGGATGTCCAGCGGCTATGCCTATTGGGCCAGTGTTTGTGTGCCGGCGACCTATTGGTCGATTCAGTGACCAAACTGTGTATTGAAAGACCCGGTTATGACTATACTTGGCTCTGGTTTTTGGTAATTTTGTTTCCATCAGTTGCACTATCGGTCCACGGGTTGTGTCAAAAGCATCGGATATATCGTCAAATACAACGACAACAACAAAATATAAATTAATTTATAACTTAAATAATATAATTAAAACTACTTATATTATGCTTTGTAAATAATATAGAATTTTAATATTAATATATTTTATACTTTTTTATTTATTGTCTTTTTATTTTTTTATTATTTTTATTTATTTTTAATCAAAAAAATATAAGATTATTTATGTTTTTAATAAACTAATATTTTTACAATTAATTATATATTGTCATTTATTAATTATCTATTTAATATCTCTATTAATTGACTTAATATTTAAGAATTATGGATTATTAGTACATAAAAATTCTGAATAAAATGTTTTAAAAATAAATTTTTATGTGATAATAATTATATATATATATATAATGTCATTTAAAAACATTAATTTGTTAATTAGTTATAATTGATTAAAAAAACAATTTTCATTTTCATTAATTCATATACAGTATACTAAATTTTTCCACAGTAGTTAAGTAACATTAATTGATAATATCAACTAATATTTTTATTGGAAAATTTTGTTTTAAAAATTAAAATATAAGAGTTATAATCGTTTGTTGTTATCGTTAATATTGTGACTTTGTTTTGTGTGTTTGTATGACTTTTTTTAGGTGAGTGAGACAATAAAGACAGTGATAGAGAGAGAGAGAGAGAGAGAGAGAGAGAGAGAGAGAGAGAGAGAGAGAGAGAGAGAGAGAGAGAGAGAGAGAGAGAGAGAGAAAGAGAAAGAGAAAGAGAGAATAATTTATTTTAAATATAATATGCAAATTTTAACAAAAATATTAGTTAGTTTTTTAAAACAAAAATAAAACAAATAATAAAAAAATTAAAGCAATATCTTTGAAGGCTCTTGTTTTGTGTGTATGTGTCTGTATATATGTAAAGGTTATATAACATGAAAATAATTTGTATTTAAGTAAATACTATAACGAGTTTGACGTAAATATATAAACGACACACTATTATATGTATTATTATATATATAATAATAATAATAATAATAATACCACTGATTATACATAAAGATATTGAATGTATATATCATATAAGACAACACACACTCACTCACGCACACACACACACACACWCACWCACRCACACACACACTCACTTGAAAGAGGTTTTTAACCATATTATATGCCGTAATCATTGATGTAATAAAATATTTAGTTCAAGTTTATCCTTACTTTTAGTTTTTTGCAGTACAGGACATACTATGATATAATATTATACAAAAAAAAGTTGAATTATAGCATTAAAAAAGGTGTAAAGGTTTTTTTGTAATACATACACAACAAAACTTAAATTTAATATTTATATATAAAATAAACTTTTTTCCCACTATATGTTCAATGAAAGGAAAACACTTAAAATTGAAGGGAATTTCTCCCTTTTATTTGATTTTATGTCTCATTCACACTTGAAAAATCAAAGTTAACATTGATTTTAAAAAAAAAATATATATATATAAATTTTATATACTTATAATAAAATGGGAAAAAATATTTATTTATTTATTTTTTGAAAAATATATTTTTATTATTTACAAAAATCCATATGTGTATTTTTCATTATATATATAATTTCATGTTTTAGAAATTAATAATCACATTTCAAATTAGTAGCTTAAACTGTAAACACATACACATATCGTCATAAACTATTATTATATATATATATATTTATAAATTTAATATTAATAATTAAATATAATAATATATATTTAGTGTTTTTTTATTAATTTATTATTAATAAAATTAATAATGTTAAAATTGTGTTAAATAAAATATGTCAAAAAGTAAATCAATATTGTTTAATTCAATTTGTGCTTGCTACAATACGATTACCTATTTTCTAGCTTTTCTATTTAATTATCATGATAAATTTTATAGACATCTATTTAGGCAATTAAAATATTTACTAGATTTCAATGATTTCCATAGAATTGCCAAAATTTGTCATGTAAGTAATTTTTTAAGTTATTATTATTATTTTTTTAAATTTCAAATATATATCATTTTATTGCTGTTAATTTTCAGATATATAAATATGATAGTATTGTAATCAAATTTATTATTAAATATTGTATTGATAATCAATTCTATGATATGCTTGATAAATTGTATCAAGCAAAATTAATAAATGTCAACAGTGAAATTGATCAATATGAATCGCGTACTATTCACCTAGCTGCTAAATTGTATGATAATACATTGATAAATTTATTACTTAAAAATGGTAAGTAAATAATTTTATTTGTTTATATTATTAATTAAATAAGTTTAAAATTATAGTAGAAATCTGAAAAATTAGTTATTCCTATTATATATATTTAAATAATTTTTTTATAATAAATAAATAATATTATATTTTATGTTAGTATTGGTTAATTTAATTTTAAAAAATGAAATATATTTAACTATTATTAGTTGATTTTTTTATATACTAAAAATGTTATACCTTTCCGATCTAAATTAGGTGCCAACATAAATGTCATTGACATTAACGGCAATACACCTTTACACGTGTTAGTACAGGCGCTCAACGATTGTGATATAAATAATAATAATAACTTAAAAACAGACAAATTTCAAAAAATTATTAAATGTTTAAATTCAATGATTATCTATTTAAACAAATATAACGGAAAAACTGATATAAAACAGGTATAAATAATTATATTGTTATATATTGTTATATTTTAAATAATTTATTATCCTATATTTAATTATATAGTATTAATCTAAAAAATAACTAACAATTATTTTAAACATTTTTTGTTGTGTATGAATCATATATTAATTTACTATTTTATTATTATTAATGTAATTAGTTAATAAAATATTTTAATATAATACTTAAAAATTATATATTTCCATACAATACATGAAAACAAAAAAAAACTTAAATCTATTCATTAATAAATTATATATTTTTATTTATTTGTATAATAATAATGTTATCTAGATAAATTTTCTAAATACACAAAACAATTTTGGCAAAACTGTTTTACACTATGCCGTCATCAATGCTAATAATATGAATGTCGACTATGTATTAGAAATTATCGGCCAATTTATCGACAACGAGATTGATGTAGACATTGAAGACTCAAATCATAAGACAGCCCTGTATTATATACTCGACAAACATGATGTCCGACAATTGCAAACAATTATCGATAAGCTATTAGCAGCCAAATGTGATACACTTAACATCTATGAAGTACATGGTTTGCCACATCAGTACAGACAACAGTTTATGTCACTGAAAAACATGTGCCGTACATACCTGTCGAGGACATATCCCACGGTTGTGACGTCCAATTTGATACATAAGCTTGAGTTACCCAATGAGCTAAATGTATTTTGCAGGAAAAAGTTAGTTAAATTTTAATTATAATTTTTTTTGTTATAAAAAATATTTATATATAGTTAATTAAAATTCATATTATAATTTTATTTGATAAATAATAAGTCAGTCCTCTACAGTATTATATAAAATTGAAAAAATAAATAAATAATTTATTGTATCAAATTTTCTAATTTATTTTTAAATTTTTGTTTTGTTAGTTTAATGTATGAATTATGATAATAAAAATTTTCAGTATAATTATAAGTTTTTAATGTTATGTAATTTTTATTTATTCACTTTCTATATTAAATTAATAAATATTAATATAATAAAAAATATATTTGTTTTTTTCGTAATTAATTACCGTAATTAAAATTTATCTAAATAAACATTTTATTTTCACTATAATTAACTTTTAGTTTTTAATTTTATGTAAATATTATAACTACCGGTAAACAAGTTTAGATAAAAATGTTAAAAATTTTATTAATAAGAATACAAAATATAATTTCCTTAAATTTTTTGAATTAAATAATTTAATTTTAGATTTTTATTAAAAATTAAGTCTAAATTTTATTATTAATAATTCAATGATATATACAAATGATTTACTTTTCATTTAAATAGATAAACAAACATATTTTTGTACACATTTTTTAATCACTAAAATAGAATATCGAAAAATAATTAATTAATAATCAAATTAATAATTAAAATTTTGTTTAAAAAACGATATTATTTATATAGAATACTAAACTTATTTATAAATAATAAATTAAAATAAACATAATTTAACATCATCATTTTTTTAAAGCGCTAATCAATTAAGATAAAAAAAATCAAAAGTTTTAGATAAGCTATTAATAAAAACATAACAAAAAAAACTTTCAATTAATTTTAATTTGTATCGGTTTGCGTCCCTTAACGGCAATCATATCGATAACCACTTTGGGCTCATCTATATTATCGACGTCAACGACAACAGCATTACCTCCGCTGACATCCAATCCATGATTGTCAGCACCGGTAGGTATATTCGAATCGGTTTTAAGTGTTAGTTTGCGTCGAGTATTACGTTTTGCTGATAACGTTGTGGTCATGGAATCATTGTTGACTAATCCGACATCGGAACCATCCGAACGACCTACTGATCCGCCACCGGTGCTCCTGTTTTGACGTTTAGCCCGTCGACCCAATTGAGGAAATTCGTGTTTTCGGCGAATATGATGCCGAAGATCGTCTTTACGGAAAAATTTCGACTCACAGTTCTCGTGTTCGCAAACATACGAGCGCTCCGAGCAATGAGTTTCACGTTTATGACGAGCCAAGTCTGTAATAATAATAATAAATTATTAATTCAAATAAAAAACATTTTAATTAAATAAAAACATATCGTATTTATAAAATCTTTATACATTATTACCGGTAAAACAATTTTAAATACCAATAATAATAATAACTGTATGATAACTACCAATTACCGTATATGTGAATAATAAAAACTAAAATCTAACTTAAATAAGTAAATTAAAAATATATAACAATGTTATGTAATTATGTACGCACCAGTAGGTCTGGTAAAGGTAGCCACACAGTCTTCTATATCGCATTTATGAGGTCGGATACCAGTGTGCTTTAACTTATGTGTACGGAGAGCATAGGGAGCCAAAAATGATTTATCACAACCTTAGCAAACAAACAAAAACACAATATAATATAAACACCATTTCTACTAATTAAGGCTCCGGGAGACACATACCTGGCCAATCACATTTGTGCGGTTTTTCGCCCGTATGACAGGCACGCCGATGATTCTTCAACAATTTATACGTATTGAACCTCCACTGACAGTCGGGCCAATCGCAAGCAAACTGTTTGTCGGCACTATGTATACGCCGGTGCTCTTTAATACTACCCGGATCGGAGCAGCTGGTCATAGCAAGAAAAAAACGATAGATATTAAACCATTTTGATAATCAGGTGCGAGATAAACGATATAACTAAGAGATAACACACACCTGTATTCGCATCCATTAAAATCGCATTTAAACGGCTTCTCACCCGTATGTATGCGATAATGTTTTTGATAGTTTCCCGAACTATCTGTTGAGTAGACACAGCCCTCCCAATCGCATCGGAACCGTTTGAGGCCAGGAGTGGCCGTCAAGTCAGCTATTATTTAATAAAAAAATAGATAATACTTGTTAGCACTCACTGTAAGATCAAAATAATAATTTTCAATACCTTTCCTCCTATTTCGCGACTTTTTTACTGACGAAACTGCAGCGCTATCCGTGGCGTTCATGACATGAGTGGTGTAGACACTGGCGTTAAGATCACCATCAGTAGCCGCACGGGTCGTAGTAGTTGTAATAACTACCTGACCGTCGGGTAACTGATGAAACACATGCTGAACGCCGTCATCTGTGGTAAGTGTTTGACCGGTTGATATGATCGAGTGATTGTCGTCAAGTGTGACCGCTGCCAGTACATCGGTGGCCACTATCGATGTTTGAGAAGTAGTAGCATCGACCAGAGAATTATCATCGATAGTATTATGGGTGGTCAGTTCGGCGATGGCACAGTTAGCACCAGTACTAGTAGTCGTCGTCGTCGACATCAGTTCATCCGTTTGCATGTCGTGAGCACTTCCGCCGCCAACGACACCATTGTTGTTGTTTTCTTCACAATCGTTGTTCGCCTCATTGTCTTCATCCTCTTCGTCTTCGTCGTCCTCATCGAACTCAACTTTATTTAATAGATACTTCAGATGACAATAGTCGGCATCGAGTCGTTGAAGTTCCCGTTCGAACGGAACCAATTGGTCGGCAACTGTGCTAACTTTGGCGGCCGTATCGATGATTGTCATCTTTTGCTCCAAAGCCAACTTAATACACTCCAGTGTTGACATCAATCTCTTGAGCAGCCGATTGGACTTTTCGAGGACATCGTTTTCGGTCTCCAAATGTTGAACATTGGCCAACAAGTGGTCGTACGACTCTTTCATCGATACAAACGATTGGTAGTCAATAATACAATCCATTTGTTTTTATATTTGGCCGCCGATTGTCAATATATTTATGTTGGTTATAGCGGTGATGATGACTGTGTCTGTGATTTTATATGGTCACTACCGCCGAGTGATGGGTAAAATAGTGGACAACATTTTCAACTAATTAATTGATTGATTTGTTTGTTTAACTTTGGATTATATTTTGTGTTAATATTAATAATAATAACAAACTCTTTATATGTTTTGACTATAAATATGAGTGAAAGTCAATAAATAATTGATAATAAAAATAATAATTCAATACATTGTTGTTGTGTGTGTTTATTAGGGCATCAATTTAGGGCCTATTTTATATTATAAAATATACATATAAAATCATATGTTTTTCATAACTATGTAAAAGTACATGTTTTTCGGTTTAAATAACTGTTTGTATATTTTCTCTGTATTTATAAATTATTTTTTGTTTGTTAAAAAACATAAACATTTGAGGAATTATTAGTTCAATAATAATGTGATTATAGTATTATTAATGTTATTATTATTATTGGTTACTGTATTACTAGTGTAACACTACTACTACTACAACAGCAATACATTGCTATCAAAAAATTAATAGCAAATGTTTGTCACAACAAACAAAAAAACATTAACTAATAACTTGTTGGTCACTACCGCTAAATATATCTGTCTGTCCATTTAGTTAGTGATATATCACGCGAGAGAGAGAGGAGGAACCGTATCAAACGGGTGAGAAAAAAAACCCGTAACCCCAGACACCACCCGATAACATCCGACACCACCGCCGACTACGCACACATACACACACAATGGCCGGCACACCGATGGTGGACATAGTAATGGTCGATCGGGTCAGCTTTGAACAAATGAAAATCGAGTCCGACCAGTATCGGCAACGGGTGCACGAACTGGAGCGAGAGTGCGACCAAACTCGCAACGAATTGCAGACATTGCGCCGACTGTGCGATGTCCTCGAACAGGTCAAGCTATACAATGACAAACTAGTCCAATGTGTTCGCCAACAGTTCAATATTGCCGAAACACCGTTCGATCGCGATCTGGCCATACTTGACGACCAGTATCAGTCTATTAAGACAACTGTATTGCCGCAACAGTTTACCGGTCTATTGAATACGGCTACAGATTTAAATGGTACCGATCAGACCACCAGTAGTGTAACATCGGTTGGAGGTCATCACGAGATTGTGTTGACCACCAGCTGTGTTAGCGATCATTTGTGGTCGTCGACGACGACTGGAGTAAACAGTTCGACGGCTGTAGTGGTGACCGATGACGGACATCATCATCACTTAGACGCTGCCACAAGTTATCTCTGTGCCGATGAAGAACTCGATGCCAACAGTCTGGCCGATAGTAGTTGCGATGTTAGTCATGTGATGATTACCGGCGGCCACCACAGCGGCGGAGTTGCTGATGACACAGATTTTATGATCAGCGGTCTGTCACGCGTAGGCAGTGGCGGCACAAAACGTACTAAAGTTACCGCCAAACGTGGCAAAGGTATGTCAAAGCTTTAGTTGTATCGCGAAGAGTGAACAGTTAGCTGTCAATTGTTTGTCTGATTTTTTTTATTTGTTTAGCCAAAACTGTGACCGCCGACGGAGAAAAACGTTTTAAGTGTACGTGGAGTGGCTGTCAATACGCAACTGATAATCGGGGAAACTTTCAGAAGCACTATCGCATTCATACGGGAGAAAAACCGTATAAGTGTCCGCACGAGGGCTGTCAGTATAGGTCAGTATATGCTTTTAGAAAGTATCGATCAATTAATTTATATTTGTTTGTTGGGACAGTTGTTCGGATCCGGCCCGTTTTCGTGAACATAAACTGATACATTCAACCGAAAAGGGCTACGTGTGCGAGTGGCCCGGCTGTACGTGGCGTTTCAAGACACACAAACTACTCAAAAATCATGTCAAAGCTTGTCATACTGGCGAAAAACCTCATAAGTGCGAGTGGCCAGGTAGGTTTGAGCTGTTATATGATACTACTACTACTACGGTACAGTAGTACTAGTAGTAGTAGATACTATGGTATACTGTAAGTTATTTTTTCTAATTATGTTTATCGTATAATAGGTTGTGAAAAACAATTTCTCAACAAATACGAGGTCAGGGATCACATGAGACAGCATACTGGCGATCGTCCATTCAAATGCGACTTTCCCGACTGTAACGGTGCATTTGCCCGGAGCAATACACTCACCCAACATATCCGTGAAGTACATTGTTTTCGCAAACAATATTTCTGTGATTATAGCGACTGCGATGCCCGATACGATTGTGTCGATGATCTGAAACAACATATCCGCGAACGACATCCGAAAACTATTAGTGACGAGACCACCACTACCAGTGCCAACACAATCATTGATGAAACCATCATTGCCGACACCGTCAACAACAATATTAGTGATGTTGATGACGATGTTGTTATAGGTGGTGATAATTCCGGTGTCACTATTAATGAGAACAATGCTAATAATATCACTGACACTAATAATAGTTTAGATAATAACAATAGTAATAACGTTGATATTGATGTTGACAATAACAATACTAATACTATCAATAGTATTACAGATGATAGTGTTGTTTTAGTTGCTGATACTGAGTGTGATAAAAATCCACAAAAAGTGATTAACAAAAATAATAATAATCGAAAAAGAAATAATAATAATAATAATAAGACATCAAAAGTGATTGATTTAAATAAAACGAAAAAACTTAAATTTAAAAAATAATGTGTTTTTTATATATTTAATTACCGTAAATAAAATTTTTTTTATTTGTTTTTGAAATTTAAAAATATAATACTGTATATGTGTTAATTTTAACTATATAATTTATAATACTGTATTATATTGTACAGTATATTTTTATTTGCTTTACCATAAATTATATATACCGGTGTATATATATATAAAGTTTATATACCCAGTATATATACCATATATGAAATAATATTGATTGTATAAAATTAATAAACTAAACTGTATATTTTGTAATTACAGTATATGTAAATAATAGGAGGAATGTGTGATTTTACACACAAAAAAAACTATAATTAAATAAATATTTAATTAAAAAACTTCTAAAGTCAAATTAATCAAGATTAAATATTCAAATAAATTGAACAATATTACCGATTATTAATTATTTTATTAATATTATTAAATAATATGTTTGATTATGCATTAACTGTTAAAATTGAATTTTTATTGAAAAATATTTTTTTAAAATTTATTATATTATAAATACTGTACAATTAATTAAAAATTGATATTATCATCATATAAATGAGTCAATGAAAAACGGCTTAATAATAATAAAAATAATAAATTAGTTTCAAAAATGTTATCAATTGTCTTAATTTGTCGTAAAAAAATAATATTATCCTAAAATATAAAAAAAGTTTGAATTATCTTAATGTAAAAACTTCTTGACCACCAGTATTATCATAGTTATTGATATTATTTTTATTATTATCATTATTACTATTACTACTATCACTATTATTTATGAAAACATATTTTTTATTAGTTTTCAATTTTCTTTTAAAACACAATTTATTATTAGTATCACTATTACTGGCGGCAAAACAGCAACCAATTGATGCAATAATACTATTACTTCTGAATAGTTTGTAATTGGATTTCATAATCAATAGCAAGACTGCTATTATACGTAGTCCGACAAAAACCAGTAGCAAATTGCGTACATTTATCCAGAATACTTGGTCACCGTTGCCGGCAATCGACAGGCGCTGCAATACTGATGACTGCCATCCCGGAGGGCATCGATCGAAACCGTATATAACTATCATAACGCACTCGAATGTATGCCTCAAATAGGATACATCAGCTAGACTTTGAACCGGAACGGGAAACTCGTGGATCGGTATGATAATGTTGGCCAATATCATCATCGAATAGTGTATGCCAAACGAAGCTACCAGTGCCATCTTACTGTCCTGGTTGAATATGATGCCGGCTATGTGGCCGACACTTTGCGAGCACAGAGTGGACACCGATACAAAGGCCAGATATGAGCCGTACTTGAGCCACGATTGATACTTATTCATTATGGCTATGAATGGCATCAGTGTTAGGATAACTGGCCAGATATCGACTGTTGATTTTGACCAATAGTAAGCACCGGAACTGTACCAACCTGTTGATAGATATGGGTGTATTAGAGATATGTAAATATATTTAAATGCATATAATTTTGTTTGTAACAAAAATGGATTATATGACTACTAGTCAATCATTTTACATACCGTTCCTCTGTTCATTGATAAACACATTGACATTAGTGGTAAACGTCAACGGCGTGACAACAATCTGCAGATATGTGACAAGTGTTGTCAATACGATATGATATTTGATGTTTAGTGAGATCAGACTCTCATCGTTGATCACATCCAGATTACAGGTGCGACCATCAATCGTACCGTTACCATAATCACTACCACCACCACCCGTCCAATTGGCTGGCATACAACCGTCGGGAACGACCATATCTTCGTTTAGTGAACGAGAAAACGGTAGAGCAATAAATGTGACAACAAAAAACTGTATGACCAGTGACTTCCATTGGGACAGATATGTGATGCGCATTGTCCTCAACAGTAGATACCAGAAGTCAATTATCTGGAAAATTTTGTGTCTGGTTTGCAGCGAATTGTTTCCATTGACGGACATGTGATTACTAGTGTTGCGACAAAACTCGCGTAACTCATCTCTGGCCATCATTTGTTTTGTGTGCATAGATTGGATGTGTTCGTTGGTCAGGCCATCGGATGCGTGTTTGAGTACTACTTCAATGGGTGCCTCATAGTCGGCACATACCAGTCCACAGTCGACCAACCGTTCCCGTAGTCGGTGAGGTTCTCCCGAATAGAGTGTGTGACCGCCTTTTGCCAGCACATGGATGGCGTCAAACATAAGGAACAGTTCGTTATTTGGCTGATGTATGGAAGCGATGATTGATATACGATGCTTACGGGTTAGCGATTTCAAACATTTTATTACCTTTTAAGTAAATTATAAGCATAATTAAAATTTCAAAAAACAAATCTAATATAAACAAATTAAAAATAGATTTATGGTATTTAATAATTATAAAGTTGTCCAGTCATTTGCTAAATTAATTATATAAATATATATTACCGCAAATATTCAATAGTTAAAATAGTGTAAATTATTTTTTTAATTTGTTTAAATTATAGTTCAAAAAATATAGGGGATATTATCGGAAACACTAACCACTTCGGCGGCATCGCTGTCCAAACCACTGGTCGGCTCATCGATACACAACACGTTTGGCTTTATATAGGATGTAAGTTCAGCTGCAATGACCAGCCGTTTACGTTCGCCACCGCTACACCTTTCGACTGGTGTGTCGGCTATATTGCCGATCATCAGTTCATCCATAAGCTCGTCGATTGTCGATCGGGTCCAACCGTTATGACCACAACCGGCAAAATGTTGACTGTTCTTCAATCGTGAGGCATACAGAAGCGCCTGGCGTGCAGTCAGACCGTCCAACAGATGTTCTCCAGTGTTTTGTGTGATAAAACAGGCGAGTATTGGTTCGTCAGAGTTTGTGTATATTTCGCTACCCAGGCTCAGGGGTCTAGTCTGACGGCCATTCAGACAACGCATTAGACTAGTCTTACCCGAACCGCTCGGACCCATCAAACCGTTTAGCGAACCGAAATCAATTGAACCGCAAACATTGTCCAAAATGGTGTATCTCTTGAGGCCGCATAGTTTACGTTTGACTTCGTAGGTCAAGTCAATCCAAGCTAACATAACGGTGCGATCGGTAAGCGGTGCCGGCGTTATCTCCAGTACTGGCATCTTATCGACGACACCGTGACCATCGCCGCCTATGACCACATGATTGTCTGGATCGTTAAACTGTATACTCCTTTTATTATTACTACATTTATTATTATCATTGTTAGCAGTAGCAGCAGCACTGTTATGTCGGCGAAAGTATTGTAGTTTCAATGTTATCCTATTGGCTTTGAGCACAAGTATGAGAAACTCTATACATTTGAGTATGACTAAGGAATAGACTAAATATTGACAGTATCGCCAAAATAGATTCGTCCCGTCCATCAGGTCGTACTGATAAAGCACTATCGATGTCTGACCACTGCCAGTTGGGCACCGATCGAACCCATAGAGTATGATTAGCATACCGTTGAACAGGTATTTGGCAAATACAAACTCACTGATGGTCTGAAATATTGGGAACAGGTCTTTGGTAGGGACTATAAAGTTGTTGAAGTAGTGTAGTGTCGAGTAGGCGCCAACAGCCACACATAGAGCCAGCCGGTGTTGTCGATGACATAACAGTCCTATGATAGAGCCCAGCGTCTGGCACGACATGAAACCCATAAGACTAATATAGAGATATTTGTAGAATCGGTGGGTTTCATGGGGCTGACCACTGGCTAAGTACATGATAAGTGTGTAGATATAGGCGCAGACTATTGATAATAACTGTTCGGATATGGTTTTGGCCCAGAAATAGGCACCTGTACTATACCACTCTAGCAAAATGTGGATCAAAAGTATAAATTTATTATTAAAAAAATAATAATATTAAATAAGACTGAATAAAATATGACGGAGTATTTTAATGATAACTATTTATGTATTTACGTATTTTTGTGATCTATTAGATTAATTAAAGTTTATACTCAAAAATAATATAATATGCTATTATAAGGGCGTATAAAAAATTTAAAAAAAATAATTTATTTTAAATAAATAATTTTTTATCGAAATTTATTCATGTACAAACTAAATTAGCATAATCAAATAAATTCCAATATATAAAATATTTATCTTATTTTTTATATTTAATAATAAATTTAATATATAAACTAATTATGATTTTCAAATATAAACAATAATAATAGTTTTATATTTTACCTAATATAATTATTTTACAAAATATTTAATATAATTAAAAATATAATAAAATATTAAAAAAAGTCTAATAAATTAATTAAACTTTCTAATCTGATATTTATTATTAACAAATTATTTATTTATTTTTATTCAGTATATAATTATAATTATTATACTTTATACTAGTTATTTTTTATTAAAAAAAAAATTAAAATTATTTTATAAGTCAACATTACTACTGTAATTAGAAAATTACTATTAAAATTTATATAAAATTTTATTTGAATATCTTATTATATATTAGTGACGATGTTAACCAGGTTGTTTTATAAAACTTATTTAAATAGTAATTATTTATTTATTAACTAATAATATTAATAATATTATTATGCATTTTATTTAATAAAAAAACCTACTATTTTGATGTTCTGTAGTAAACACCCGATAGTCCAGTATATAGTTTGACGTTGCAATAGACGTGTGTAGTGTCAGCACTGTTATCGACGATATGTACTGATGATAAAGATTTTGTTCAATAATACCCATTTGTTGGTGAAAGTTATCCGGACAGGTAGTATTACCAGTGCCGGTACCTAAATCATAGCAGCCTGAGACTTTGCCAATATTATTGTTGTAGGCATAGGTTAGGCACAGTAGGAACAGTATGTAGAATAATAGCTGCATCGCTAGCGACCGCCATTGATACCAATAGGTATAGATGACTGTCCGCATCAGTAGATAGAAAAAGTCACTTAAGTTAAACAATTTGCTACGGTTTCGGACAAAACTGGACAACACATCCATACGATTGGTTGGACAACTACTCCACAGATTATCATTAGTTTTGTAAGTTTGTTCGGCCAATTGCCTAACATAGCTATCGTACTGTCCTTTAGACGAATATTTTAGTAGCACTTCAATGGGGAACTGTATGTCGGAATTGACAGTAATGTTACATTCAGTTAAATGTGCCGACAATTGTTCGGGTGGTCCACGATAAATGTTGAGACCGTGTTTGGCCAGTACGTAGACGTTGTCGAAAAGCATAAACAGATCGTTGTTTGGCTGATGTATTGATGTTATGATGGCTATCGAGTGTTTACGGCTCAGGGATTTCAAACAGGCGATCACCTAAAACAGTAATTCAAGACACAGGTAACACAAAATCATTAGACACGACTACACCAGACATATAAACAATAATTACATACAATATGTGCGGCATTACTGTCCAGACCAGTGGTCGGTTCGTCAACAAACATGACGTTCGGCAGCAAACCGCTGGTCAACTCTTGGGCAATGACCAGTCGTTTTAGTTCACCGCCGCTACACTTGTCCACCCGATTGTTGCGTATATCCCATATCATTAGTTCGCACATTAGCTCATTGACTCGTTTACGGTGACTGATAGCAGCAGCAGCGCCTCCAACACTACTAGACGACTGACCACTGTTTTTAAACCGGGACGCATAGGTCAACGATTGTCTGACTGTCAGTCCTGTCAATAGCCGTTCATACTGTTCCTGATGGATAAAACATGTCCTAAGCTCTTGACCGGCAGTCAAAAATATCATAGACTCGTCACCAATGCTATACCGGTTGCTGCCGTTCATACATTTAAGTAATGTAGTTTTACCCGATCCGCTAGAGCCCATCAGTGCGCTTATGGAGCCAAACTCAAAGGCACCGGTAATATTTTGTAGCAACAATTTGCTACTGGTGCCCATACGGGTATAGACACTGATGGACAGGTTAGTAAAACCAATGGCAATATTATTATTATTATCAACATTGTTAATTGACACATGTTGTTGTTGTTGATTTTCCATATTTAATTAACTGCACCTGATTATTTAAAAAAAAATTTATTATTAAATTTATTATTATTATATTATAGCAATTAAAGCTTACAAAAATTACTAATGCATACAATACTATAATAGATAATTGTTTTAGCAAATTTTTAATTGACAAAATAGTTTATTTATAGTTTACTTTTTAAATTACAATTTCCTTTATTTAGCAAAAAAAAAGCATAGAGGATATTGCAATTAAAAATTATAATTTAAATAATTATAATATTAATTACTCTAAAAGAAATTATTTAAGTTTGAAATTTTTTATAAATATTATTAAACATTAATATAAAAAAAGTAACAATAGAAATAATTTGTATAATATAAAATAATAATTTAAACAATTAAAAAAATAAACTTTATCCTCAAATATAATCTCAAATAATATAAATCTTGAAAGTATTATTTATCAGTAATAAATAAATTATTAATATAATATTTTTCTAGCATTATTATCATAAAATTGTATAAATTAATAGTAAATATTTAAAATTTTTATATTACTATTAATTAATTTAGATATTAAATTTAATATTGCAATTAATACAGTAGTATATATATGTATATATGATAATAATAACAAAAAATAATAGATTTTTACAAGTTAGTTATAAAATTATTAATATTTATTAAAAATTAAATTATAATATATTGATGTCTATAACAAATATCTTATAAATAATTAAAATATTATACATACTTAGGGAATACGGTACTTTTTCAAAAAAACTATTTTTAATATGGGAATACGGTACTTTTTCAAAAAAAACTATTTTTAATTTGGGAATAAGGTACTTTTTCAAAAAAACTATTTTTAATTTGGGAATACGGTACTTTTTCAAAAAAAAACTATTTTTAATTTGGGAATAAGGTACTTTTTCAAAAAAAACTATTTTTAATTTGGGAATAAGGTACTTTTTCAAAAAAACTATTTTTAATTTGGGAATAAGGTACTTTTTCAAAAAAAACTATTTTTAATTTGGGAATAAGCTACTTTTTCAAAAAAACTATTTTTAATTTGGGAATACGGTACTTTTTCAAAAAAAAACTATTTTTAATTTGGGAATAAGGTACTTTTTCAAAAAAACTATTTTTAATTTGGGAATACGGTACTTTTTCAAAAAAAAACTATTTTTAATTTGGGAATACGGTATTAATTTGAAAAACATGTGTTAACTATGGGAAGACGGTAATATGATTGCTTATAAGATGATTTAAATTGTATATATGATAATAATAACAAAAAATAATAGATTTTTACAAGTTAGTTATAAAATTATTAATATTTATTAAAAATTAAATTATAATATATTGATGTCTATAACAAATATCTTATAAATAATTAAAATATTATACATACTTGTATGTTTGCATTTAAAAAATATAATTATTATTTATTAATTTAATTTAACTAAACATTATCATTTGTTTAAAATATTATCCAGAATATTATTTTAGATTTTCACTTTAATTGTTAGTTAAATAAATCATTATTATTAATATTATAAAATTTAGAAAAATATTTTCTTACTTTTTATATAATAATTTTTACAAATTTTTTAGGTAGTATAGTTATTAAGGGCTTAACATATCAATTATTAGTCATTATTAATGTTAGTCATATTATTTAAAAAAAATTGACAATTTTAACAGCAACAAAATAATCGTTATCTAGTGTTTAATTGATTGCATATAAAAATTATTAAAAATTTGTAAAAAAATAGAAATTTTAATACTATATACAGTATACAGAATGTTTGTTTATAAAAATTTTATTAATACATTAAATACAATACACTTGTAATAAAAATATGTAATGATTTTTCTTAAAAAAATTAATTGCAAATAAATAATAATGATTTTTAAACATGATTTAGACTTTTTGCTATATCTCTCTCTCTATTTTATTATACAGTATTACAGTATATATACATTTATAGAATTTATTTGTGTCAATCAATATCATATATAATACAATAGTAAATATCATATAATATATGAGAAAAATAAAATCTAAGATTGCGTTTGCGCTCAAACACTACTTTACTATTAAATGACAATAAAATTTGATATATAATTTTCTAATAATAATTTGATATGCATTTTATGATAAATAATTAAATAACACGTAAAATCACACTCAATATTTAAGAAAAAAAACATATTTGGTATTATTATTATTATTTTTGATTTAATTAATCATATGATAAAATTAAGTCATAACTATTATTATTATTGTAAAGGAAACTTACAATTATAATATTATCATATAAATTGCTAAACTAGTTAACAAATATACTGTATATTTAATAACAATATTATATCATATTATAGTTTAAACTGTTGTCTACTATTAATTTACAATGAATATTTTAATTGATATTTATGTAATTATTTAAATATAAATTTATTCTTAAATATATATTTTTATATTAATTAAAATAAAATGCAAATACCAAATATTATTAATTATTTAATAAATATGACTATTGTTAATTTGAAATTTTTAGAATATTTTATATAATTTTAATTAATAATTTTTGAAAATTATATATATTTAATATTTTTATAAAAATTACAAAATCAAATAGTTATTGAAAATTCTATTTTCTTATTAATATTACTGTTACTATAATTAATAATCATTTTTAGAAAACAATTATAACAATTAAATATTATTAGATTTTATTATTTATTTTAATAATATTAGTCTTGAATATGAGATATCAGTACTTAATTAATATCTTATATAACTATTATTTATCAGTAATCAACAAATATTAGTTTTGTCTTTTAATTAAATATTTTAATTAAATAATTTTATTTTATTTTTATAAATGAATAAACAATATATTAATTATAAGTCAATATTTGACTTAATGGAAAAATTACTATATTTAATTAATAATAATGAAATTTATTAGAAATACTATTATTTACATAATAAAATTTTATATTATAAATAATTAATACTATAAATGTAATTATCATATTATATATTATGCAAATGTTTATATACAGTATATACTGTAGAATCAATAACCATCTAAATTATTTAGTTGTCCTTGATATTTAAAAATAAAAAGTTTTTTTTGTAATAATAATAATCTAAATTAATTGTTATTATATCGATGACATTTAATAAGACAAATTGCTTAATAGCATATAATAAACTAAAATATTTATTATTATTTTTCAATAACAATATCAATTAAGTTAATTACTTATTATAGATAATTAAACTAATGGTAAGTCCCCGGTGTCATAATATTGATACTATTAAGTACTTAATTAAAGTGCACTGATTATCACTAAATTTTACCAAAATAAATACTTATAATACTAATTGAACAATATTTTTCTTAACATTATCATTTTTGTTTATTGAGAAATAATTTTTTTAAAAATATTAATATAAAGAGCCAGTCAATTGATCTTGCGCCACGTAATATTTGAATAACTTTTAAACGGTTATAGATAATTTAATTCTGTAAAATACATTTAAGAATATCATATCGACCACACTTAATATATACACAAACGCAAAACTAGGATGACCAGATATTCATAATATCGGGACCAACGAAAGACACTATGCTACAGGTCAAACCACAACGTATAAATTTATTATGACAATGAAACTTTGTAGTCAAGAAATAATAGTTTAATATAAAAAAAGAATCATCAAAATCGAATTGGTAGTTTAGTTTTTATGGCTTGTTAAGTTTGTCATAAATCATATTATATAATATGGTCTAAATTAAAAATGACGTTATTTATGAATATTATATATTTATTAGATTTAATTTTAAATTATATTAATATTTCTAAAAACGAAATTTTAATATATCGACTAATTTTCAAAATAATCGAATTTTAATATAAATTATATTATAAAATTACAATAGTGTGATTTATATTCAAATTCGATTATTTTGAAAACTAGTCGATATATTAAAATTTCGTTTTTACAATTAGTATAATAATTGAAAATTTATCTTATAAATATATAATAATCATAAATAACGTCATTTTTATTTTAGACCATATTATATAATATGATTTATGACAAACTTAACAAGCCATAAAAACTAAACTACCAATTCGATTTTGATGATTCTTTTTTTATATTAAACTATTATTTCTTGACTACAAAGTTTCATTGTCATAATAAATTTATCAGTTGTGGTTTGACCTGTAGCATAGTGTCTTTCGTTGGTCCTGATATTATGTATATCTGGTCATCCTAGTTTTGCGTTTGTGTGTATATTAAGTGTGGTCGATATGATATTCTTAAATGTATTTTACAGAATTAAATTATCTATAACCGTTTAAAAGTTATTCAAAAATTACGTGGCGCAAGATCAATTGACTGGCTCTTTATAAAGTTGAAAACTATAATAATTAAAAAAATAAAGTGAAATTAAACATACAAAGTTTTACTAATGTTTATTTTTTTTGTAAAAATGTTTTATTGATCATTAATAATTGATGCTTATTAATTTAAAATACTAAAATTTTATTTTTTTTTCATTAATTTTATTGTTTATAATTTTTATTTAGATAAATAAAATCAATGTATTAACGTCATAAATATTATATTTATAAATTACATGCTAAAACATTAGTAATTTGATGACATTTATATTAAACAAAATATTTACTATCCATTTGTTTTTCTATATTTTTCTATAGAATTATTACTATAAATAATTAACTTAATTAAAAATAAATTTATTGTAAAAATATTTTGATTATATTTATATTACATTTATATAATTTATTTTAAACAATAACATTTTGATAACATTATGAAGTATAGAGTAACTAATTGTGTATAACAAAAAACTAATAAATAAATCAATTTTAACTCTCAAATATAAAAAAACATTGTTTTGTATAATATAATAATATACAATACCTATTGACAATATGACAATATAGGTTATATTTATAGCAATATTATTTATAAACTAATAATATAATAATATATATTGATTTACTATTTTGAATTCAGAAATGGATTTATCAATATATATATAGATATAAACTTATATACTGTATATATGGCCACACCTAAAAATATATTATATATATATATTATATAAAAGCAAATATAGGTATAATCATAATTTATTCATAAGCTAGCCCTAGAATGATAAATAAAATTAATTTGTAATGTATTTTAATTGTAATTGATTAAATTGAAATCAATAATTATAATCTAATAGTTTAAATAATTAATTTCTTTAATTAATACAATTAGTTTTATATTCAATTTATATTTACTACTATTTTTATTGACAATTTTGTAAAATTAAATTAATTATTATTATTAATTTAATTTTAATAATAAATTTAAGGTACTAAAAATTTTGTTTCTTAAAGTTTAGTTATATAATTATTATTTTCATCTTTGAGTTCATTAATTTGTAAAATATTGCCAATAATATTAATATTATGTTTATATTGACTGTGATCTGAGTCGATAACACATTGATTGGCAGCCAATTCACGTGTTAATTGATATTTTTTGTTTTCAATTTGAATATAATTAATGATATTATAGATGGGCGACACCAACAATATGTATAGACTGTACGATAATATCACTGTTACGGTTAGGTCTACATACAGGCCTTCCAGCTATTAGACAAATATAAATAACAACAAAAAATTGATGATAAATATCGGAAAATTTTTAACAATAATATTTTGTAATTTTATTTATTTTTTTAAATAAATAATTATCAAAAAAATAATACTTACAGTCTTTAGATCAGTCATTATATATGATTGTCGTACGGAATAAATGCGCGAAAATATTACCGCAAAATGTACTAAATATATGAGTGATGAAAGTTTGGCCAACGGTTGCAAACATTTTACAGATAATATTGATCGTAACACTACTGTTAAAAAAATAATTAAATTATAACTCAGTTATTATTGTATTTCATTTTTAAAAAAATTATTTTAATAAAATATTTTTTTATTGCTAACAATAATTTAGTCAATTAATTAACTAAAATAATATTTATTAAAAATAAAATAATAAATTTATAGAGACCATGAAGAAAACAAATAATATTTTTAAAAAAAACTTTTTTAAAAAGTCAATCTTAATTAATTGATAATATTTATCGCAATAGTACTGATAAAATATTTAATAGTAAATAAAATTGTTTAATTAACAAAAAGTTTGTATAATATAGTTAAAATATAAATTTCTTTAATGGCTAATAATAAAATTTTGCAAACTGTTATTGAAACTATTAATTATAATTAATTAATGTTTTGTGAAACTAAAATAATATATTTAGAAAAATAATAAAAATATTTTTTATATATATATATAATAATTAAAAATTAAATACTAAAAAATTTTTATGAGATAAATATTATTATTTTTATTGTTAAAAATTACCTGATTTTTTAGTACAACAAACAAACCAAATGAATGCCATCGATGTCGACCACAAGCATCGGCCGACACTTATAAATAACAGTGCGTTCAATGTTTGGGGCGAATCGTTGAACAAACTCAATGTGTTGTTCCACATGAGTGTCAGTCCAAGTATGACAACCGCTAATATTGACAAACCTCTGTGTAATAGTTTGTCTTTAAGAAAGGGAACCGTTAGTTTGGGATTCATTTTGATGGCATAGCCGGCCAGTATGCCTATTGTGAATGAACACACATATTGGCCGGTATTCATGTGATACATAAATACAGAAAATGTTAGCTCTTTCAGTGACGGCTGACGTGTTAGCTGGTAATAGGTGTTGACACCGTAGATCAGATACGGCGATATCATTAGCAACAGTCCGGCCAGTATGACCACAACCGAAAGTTTTAGGCCAAACATTGAGTGTCTGTGCAATGTTATAATGAGTACAGGTGCCAGTAGACTAAGCTGAAAGTTTGCCGATAAAAACCATGTAATGTGAACACACTAATTGGTTGGATAATAATAATAGTTAATTTTTTTGAATCAAAATTAATTTATATATCAAATAGTCTATTCTTATTTTTTTGTTGGTGAAAATATTACTAAAATTAATTAAATCTGTTTTTTATAAAAATAATATTTCCTATTAAAAAATACCATTAAAAAATTAAAACAATTAGAGAAATTAATTGTTATACATAATAAAATTTAAATAAACAACATTATTCAACAAATATCAAATAATGTAATTAGTAATTAATTAATTTTTTATAAATATAATATTCATAATAAAAACAAAAAAAATAGCAAAAATTACTTACAATACTAAAGAAATATTTTCCCAACAAAATATTGAAATTACTGTAATATAGAAAATTAGATAATAAAACACTGGTATCCCGACAGCCCGGTTGAAAATATTGGTCGCACTCGTGCCAAATGGGACCACTGCCTACCAATGGCAACAAATAATACATTAATATAGCGGCAAACAAGGGCACCGATAGCTGTAGCCAACGTTTTCCTATATATTTCAAATAACTAAATTTGCGGCTATCAATTTTATCTAGTTTGCTTAGTAATTGATAGCACAAAAATAAACCGCTACAAAATAATTATAATAAAAATAGTTAATAATAAATAAATAGTAATAATAATTAAAACAATAAGTTTTTTTATCTTAACATACGATGCAACCATAAACGTGTCGATTGCCAATTGTTTGGCCCTAACAAACACATAGCGATTGGCATGAAATAATTGTAACGGTACCGACTCGTTGAACCGTTTCAATACAAACGAATGGGCTGTAAACAGGTAGGTATGGGCTGCCAGAAGCCATACCGATACCAATAGTTTGGTTGTATTGATGGATGCAAATTGATTTATTGTGTTTGATTTGTTGGCACATAATTGTCTAGTATTTGTTATCATTGAAAAACAAAGTAACAGTTTGTTGTTGAGTACCGGTAGTTGTTTGTCGTTGTTGTTTTTCGGAACGGTATGTTGTTTGGACAGTAGTCGACATTTAAGGTATTTATGGTATAACTCGTATGATGTGCCCAATGATACCAATATGATTGATGTGATAAATATAAAACTTTTTATAAAATTGTTAGAGAAAAAAATAATAATTTATTTATACATAAATATACAGTACATACATAGCAAATATCTGATATCTGTCCAAATTTAATGGTCTATCTTTGATAATACAGGTGCGCTCCGGTATCTCAACAGGTATTCGCAAAAATGGATATAAAACTGTAAAAATAACATTAATTATTAATTTAAATATTATATATTTATGTATTTTATTTTAAATTTGAACGAAAACTGAATTAAAAAAAATTTTAAAAAAATTTATTAATATAATATTCATAATAATAATACTATAAAAACAATTACTTCGGTTAAACTCGTTTTCAATATCCCGTGGATTGCATTTATCGGGAATACAGATCCCGAACTCGAAAAACTTTCCGTCTCTCATATTCAAGTATTCGGTAATTTTCAATATGGGATTCAATTCGGCATAATTACCGAAACCATATTTTCGGGTAAAATTCTTCAATTGTGTTGCAAAAACATTGCTCTCAAATGTCGGATCGTATGTTTCCCTTAAAGGATAGGGCATTATTAGCCGAAGCAAACAGTATTGGCCAGCAATCATGTTGTTGTTGTTGTTGTCCTCTTCCTCCGCGGGGCTCTTGATGTCCACACATTGATCGTATTCGCCAAATGTTGTGATAATACCGCCCCAAAAACCGGTAGGTATGGGATGCGATTGTGAGTCGAAAACTGTCAAAAAATAAAAATAATTATTTAAAAATTTATTATAAATATAATTATAATTAATATTATTTGACTCTAAAATTGTTAACAGATCAATAATTAAAAAAAAAAATCTAAACTATATTTGTGACAAAAATAAAAAATAATTGATATTTCAATATATTTTCATTTTATATTTTACATTACTTTTTTAAAAATAATATTTAACTTGTATTATAAATATCAAGTTTTTAGAAAATAAATAAAAGTTGTTATAATTAAAATAAATACTTATTAATTAATTTTTGTAAAAAACAGATTATGTCATACATTTGAAAGCCCAGATCTCTTCGCGAATCAACGCTTGCAATACCCGACTGACGGCAGCCATACACTGGGGCTCCAGTTGTATATCGAAACTCAATTCGTAGGCCATTCCCCGTAGATATTGATAAACATCGCGAAACTCTTTCAACCCGTAGATCTGATGTTCCCATCGGAATGCCCTCAAAAAGCGATCCCACGTTTCATTAAAATGTTTAACTATTTTCACTCTCGGCTCCTGTTTTAGACTTTCGTAGTCTACGGGCAATAGTCGGCTAATGTTTAGACCTCTCAGGGCATCGGCCGGTGAACATTCAGTTGGCTCGTCATTGGCTTCATAGTCAGTATCTTCTTCATCATCATTATTATCAATATCATCGCCCGTTCCTATTAAATCACTTTCCTCGGCACCGGTATCATCATAATTGGTACTATTGTTATGGTTATTGTAGTCATCAATTGAATCATTAGTATCTTCACTGTTATCGTAATCATCAGTTAATAAATAATCACTACTATTATCATTGATTTTGCTATCAATCCTCTCATTATTATTATTACTAGTATTTAATGCAAATATTGATACTAAAAATAAATAAATTAATAATATTAAAACTGTTAAATATTTTAATCTTTTAGATATATAATAGTTCATTTTACACTAAAAAATAAATTACTATTATTATTAAAACTTAGTCAAAAAAAAACTATGTAATAAATAACAAAATATCTTTATTGAAAAAACATTTAAACTTAAGTTAAATTGATGTTAATACTGTATTTTGAAAAATGTGATAAAACTAATATAGCTTTTTTCAAATATAACATTTAAAAATATTAATCTATTGATATTTCTTTCATACGTGTCGGGCATACCTATCCTTGCGATGACATTAATCTTCAAAATTGAATTTTAAGTTTAAAAAAAATTATTAAACATATTATTTAATTGCCATAACCTTCAAATGAAAATGTTATAACATTTATTGAACTCAACATTGAATTTTATAATATATAAATCGACTAAAAATTATTTCATTATTAATTTATAAGTAAAATACATTTAATGAATTTTAATCATCTAAATTAGCAATAATTTATCAAGCATTATTAATTTACAACTTTAACTATTATTTATAAATGTGTTATAATTTTGATAATAATACAGTATATGTTTGTAGTTAATTAAGTTTTATATTAAATATAAAACACTAAATTACTAATCATTAAAGTTATAAGATAATATTAACATTATATAATGCCAACAATTTCGATTATAATTAATAGCAATTAGTACCCATAAGTAAATTTACATAAATATACATTTTTAAATATACTATATTATATATATACAGTATATTAATAATTTAAAAAAACAAATTATTAAATTCCTTATATAATTTGTATATTTCAAATTAACGTTATTTATTTTTGCAAATCATATTTTTCAACTAAAATATAATAATAATATTAAGCTTTATTATATTAAATCATTTAATACCAAAAATATAATTAGTAATCATTTAGTTTTGAGAATTTTAAGTTATAACTAATTTTAAATTCAAATTAAAATGTCTAAAAATTCAATGACCTAATTATTTTTAAGCATACATTATAGAAAAAATTTATTGAATATGTTTGGTATAAATAATCATATAAAATACTAGTATTTATACAATATTTTTTGTATATTTAATCAATATTAACATTTTTTAATATATTACCAAAAAAATCATAACTATTTTACATAAGCTCATAGTTAACTAATAATATTAAATTCATAGAAATAATGCAAATTAATTGATTTCCTTTCAATGACTGCCACATCCCGTCAATAAATACATATTATTAATATACTGTATGTAAAAATGAAATCCATGTCTTATTAATTAATTTATACATTAATAATGCAATACATTAATGAGTCATAAAAATTAATTTGTTTATATTGTATTACAATTAATTATAGCATTATCAATAATTAATAAAAAAAATATATATAAATATATATATTAAAAAAATGTCTTGTCATTAAAATATCAGACAATATATTATAGTATAGTAAAAATTTTGAAGACATTTTATTAAATTGTGATTTTTAAATTTTTTTTTACTATAGTTAACACTAACAAAAAAAAAGATAATTAACCACTTAATAAAAATAATGAAATAAATATATACAATAAATAATTTTTTTTGTATTTATTTAAATTTACTGTATTATAATAACAACTAAATATTTTGTGTATAAAATAAATAAATATATAAATTAATAATAATAATACACGTATCATATTATTAATATTATTATAATAATAAATTTAATTAGTTATTAAAATAAAAAATTATGTTCAAATTGACAACCATTGCCGTACTGTTGGCAGTCATCATAATGTGCTCAAGTTTGGTGGTCCGTACAGATGACACCCTATTTGATGCCTGTTTCAAGACCGGCCTAATTATGTACTCCCTGTACCAGTTCGGTGTATTTCGGTTTATCATGAGCGAGTTTTAATATATTTAAACTTTTAAAAAAAAAATTAATTATTATAAAATTATTTTAATTTGTGCATAACTTTTTTTATATATAAAAAAGTACTGACTATAAAATTGGTTTAAATAAATTGTTAGTCAATGATTTTTTTTAAAAATATTTATATAAATAATTAATATATTTTTTTGATGTATATTAAATGCAATAAATTTTGTGTGAAAGTTTTATATTTAATATATATTAAATAATAATGTGTATTTTTTGTTACTTATAATTTACTAGAATTAATTAAAAATGTAAATATATTTCTATAAAAATTATAAATATTTTAATTTAAATTATATGTTTATATAAAGAATACTTATACATATATTATATGAATATATTTTACTACTTCAATATAATTATTTATAATATTTTCTTAATTAAAATCAATTAAAAAATGTTTTTTATCTTGTTGATAATTATTATCTTAAAATAATTATTTTATTACTACAATATATATTATATATAATTTATTTGTAAAATTATATATTAGATGCTCAAACTTTATTTTATAATAATAATAATAATAATAACATTTTACATTTTAAAATAATAAAATATAGATAACATTGCCATATTTATTTGGGCACAATTTTTTGATCAATCAAAATTATATCTAAATTAATTTATAAAAAAAAAATATTGTATTGTCAAAAAACAATAAGTAGGGTTTGAAAAAAAGTAAAAAAAAACAAAAAATGTTGTTTTTGTTGTTTTTTTCTCTTTTTCATTCTCTACAGCAATAGACAGGGTCTGAAAATCAGTAAAAACAATTTTTTTCACGTTTTTCCGTTATTTCAGACCCTACCTATGCAATAGCTAAAAACATTTTATTATTATTATTATATGATAAATGTTTATTATTATTATTATAATAAACGATCTTATTGAATTTTGCTCAATAACCAGGTGCGTCCAGCGGCCACGTTTGCATAGGCAGTTGGCGTTTTGGTAGTATCAGCCGGACAGTTACGGATACCCCACGAAACAATACCGGCCAGTTTGCCATTCACAACCAACGGTCCACCCGAGTCACCCTACAGTCAATGTATTTAATACAGTATTAGTAATTACCAATTTTTGCCCCCCACACACACACACACACACAAAGTAGTACAGTACTTACATTACATCCAGAAGCTGCCGGATTTTCGGCACATATCATATTAGCCGACACCTCGATCTGTCCCGGATAGGACTCTTCATAACGTGCCTGACATGATCCTGGTCTCAGTATCTGAAATATGGCAAATTGTAGGCCCACAGGCGCTGAACTGCTACCGCCTATAGTGTTACCCCAACCGGTCAAATGTGCTTCCAAGCCATCGGTGGGTTCCGAATCAACCAATTCAATAGTTTTGATTTTATCGGTTGTCTGTATCGGCTGATTCAATATCAGTACACTATAGTCGTTGTCAAACTGTACGGGTTTGTTGTACGACTCGTGCTGTCGGATCTCTTTGACGGTCTGGGATACCGATAGTTTGGTTCTGTCGAGTCCACCGTATTTTACTTTCAAATCACCGGCACTTGAGCTTCAAATAAAAAATTCCTTATAAATATTTATTTATAGAGTTTTTATTATATTTGTATTTATTTAATGATAAATAAAAAGTATTTAAATATTGACTAAAAATAAAATTATATGAAAAAAATAATTATATAATTAATAATATTTAGTTAAATATTTATTTAAATATTTAGTTAAATATTTATTTAAATATTTAGTAATTATTAATAATAATAATAATACTGTACATTAATATTTATTATACAATAGTTTAATTAGCTAGCTAACTAATAAAAATTACAATTATTAATAGTATAATAAATACAATTAGATTATATAAATAAATAAATAAATAATAGTTTACCCATCAGTACAATGTGCAGCCGTAATGGCCGACTGTTTGCCGGCCAGTGAACCGCCGCATATGTGACTGTCGCCAAACCAGCCGCTCATGACTAGCGATATTTGAAACGGCGCCTGACCCTCAGTGGCCGGTACACCGCCTACAATACGACCACCATTGGCCACCCGACGCACAGCTATCGGCGATTCATTTGCCAGTGGTGTGCAATGGCAGCCATTGGCCACCAACAGGGCTAACACTGATACAACTAATTTCATTAGTGTAATTGATTTTTAAATACAAATCTACTGTATATTAAAAAAAATTAATAATCTAGGTAAATTTTGGATCTATTCTAAAATATAAACACCAATTTTATGTATACACACACACACACCTAAAAGTAATTGATGCACCTGTTTATATATGGCTATTAGATTTATTTATTTATATTTTAATTACACCCAGTTTAATTGTTATTAAATTTAATTTTTTTATTGACTTGATGTTACTATAAAAATTGTAACAGTTACATTGCACCAATAATTATAATAATAATGTAAAATCCTTGTTGTAAAATAACAAGTTTTAATGTAAAAAAATTGATTAAATTATATCAAATATAGTTTTATTTGTTAATAATATACAATTAAAAAATTATTTTTTTCTAAAGAAATGAAATAATAAAATTAATTTCATTTTTATTGATGTCATTAAGTTTTATAATAGTAAAAAAAATAATTTTAATGTTATTAACTTAAGTTCAAAGTTATTTTAAAAATATAGATTAATATTTATACGTTATATTCTGTAAACTTGTTACTACATTATAATCATTAAAAGTGATAAACTATTAATATATAATTAATACAATTTTAATATTTAGCTTTATAAAAAAACAAAATAAAAAATAAAACAATTGTCAAAATAGTAATCATTTAGTTATTATTGTAATTATTATTATAATTAAAGATCAAATAAATGTTGACAACATATATACTTAAAAACTTTTGTTATTGATCCTGGATACATTATATTTTATTAGTTAAACTAATATTGTTGTTGGTGTTGTTGTTAGACTGTAGTGCTAGTTGTTTGCTATCAATTGCAAATAAGTAGACTAATACCGTATATAAAAATAGCATAATAAATGTACCAACAAATTTGTCCAACCCATTGCCCAGGTAGATTTGACTGATAATAAGGACATATATTAAACCATTTTATATAAAACAAAACAATTAAAAAAAATATTTTGGTTAGTTTGTCAGTAGCCAACAGTGTGGAAGCAACACTAGCTGACACTTCCTATGAGGTGTCCTTTTTGGCACAGGGATGGTTGGGTAAGAGCCACATATGTCTCTTAAGTAAATGTTGTTATTTATACTTAGGTTACAGGTTAGGTATATTAAGTAAAAACAAAGTCATCATAGCTGCCCATTGTTATGTTATTTATAAAAATTTAATTAAACTAGTATACAAAATATTAATAATTGTTTTTCTAAAAAAAATTACTAATATAGTAAAATGTTTGAAAATTTTTATAATTTAAGTACTGAACAATTCTAATATAAATAAAATTTATATTATAGAGATAAAATAAAAAAAACAATATGTTTTATATTGAAAAAATAATGTTTGTATTGTTTAAATAGATAAATTTTACTATAAAAAAATGAATTTTGAATTTTTAAAAAATTTGAAAAAATATAAAAACATTTTTTTATTTACATTATAATTGTTACAATATATTATGATTTATATAATTAACTTCTAAAACAGTCGTTGTTGTTGATAATTGTAATGATAATTGTCTTAATTTATTACAATCACTGGCAAATGAGTTGGACACTGCCGTACTCAACAATAATACACACAACGGTATAATAAAATTGTGAATATATTTGACCAGGATCATTGTGAATATAATATAGATAACTGTCCACACAGTTACCCAAACAGCATATATCATCGATAGATAATAGTTTTGTCGATATGTGCCAATAAAACCAATTAATTGCGCAACCGATACTAAACAAGTAGCAATTGGCCAAACATTATTGTACTAAATATATTAATATTATGTACAATGTTTTTTTTATTGGCATAAATTAATTAATAATTATATATTTTACCTGGTTATTTTTAATAATTATTAGTAAATTAAATAATAGAAAAACATCAATAAATAAATTAAGTGTTAATTGTGTCCACTTTTTCGAAACAAACCATTTTAAGTCAATATTATTATTATTATTAATATAACTATTCATATTATAACTTATTATATTTTAACAAACTAATTATTACAAAAATTAACTAGAGTAGATATTTATAGATAAAAAGTTATATAATTTTTATATTAATAATTCTAATTTTATTTTATAATTTTGTTAGGTATAGAACGTCACTATTGAATGGATAGAAAAATTAAAAAATAAAAAGTTAAAAAACATTTATTAAAAACATGGGACAAGTGATAAAAATTATTACAGACAACACAACAATGATTATATTTAAAACAAAGTTACTGTTTATAAATTTATATATTAGTAAATTCTATAAAATATTTCTAGAAATAAATATTAATATTAAAATACATACTATATTAAGTTATTTCCTGGAAATAATAAACAATTATATATTTTGTTATGTATTATTTTCAATACATATTTATTATTAACATATTGATGATAATAACGATAATAAGGTGATTAACTAAATAGTATTTACACTTAAGATATAAAATATTAGTATTGTGTTAAATAATATAAATTAATTATTTAAAATATTTGTAGTATTATTGTAGAATATTTTATTATAAATTATTTAATAATATAAACAAAAGTTATACAGTTTTTAAAAAAATGATATTTAATATTACAAATTGAAATTCTTATTAAAATAAAAATAATTATTATATATATTAAAAATAATTATTATATATATATTAAAAATAGTATTTTATCATAATGCAATATTATTATTACAATAACAATCTGATTAAATTTCATATTAGTGTTTGTTATCAAAAACAAATTTTTTTATCAATCTTATAGATATTCATATTAGTTAATATCTAACTTATAATCAAAAAAGTGTATAATCAAAGTGCTATTAACTTCAATAACTTATATTATTGACAATAACTAAAATTAAGGAGACATTCAAAAAAAACAATTTACTATATAAATAACATTTATTGATAATTCACTACAAATACAGTATACTATAACTTAATTTTACTTATAATTAATAAACATTAAAATTAAAATTTATCAACTTTGTAAAAATTTTATAATTAGAAAATAATATAATTTCAAAAACATATATTAAATTTATATTGCTAAAAATGTTTTTTTAAAGTTAAACTGTAACATAAGACTAAATTAGTAAAAATTACTGTATTTAAATATTTATAGTTGATATTGTTTTTAAACTTTATAGCTTTCAATGTGATTCAACTTTTTGCAATCAATGGCAAAAGAGTAGGCCAATCCAGTAATCGTTACATTCATAATCACTGCACTAATATATAAGTCTATATTAATGTCCAGATAATATTTGCTGACAATTAGCACAACAGTCCATATAGTTAGCCAAACAGCATAAGCCATCGATAGGTAATAGTTTTGACAGTATGTGCCAAACAAACCAATTAGCTGTATCCCCATAACAACACAACAGGTTATTATGAACTCATGGTAGGGCTTAGGGTAAAAAGCGGATAAATTATAATTTTAAAAATTTAATATATTTTTAAAAATTTGAATAGTAAACTTACCTGTCTAGTTTCAATACATTTAATTAAGACGTATACTATGGTAGCAATAATTGATATGATTATTGCTAGTTGTGACCACTTTTTCCAAACAAACCAATCAAATTTATCAATTGTTTTATTATAATTATTATTATCCATATTATTGATAGTATTGATTAACAATTAACAAATTACTTTACTTTTAGTTACTTATTAGGGATACAATATTTTTTTTTGATAATGTTTTGTAACTATTGTAAGTTATTTCTTATATACTGTATTGATATTGACAAAAAAAATTCAATATGCATAACATATTAAAATTTTATTTATAATAAATGATTTTATTGTATTACATATTATATATAATATATATAAAGTATTATTTTATAATGCAATAGTACTAATGATACTGATATTTGAATAATATATTGATAATGTATCATATTTTAATAAACATTTTTTTGTATTTATGTTTATATAAAGATAACTTCCTATGAATAATTATTTTGTAATGTATGGTTAAAAAAAATTAAAAATATAGATTTCCAACAAAATGTATACACAAAAAATTAATTATTAAAATAGATAATTAAATTATCTTTAAAATTTTTTATAAAATTTATTTAACATTAGGGTTGATATCAGAAAACATAATTATAAAATATTTAAATTTTACTAACAATTGATATGAGGTGTCGTATATATGTTAAATTTTTAGTTTTAATTAAAATAAAAATACAGTATTACAGGATATGCAATGTTTATATAAACAATATATTTACTTCATTACAAATTAAATTGAAATATTAAAATATTTTATAAAAAATAATAAATTAAAAAAAAACAATACATATTACAGTATAATTACTAATCATACAGTATTACAATTAATTATCTATGCTATGATTTTAGTTAAAGTTGTTATTAACTTTACTAAATAAGTAATGATTATATTTACAAAATAATTAAAAAAAATAAAATAAATGATATCAATTATTAGAAACAAATTTTATTAATATGATATTATTATTATTATTTTTTTTTGTATCTATAATCTTTCAAACTCATAATATCCTGTTTGTCTAAATTGACAATCACTTGCATATGAAAATGCTAATACAGTTACAGACAAATTGATAATAACAGAAATAATATGATTTTTATCCGATGTTGAATAGATAACGGAGATAACGGTACTCATTGCCATCGATACGGCAAATGTTGTCGATAGACAATAGTGTTCCCGATAGGCGCCAACCAAACCAATTGATTGTAATATTAGTCCACTAACACCGCAAACAATAACTAGACCTAAATAATAGTTCTAGGTTTTATAATTTTGAAAAATATTAACAAAAATAATAATAAATAATTTAAAATAAAATACTGTATTATAATTTTTTTTGTAAATATATATATTTGTTGTTAAATATATTATTAAATTATTTAATTACCTGGACAATTAGAGCTAGATAGGTAAATATTAACAATGTTAAAATAATAGATACTAAAGTAATTGAAAACAGTGTCCACTTTTTGCATTTAAACCATTTTAGATCATTGTTATTATTATTGTCGTGATTTAATATAGTTTTCATTGTGTTATTATTTTTATAAAACTACTACAAAAATAATTTAATTGACTTTTAAAATAAACTTATGTATTATTGAAAAGTTATTGAAATTGTATTCAATAATATATTAATAAATATATTTATATAGTATTTTTTGTAAACTTTATTATTAAATAAAAGGAAATGAATAAGTGATTGCAAAACGGATTTATCGAAAAATTCTATATAATATTAATATATTACGACAAAAATATATAATAGTTTATAATTACAGTATAATATCAATATTAGACTATTTAATAGTTTTATTGTATATAAATTTAATATAAAAATTTACTATTATTGACAAATAATAATTAATATTAATAATTTTCAAAATTAAACAAGGACAAACTAAATTACAAAGACATAAAATTGTTAAATTTTTAAAAACTAATAAACAGTTAATATTTTATAAAATCACATTAAATTTTATTTTATTAAAATAGCAAATTATGTAATTTACATATATTGTTTTTTATGTTAATTATTATTTTTGGATTTTGGTAAAATAAATATTTTCTATGAAATATTTTATTAAATAACCAAAGAAATAATTTATGTTTACATATAATTATTTAAAAAATAAAATATAAATATTTTAAAAATTTATTTATAGTAACTCTAAATTAAATTGTTTAAAAATAAATATAAACATTTATAATTCAATAAATATAAATAATATTAAATAAAATACTTGTTACACCTACCGGTATTTTAAAATTAAAATTACATTAACTAATTATTTTAAATATATCTTATATAATTAAGTAAAAGTGTATTAATAAATATTATTTATCTATTTATTTATTTGTTTTTAGTTTACTTTACTAAAGGTAAAAATACTAATTTAATAAATATTAAGTACATATGTTTTGATATTTGACATTTAAATATATACTGTATATATAGATAGAGTCCAAATAAAATACAATATTATTAAATAATATTAATCAATTAATTCAATTGTTTCTATAGATTTAGTACTGTTTTTTGTCATATCTATTAACTGATAGATTAAAAATATATTAAGTATACATTTAATATTAATATATTAACTACACTATTTGACATTTGTATAAATGGTTGAATGATATTTATATTTTATAAAATTAATTTCAACATTTTGCAAAAAATAAGTTTTTTTTTAAAAAATGTTATTAATTTTATTTAATAGAGTAACTAATTAAATAGATTATTAATTTTTTTTGAACATATAATTTACATAAGTAATAAAAAAAATATTGCTTATTTTATTTATAATATATTTATTAAATTTAAAAAAAAATGTGTAATTGTTGTTCAAAACGTTTGAAAAAAACACTGTTAACTGTAACCGGTATCCTATTGATCATAATTTCTGTAGTTTTCTACCTGTTCTACGATCGGGCCATCCGATGGCAGGTGCGTCGAGCACTGGTACTATCAGAGGATTCATTGATTTACGAATTTTGGCGGGACGTACCCATAGATATCTACTATTATATCTATATGTTCAACACAACAAACCCGGACCGAGTGGCCGGTTTGGGTGAAGACCCGAACCTCCAGGAGTTGGGTCCGTATGTCTATCGGGAAAAGCGCCAGAAAGTCAACATAACGTTCAATACTAATGGAACGGTTAGTTATGAACAAATAAAGACCTATCATTTTGACTCTGAGAGGTCATCGAAAAATGTCAGTATCAACGACATGATTGCCCACTTGAACTATCCGTTAATAGTTGCCGGCTATATACTGCACCGGGAGTTTGCCGACAATCCGTTTATGTATTATATGATGCAAACGGCTTGCGATAATACGGCACATCCTAAAAAATTAGTGGACTGTTCCCTATATCAGATGCATACTGTCCAACAAATACTGTTTGACGGATGGACTGATAATCTGATCGAAGCGGTTGGCGATAGATTGCATCTACCGTTTACTAAGTTTTCGTTTTTTACTGGTCGTAACGGTACGGCCTGGGATGGCCAGTATAATATGTTTACCGGTAGCACCGATATCGACAAACTAGGGTTTATGAACCGATGGAAGAAAAACACGACTATTGGACACTTCCGCAAACTATCGCATTGCGACCGTTTTGACTATTGTACGGCCGGTGACCTGAGACCGCCGTACCAGATGTCCGAATCGAGTCAACCGATAGACATATTTATTGGCGATATGTGTCGTTCGTTTAGACTGTCCTATAGAGAGGACATCGACTATCAAGGAATATATGGCAAAAGATACGTTGCCGACGGTTCAGTGTTTGACTATTCAATGGACATTAACCGATGCTATTGCGGTAATTCAACAAAAAGTATGGAGTGTCCGGCCAATGGTGTGGCCGACGTCTCCCAGTGCGTATACGGTGCACCGGTTTATTTAAGTTATCCACATTTTTTACACGCCGACAGAAGTTATACCCGATTTCTGAGAGGTCTGGCAGCCGATAAGCACCGACACCTGTTCTATATGGACTTTGAGCCCCAATTGGCCGTACCATTGAAGGCCAGCGCCAAAATACAAATGAATCTATTGGTTGAACGCAATGAAAACATGAATACTACCAAACAGTTGGTTCATCAGAAGCTCTATTATCCTCAACTATGGCTCGATATTAGGGTCGAAATGAACGACGAAATGACCAAAAAAATCAAACTAATTGTCAAATATGTGCCAATGATTTGCGATATATTAGCCCTATTGGGTCTATTGGTTGGCATATTGTTAGTGCTAATTGTGCCCATACGTAAATTTTGTTGTCATAATAATAATAATAACAATAAAACTAAATATAATGTCGATAATGAATAATAATAATTAACTTTGATGGACAACAAGTAAATTATTTATAATAATATTTATGATATTAAATGATTATTATTGTATATATTAATATAATTAAAAAAAAATATTACTAATTCAGTACTGTTAATATCAATAGTATAATTCCTATATATATATATATATAAAACTTAAAATAAATTGCATTTATTTGTAGTTTATAAATATATTTACAGTTTTCTACATTAAAAAAATACTAATTTGTTTTTCTTACCTTACATTATTTATTCACATTATTAAAAATTAAAAATATTATTAATATATAAATTTTAATACTTAAGTTTTAGCAAAAAAAAATATTGATTTTTTTCATATATTATATTATTATTTATGATTGTTTTTTAAACTATATTTACGATATACTTGTATATATAAATTCATGATTCAAAGTAATAAATATTATATTGCAAAAAATAACTAGTGATTTATGTCACTATTTATGATAAAGTTTACTTTTATTATATCACTAATATTATTAAATAAAAAATAATGATAAAAAATTTTAAAATTATCATTTATGTATCACTATGTCAATGTTAATGATTCAACACTTTTCAAATATTATGTATCAATATATTAAATATACCGTATTTATCAAAGTTTATTAAATAGTATATGTTATTATAATTAGAATAAAAATTATATTTTTTTAATTTAATTAACCATCAATAAAAATTATCATTTATTTTTATAATTATAATAATAATAAAAATGATAGCTTTATTTTATATACGATAATAAAATATTATAAATAATATATTGTACACTTTTATTTTAGAATAATTTCACCATACTCACATGTCTATAATAATCGTTGATTAATTAATTATTTTGAAATTTAACAATAAATGTAATTAAAAAATTATGATATAAAATTTGTTTCAATTAGAAATTAAAAAATATATACATATTACAAATATTAATTATTAATAATTTACTTGAATTAGTATATCTAATACTATTTTTGAAAAAAAATAATTTTTAAATGAAAAATTTCTATTAACATATTTATCTATTGTTTTTGTTAAATAATATTTGATAAATAATTTTGAATTGTAATTAAAATAATATATAATATTAATATAATTGCTAAATAAAATATTATTTGTCTCAAATATTATAAAAATCTTAATATAAACAATCAGCTTGGTAATCCATAAATAAAAATATATGATACTATGCAATAATTTATATACAAGCATATTTTATATTGGGTAATATTAGTGACATTTTCAAATAAACTAAAATATCATTATATTATATAGAAATAAATTATCTAAAATCTAATTATTATTAATTTAATTGCACTTTACTACCAAATATACCCGGAGCCAAATAAGTAACAATAAAATCTAAAAAACATAATTATATTAAACAACAACAAAATAGACTTTTATCATTACAAAAATATCATTATCTATGTCATAATAAAATAAATTAGTGACTGTATCATCAAAAAAATCAGTAATTAAATAAAATTATATGATTTGATGAGCCAAATGCAAAAATAATAATTAATAAAAAAAATATTTCCTATAAATTGAGCCAAAATTACCAAAACATAATAATAATAGTCAGTTTGTTTGTTGGGCTAACAATATAGTAAAAAACAACAATGAAATCGTTGGCACTGTTATTAGTTGTGGTGTACGTGTCGGTAGTGAGCGCACGTATTGCTGTTGGACCCAAAATTGTTGACAACGTGCACGCACGCGCTTCGGGCAATCGTGTGGTCGGCGGTGAGGACGCAAAACTGGAAGATGCTCCCTATCAGGTGTCCTTTTTGGCACAGGGATGGTTGGGTAAGAGCCACATATGCGGCGGTTCACTATTAAGTGCTAACAAAGTCATCACAGCTGCCCATTGTTGCGACGGGTGAGTAGTAGTTGTAATAGTTATACCGTAGTGAGAGCACAGTTAGCATTTCATGATAATATTTTTTAAAAAACTAATAACTAATAAAAATAACTTATAATTTTTTTTTATTTATATACTTTATATGATTAAACAACAATTCAATAAAATCATAGACAAACTGCATCTCAGTTAGAGGTTAGATGGGGTGGTAATAAACGTAGCAGTTTGCCATATGGTAGTCCTGTTAAGTCACTTAGTGTCCATAAGGACTGGAACACCAATACCATTGACAATGACTACTGTATATTGACACTGACTTCAAGTGCCACCGAAACAAATGGTGTTAAATTTGTTAAACTGGCCGCTACCACACCAGGCGATGGTACCGCTGCTACATTGACCGGTTGGGGACGTACATCAGGTTCGGGATCGTTGCCCGAAACACTACAGAAAGCCGATTTGAATATCATTGGCCCTGATAAGTGTCAGGCAGGTTGGACTGGAGTTAACGACATCACCAAAGCAATGGTCTGTGCTGGACATTTGTCCCGATCCGGTTGTAATGTAAGTAATTTATACTTTAGAGAGAGAGAGAGAGAGAGAGAGAGAGAGAGAGAGAGAGAGAGAGAGAGAGAGAGAGAGAGAGAGAGAGAGCGAAAAATTATTAAAAATAATTATTATAATATAAACTTGTTTATTAATAATTAGGGTGACTCTGGTGGCCCATTGGTTTCTGGTGGTGTTCAAGTGGGTATTGTTTCGTGGGGTGCCAGTGGTTGTCCCGCTAATACAGTAACCCGACCCACAGTCTATGCTGATGTAGCAAATGGCAAGACATGGTTGGAAAGCCAATAGATAGTGTGACCTTAACTCAGAAAATGTTTAATAGGATTCGGCTATAAATTAAATATATTTAAATTATTTAAAATTATAACTTATTATAAGAAAATAAAATATAATATATATTTTTTCTATAAATTTAACTATAGTACAAAAATTCTAAATTTAATTTTTGATTAATTATTACTATTTTTTATATTGTATAATTTGAGCATGATTCATTCAAAACTGTGATTAATGTTTATCAATAATATTTGTAAAAAATATTTATTTCTATTTTATAAAAATAATATAAATTTTATATCAAAATTAAAATAATAAACATTATATTGCCTTTTGAATGACAAAAAAATTGTTTTTAATTATATATATATTTATTTATGTTTAGATGACAAAAATAACAAATGATAATTGTATGAAACAGTGTCTTAAAAATCGGCGGTTGCGATGATATCGGCGATGCTATTAATTTCAATTATCTGGTCAACAATACATTTAATTGACCAAGGGCTAAGTTTTAGATAATTTTAAACTAAATAAGATTATGATAGGTATTTTTTAATTAATTCTATGATTGGCCAGATAATATACAGCCAACTGTTAAAAAATTGTAAAAATTATAGTCGACTGCAATTATTTGCTCAATAATACAATTAATTTTTAAAAAATGACCAATTACAATCTTATTTTAATTTAAAACTATCTTTAATATTGCCCTTGGTCATTTTTAAATTCAACGTATTGTTGGCCAGATAATTGAAATTAATATTATCTCCGCCGCCGCCGCTGTTTAAGACTCTCTGCAAAATAATAACTAATAAAAGATAATTTATATTTTTTTTATTAGAAATACATTAGAAAGTGTAGCAAACTTTATAACTAATAATTGTATTTAAAATTTAATTAACTTATCATAATATATAGAAATCATAAATAATAAAAATATTATTACTATATATAATCGTCATAAAGTCTAGGTTAACACAATAAATTTAATTATTACAAAAATTTTAAATTGTTATAAAAATTGTACTATATTTTAAGCATTATTATATATTTTATTGTATTTACAAAAATATATAAACTTTTTATCATCAATAATTATTATATTACCCGGGTTATCAAATTGTGAAATTATAAATTTAAAATGAAATACTAATTTTATAACCTATTAATGAAATAAAACAATAAAAAAGAGTTCAATTAAATATGATTGTCATTTTGTAAGTTACCTTTAGTTTAGTTTAATTAGCCGACAATGAGGACAGTCAGCTCTGTGTCGATACTAGTCTTTTGTTTGTCTGTTACGGTCAATGCATTTGTTGAAATATCGCCCGAATTTGGCCGCAAATCATTGGCCAGTCCGGGTGCTCGTGTAGTAGGCGGTACACCGGCATCGGCCACACAATCACCATTTCAGGCCTCGCTGAACGCCCAGTCCCTATTTGGGTCGAGTCATATATGTGGCGGTTCATTGGTCGGTCAACGCAGTGTTATTACGGCCGCCCACTGTTGCGATGGGTATACATACATAATAACCTATCTATTGATACATTACATCCAAAACATACCTGTCCTAAACATAATATATATATATTTATAGTTATACAGCCGACAAACTGACCATCAAGTATGACGGTTTGGACAGAACCAAATTGAAAGTAACCAACAAAGTGACCAAGGTAGCCCAACACGACCAATACAATGGCAATACCATTGACTATGACTACTGTGTGCTGACACTTGAGAACCCGATTGTCCAGTCGACTACTGTCAGCACTATTGAATTGGTCAGTACACCACCACAGCATGGATCGCCCGCTCATCTGACCGGTTGGGGTAAGATATCGGGCAGTACTAGTTCGCTGCCCGTTCAGCTACAGTACACACCAATGGCGATTGTTTCGCGCGAAGAATGTAACAAAATTTGGGAACCGGCCGGTCAAACGGTCACTGCCCGTATGATATGTGCGTCAAACAGAGCGGCCAGTGGTTGTAATGTAGGTTTTATTAGTAAATTTTTTAAAAATAATTATAAATGTTTTATTTTTTGTTAATTTTATTTTCTAAATATTTTTCTAAACAATAATTTATCTATTTATTAATATGTGTTACACACTGTGTAACACTACCATTGGTATTGCTTAAAAAATATTTAGATATATTTTTTTATATTAGTTAATTAGTTAATTATTATTATTATTATTATATTGTTATTAACAAAAATAGGGTGATTCTGGTGGACCTCTTGTTGTTGACGGCAAACTAGTCGGTATAGTTTCGTGGGTCTACAGGGGTTGTCCGGCTAATACCGAGGAATGGCCTACAGCTTATGCCGATGTGGCCAATAGCCGGCAGTGGTTAGACGAAAGAATACAATAAATTTTCAATCAGATTATTAATTAATGTATAACTTATATTATGAATAATTTTTTTTATAAAAAATACAATAAAGATATTGTATAAAATTTGATTTGTTAACTTAAATAATAAAAATTTTGAATTACTAAAAGAATAAAAGAAAATATTAATCATTTTTTTAAAAAAATTTATATATATATTATAATTTGTTCACTAATTTGACAGATTGTATTTGTATTGTATTTCAACTACAAATAAATAGCTTTGTTAAAAATAAACAATAAATTAAATGTTATTTTATTTAAAATTAAAAAAAAACTTTTGTTTTAGAGAATCTATTAACTAATTAATCATAGAAAATTTTACAATATATTGATATATAATTTAGATTTGTTTTTTAAAAAATTAAATAAAAATTAAATCTAATAATATTTATCTATAAATATATTTGATGTACTAAAAGTTTTTAAAAATTCTATATATTATTTATTAATACAATTTATAGTAAAAAATATTTGTTTAATTTGTTAAAAATGTTTGATGATTCAACTATATATTAATCTATTGCCTACAATTATTGGATAAAAATTAATGTAAGTTTAATTAATGTTTGCAAAATATAAACTAAAATGCTAAATATAAACTATAGTTGAAATATTTTAATATTATTAAATTCGTGTACAATATAAATACTGTAAAAATAAATTATTTATTAAAAATATAGTAAAAATTTTATTATAATATAATATTATTTTTATAGTTTATTTATAGATATATAGCTATATTAATTCATTTTATACTTAAATTATTATTATTAGTGAAATATAATATTTTTTAAATAAATCTAATAAATATAAACTTTTTACAATAATAAATCATTTTTATTATGAAAATTATCTGTAATAATACACAACAAATGTTTTATTAACAATAATAATTATATCAAAAATTAGTATGATAATTCAAATAAAAATATTTAAAATAAAACATTTTTATGAAATTTTTAAAATCATAAATTTTGTCTTAAAAAATCTTCAAATAATAATTAATTAACAAAAAATGAGACTAAAATTAAATCTTATGATATATTTTTTATATCAGTCAAAATTTTAATTTGTTTAAAATAATGATCAATACAAAAATTAAAAGTTTAATAAATATAATAATAATTATTTTATGATGATTTTCTTTATTATAAATGTTTTATTTATTAGTTTATACGTATTGTTTGTAAAAAATGTCTATGGTAATAATACTAATAAATATTAGTATTGATAACCTGCTAATTTAATGAAAATATATAATACAGGTCAAATTGAGGTCACTTATCCGGGTATCGGACACTTTACAGTTTACGATTTTCGGGATCCTGTTTACCGTAAAAATGTTTTGCTTCCTCAAAGTCCACATCAAATTGATACACAATTTTTACTCTACACTCTCGCCAACCAATGGTATCCCACATTCATACGTCTCGGCGACCGCAAGTCTGTCCGCGGATCGAGATTTGTGGCCAAAAAACCGACAAAATTCATAATTCATGGTTTTGTCGATAATATTATATTAGGCCAATGGATGCACCAATTAAAAGACCAATTACTCAAACAGGAGGACTGTAATGTTTTTCTGGTTGATTGGAAAGGTGGCAATGGGTGGCCATACGAACAGGTAGTTAACTAATTATTTAATAGATAATTAAAAATTATATTATTATTATGTTTAAAAATAATAGTATAATGAAAAAAAATCAACTTTAAGGTGAGATATAATAAATATACAATTAATTAGATATACGATTAAAATCTATGAATACAAACTATTAATATATAGTTTTACATTTTTCAAAATTATATATTTTCTAATATAAATAATTTTATATGTAAAATATTAATAATTAAGTTGTAGCAAAAATTAATATTTTAGTTATTAGTTTTAAAAATAATCATTACAAACCTATTGTCGGAAAAATAATGTAAAATAATTAATTGTCCATAACTTATAATTTACAGTATTTATGACTAATACTGTATTATAATTTCATTTACGGTAATATAAAAAATAAATATATATTATATGTTAATAATAATAATATGTTGTTGTAGGCCGTGGCCAACACTAGAGTTGTGGGACCAGTGCTGGGATTGTTCATCAATGAGCTTAAGGTTTTTATCAATTGCATTTATAAATATTAAAACATTATATTGAGTTTAAAATATTTGATGATAATACTAGTATTTTAATTAATATAATAATAAATATAGATAACATATGGCTTAAAACCCAGTAATGTCCATATATTAGGCCATTCATTGGGCGCACATATAGCTGGTTATGCGGGACAACGACTCAATGGCACTATTGGTCGTATAACAGGTCTGGATCCGGCCGGACCTGACTTTCAAGGACTAACCAATCCGGCCGTCAAACTCGATCCTACAGATGTAATAAAAAAAATAAATATAAAAACTCATATATTTTTTTAATTTCATATTTTATACAAATCAGATAATATGATATACTATATATATATTTTAGGCTATATTTGTGGACGCAATACATACTAATGCCAATCCATTAATTACAGATTTCGGATTAGGTAATTATGACACCCTGGGTCATCTGGACTTTTATCCCAATGGAGGTAACATAAAATAATTTTAGATAATATTAATTAATAATAATATTATTATTATTATTAATTGTTAAAAAAAAATATACAATAATTATTATTATTTAAGGCAATCATCAACCTGGTTGTCCTATTGAACGACTAACATCAGTTCTAACGGGAGGTTAGCCCTAATATACATATATAAATAATAGCATAATTTTATTTTAGAAATGTATTTATTTTTTTTTATTAATAAACTTTTAACCGTATATTGAAGGACCCATTGAAGGAGTTCGTCGACTAGTGTTTTGTAATCATCAGAGATCTGTTGACTTTTATATGGCATCACTAATCAATAGGTGGATCAAACCGGTTGGCCATAAATGTCCAAACTATGAGACATTCAAAAGCGGAAAATGTTGGGATTGTGGCCCTAATAATGGTGTCAAATGTGCTGTAATGGGTATCCACGCCATACAGTCGGTACCTTTTAAGACACAAACACAGGGAAACAGATATTATTTGATAACAACTGATCGATTCCCATATTTTCAGTAATTAGTAAAAGTTAATTTTATTTTCACAATTTTACTTAAAAATTACTGTTAAATCACTCAAAATAGTAATAATAGTAATAATAGTTAAAATAATTACAATTTAGTTATTGTTTTAAAATATTTTTTACAATTGTTTATTATGCCTGAAATATAACATTTAAATATTTTATGTATATTGAGTGAAATATCTAAGTTAATATCAATATAATAATTTAAATAATATTTATTAAATTGTTTAAGTCGGTTTATTTATCTATATAAAACAAAATAAAATTTAAAAACTTATTAAATTATTAACTAATACTATTTTTGTAGTTTATTTAAATAATTATTAATTATTAACTAACTTAATTAAATTTTTTAATAATTGTGAAATATGATATTTTTAAAATAAATCAAATGAATATAAGCTGTTTTATCAATTGTTTTTAAAAGTTATAAATCATTGTTTAATATAAAAATATTGTACAATAATACATTAATTACACAAAAAAATGTGATATAATGATTACAAAAATAATGTAATACTCGAACTAAAAGCAGTAAACAAAATTTTTAGCAAATTAATTTTAAAAATCATTAGGGTTCGTGCAAATTCATTCCCGCATTTTATTATCTAAAAGTTCCCTATTTTTCTGCTCTCTGGGAATTCCCAGGGAATCTATTTTCTTGTAATACCATATATTCAACTCTAAAAAACAAATTTAATAATAAGATTATGGATAGCAAATGTTGCATTAAACTGTATTTTTAGTGTTATTGTTAAATGATATAACTAAACTCATTAAAATTATATTTATTCTTAAATATTTCAATAAAATTTTATGTAAAAAATTAAGCTTATCTATTATTTACTTTAAAAATATAAAATATATATTTCTTTCTAACGTACTATGGAGGAAACTAAATTATTTTCCATATTTTCCGGGTAAAATTGGAGGGATTTTATTAGGGAACTTCCCTCTCTTGGAAATTTGCCCGAACTCTAAAAAATCATTAATTTTTATTTAACAATTGGATATTTCAATAATAATTAATGAATCAATATATGTGTATAAAATGAGATTTTATTATATGTTTTTTTTTTTATATCAGTAGCAATATATGCTATTTTGTTCAATAATAATCTCTGATAAAAACTAATTATCTAATAAATATAATAAAAATAAATATGATTTTAAATATATATGTTCTATCCATATGTTTAGTTATTTTATTTGTAAAAAATACCTATGGTAATAATAATAATTATTATTATTTTTATTATTATTTTTTAATAATTAAAGTTAATATTGAATTAATTAAAAAATATTTTTTTAAAAAACAAAAAATTTATTAATATCTTATTAACTTTTTWAAAAAAAATATTACAGGTCAAACAGAGATTACCTATCCGGGTATCGGACACTTTACAGTAAACGATTTTCGGGATCCCGTTTACCGAAAAACAGTTTTACTTCCCCAGAGTCCACAAAAAATTGATACACAGTTTCTACTTTATACGCGCGACAATCAATTGTTTCCCGCATTCATACGTCTCGGCGATCAACAGGCTGTCCGCGGATCGAAATTTGTGGCCAAAAAACCGACAAAATTCGTAATTCACGGTTTTGTCGATAATATCTTATTAGGTCAATGGATGCACCAATTAAAAGACGAACTACTCAAACGTGAGGACTGTAATGTTTTTCTGGTTGATTGGAAAGGTGGCAATGGATGGCCATACGAACAGGTAGTTACTGATAATTTAATCTAATAATTTTAAATTATATTTTAAAATAATAATAAAATAAAAATACATTTTTTCTTAATACTATTAATTACATACTGTAAATACTAACAAATATAATTAATATATATATATATATATATATATATTAAATTGCTTTTAATAGTTAATAATATTTTGTTGTTTTTGTAGGCAGTGGCCAACACTAGAGTTGTAGGACCAGTGCTGGGATTGTTCATCAATGATCTTAAGGTTTATCATAATATAAGATATACTGTTATACAGTATAAATATTATTTATTACGGTATAGTGACTATAAATATATGAAAAATTATTTGAATTATAATAACAACAGACAATATATGGCCTAAACACTGGCGATGTCTATATAATAGGCCATTCATTGGGCGCACATATAGCTGGTTATGCAGGACAGCAACTAAACGGCACTATTGGTCGTATCACAGGTCTAGATCCGGCCGGACCTGACTTTCGAGGACTGACCAATATTCCGGCGGTCAAACTTGATCCCACAGATGTAATAAAACACAATTATTATTATTTTTTTAAAAAAATTGTTTTAAATTTCATGTATTACACAAATTAAATCTATTTTAAGGCAAAATTTGTAGACGCAATACACAGTGATGCAAATCCATCAAATGTCGACTCGGGTTACGGTAATTACGACACATCCGGTCATCTGGACTTTTATCCCAATGGAGGTAAAACGTGTGTTATATTATTATAATAGATTTTAAAAAATAGTAAACTATTTTATTGATACTACCCAGGCTATAATCAACCTGGTTGTTCAATTCAACGATTTACATCATTTCTAACGGGAGGTTAGCCTAAGTATATCATAATATGATACGATCTATTAATTTGCTTATTATTATTATTTTTATTAATATATTTTAATTCAAATATTGAAGGACCCATTGAAGGCGTGCGTCGACTAGTATTTTGTAATCACATGAGATCTATTGACTTTTATATGGCATCACTGACCTATACGGGCGTCAAACCGATTGGCCATCAATGTCCTGATTACGAGACGTTTAAAAGCGATAAATGTATGGATTGTGGCCCTAATAATGCTGGCAAATGTGCTACAATGGGTATCGATGCCATACAGTCGTCAACATTTAAGACACAAACACAGGGCAATAGATTTTATTTGACAACAGGAGATCGTTACCCATATTTTCAATAATCATTATCATTATAAAAGTGATAATTGTTTTTAAGATAATATAATAATATTATAGTTATAAATATTTAATATATTTATATATAATCTTATAAATATATATATATATTTAAATAATTAACTGAATATGATAAATAAATAAAACTCGTTATGAAAATTAAACAAATTAATAGTTATATAATATAACTTATATTATAAAACGATAATTATTATACAATAAATGTTTTTATTCAAATTTATACTAAAAGAAAATTCTAACATTACTATGACATAGGTTTTATAAATTATAATTTATTTCAATATAACTTATTATTATAAATTGAGTAAATAATTACTTTAGTAAAAAAATATACAGTAAAAACATTTTTATTAACATTAATAAATATTTATAATTTAGATTTCTTTAAAAATAAATATAAAATAAAAATAACTTAATACTTTAGATTTTTAATTTCTAAAAATTCTTTTAGTTAATTTATTATAAAATCTAAACCTATATACAACCTACCTTACAATTAATATATATATTTAAATAATACATATATTTTATATTATAATTATTATAATACAGTATCTTTTGTTGTAATTATCATTATAATAAAAATTTATTAAAATATATTTAAAAGCTGTATATTTATAAAATTTATTTCTAGTAGTTAAAAACTAAAGTTAGTTTTTAATTAACATAAAGTAATTGCAAATAACAATTTAAAAAATAGATTAGAAATTTTATAAAAAACCAATATTTATAAAATAAAATACATTAATAATTAAGATTTATTAAAATACGGATAGTCAGCACCGGTAGTCAAAAAGTATCGTTTGCCTTGTGTTTGACTCTTATGTTTAGCCAACTGTATAGCATCGACACCCATAATGGCACAGTTGTCACCATTTGATCCACAACTCTGACATTTGCCACTACGATATGCATCATAATCACTGCACTGATGTCCCACTGGTTTAATACCTGGATAGCTCATGGATGCCAAATAATAATCAATAGCTCTTAGATGATCACATGCACACAGTTTGCGCGCCTGATCTAACATTCCTGTAATAATAATAATAATAATATTTTTTTTAATAAATAGTTTGTAAAACTACAAAATAAGATAATATTATAGTCAAAATAAATAAATAAAAACTAACCGTCCGTTATTATGGATGTAAATTTTTGTATTATACAACCAGGTTGAGTTACACCTAACATTTTGCACACAAAATAAAATAATTATAATAAATTTATTAATATTGTTAAAATATTATTATTAATTTACTTATAGTTATATAAATAAAACTTTACCTCCATTGGGATAAAAGTCCAAATGACCGGATGTTTCATACATACCGAAACCAAACATCGGTATCAATGGTTTTGCATTAGTATGTATGGCATCAACAAATTGTGCCTAAATTAATAATATTTGATATTTAGATATACAGTAAAAGTGTTTTTATATATAGAAATAATTAATTTATATTATTATTAATACATCTGTGGGATCAAGTTTAACATTAGGATCGTTGATGCCATCAAAGTAAGGACCGGCCGGATCCAGACCAGTAATACGGCCTACTGTGCCGTTAAGTTGTTGACCGGCATAACCAGCAATGTGTGCGCCCAACGAGTGTCCAATTAGGTGAACATTACTGGCGTGAAGTCCCGATATTTTCTAATATTATTTTTTTAATTAGTTTTTTTTGACAATTTGTTAATTATAAAAATCAATAACAATTTCATTTATTATGTAAAATTTTTGTTGTTATTTATAATTTAGACTTACTTTAAGCTCATTAATAAACAGAGCTATCACTGGTCCGACAACACGTGTATTTGCTGTCGCCTTAAATATAAATTAATTTCTTTTTAATTAAAAACAATAATAATTATAAAAAATGTTTAAAACTATGTATAAATACCAATGTATACGGAAAACTATTTCCATTCATCCAATCGACTAAAAATACATTACAATCTTCACGACGTATTAGTTCATCCTTTAATTTTGTCATCCATTTACCTAAATATGTATTATCAAGAAAGCCGTGTATAATAAATTTGGTCGGTTTGTTGCCATCAAAATGCGATGATTTAATAGTAGTTGTTTGGTTAGCATTGTTGCCCTGTTTGATGGTTATGGCATCCAATTGATTATGTCGTGTGTAAAGCATAAACCGGGTGTCTATGAGTTCAGGACTTTGAGGTAATAAATTTAATGGTCTATAAATTGGATGCCAAAAGTCGTTAAGATTGAAAGTTCCGATATTTGGAAAATTTACTTGTAATAGACCTGGATTAATATTTTTTAGAAAAAATTAATTAAAATTAGTTTTCAAAATTTGCATATAATTACCTTGTTTACTTAATTCAATATAAATAGTAAAATATATCAATGAAATAAATTTATTCATTTTTTTGGTAAAAATTTAATTCGTTATATTATTAATATAATATATTTAGTTTTAAATAAATGTTTTGTTATAAAACTATTTAAGTATTAAATTTTAGAATCTGTATAAATCAGTTTATATAGTTTTATTTTTTTATAAATATTGCATAGGATTAATTAATTAGTTTTAATATATTTATTACGTTTATTTATCTAATTTGTGTGGGATTTATTTATTTGTCTTTACAATAATTGTGTACCAAATGTTATAAAGTTAATTTACTTTTATTTAATGTACTAATAATTTAATTATTTAATTGTATTAGTTATTGTTTTATATAAATTATTATTTATTGATAATTAATTAAAAGATTTTAGACAAAAGATCCTATTCAAACAATTAATTAATTAATAACATACTGTATGACATCTATTTTATATATAATTTATATGTAATAAAATAAATAATTGTATCGATAATGACATATTTAATAAATTAATTGAGTTATAGTATCACATGTTTTTAAAGAAGTATAGTAAAGTTATAATGCAATAGTTTATGCAATAAAAATAATTATAAATAAAGTATATTTCTATTAAAGTTATCAATAATCTTTATGCTATAAGTTTTTAGTCCAATTAAAATATTGAAATATTAATAAACTTATATATTTAATAATTTTATATGGAAATAGCAATAATTTGTTTTATTAATTAAATTTTTATTTCATTTCACTTATTATTGTTTTTAAAAAGACTCCAATATTTTTCTTATAAATGACTGAAATGAAATTTATTATATTGTGATTTTTTTTGGTATATATTTTATATAATTTTTATTTAATATATTTATATTTAATACTATTGATAAGTTATAAACATAAACTCATAGTTACAGATTTTGATAATAATTTTTTCATAATAAAAACTTTCAAATAAGTTATTATTGAAATAATCTTTTTTAAATAATATTTTCAATAGTATTTTTCAATAAGTATATCGCGTTCTTATTAAATAAAAAAATGATAAATTAAAACTTGTTTTTATCTGAATTTATTTTCATAATTTTACTTAAAATAGTATTTTTAAACACTCAAAATTGTAATTTACAGTATAATTAATATTATTAAAAAACTATTAATAAAGTATACTGTATATTTTTAGAAAAATATCTTTAATTTAACATGCAATTTAATAATCAATTTAATATAAATATGTCTAACTGTTATAGATTATTGTCAATAAAAAATATAGGTAAATATAAATCCAACTGGATCATATTTATTTATTTATTTAATTCAATACATTTGTATTGCATATATTTGTAGAAATTGAATGACTAGAATTTGTTTTTGTTTTAAATCTAATTTATTTCAGATATTTTATGATAAATAATATAAATGAATCTAAATTTTAATTTATAATTAATTTATTATGAAACGTTTTAGTTCTATATTTAAATTATTAATTTATAAAATATTATGAATATATTGTGAAATATTACGAAAATTTGACGATTGCAAAAATTTGACATGCAATTAGAGATGGGCAAATAAAATGCTTCTAATAAATTTCCATGAGAAAGTTTCTAGAAACTTTCTCAGCAATAAATTTCTATAGAAATTTAACTGTAATGGGATCACCATATCTATAGATATTGTAATACTATATTAATGAGACTTAATACTATACATATATTATACAAAGCGGGATACCTATATAAAAAAATAATTATAATTATTTAATAATAATCAGTTTTATAAAATCTTATTCATCATTCTAATAAACAGTATATATATCTTAGTTTAATATAATTAAATAAATAAATTTTTACTTTAATTAATAATTAAAATACGAATAATTATATTTAATTAGTAGTTGTAAAAGTAAGTTAACAAATATCGAGAAAACAAAATTAACATGGGGATCCCATAAATAGAAATTTCTTCTAGAAACTTTCTAGAAATTTCCCTATTATTTTAGAAATTTCTCTTTTTTGCCAACACTACATGCAATGTATTTTATTAATGTAATAAAAATTAATTTAATGAAAATATTAAAAATTAAAGAAACTTAATGTGTTATTATGCCACTTACACTGTACAACATTCAATTATAATAATTTAAACAATATTTTAATACATTATAAAATAATAGTAATAATTTAGTTATAACAATTTCAATAAAATTATTTTATTTAAAGTTGTATTAAAAATATTACAAAATAAAAATTACTTTAATTAATTATTTAAATTTTTATAAGTTAGCCAAAATATTATTAAAAATGATGAATAAAATAATAAATTTATTTAAAAATAGTATTAATATTAGTAATTATAAGCAAATATTTCAATTGATGGATAAGTTTTTGTGTAACAATTATGTGACACTATATGCCACAAGTGATGACTACTATTTCGGACTTCCATTGGTTGGCAATCGTATCGCTCGCATTGTATGGTATAGACTGATATCAATGATATTTGCACTAAAATTTTCATTAATAGCTATATTAAACAACATTAGTATTTATAATATTAATAGCAATGAAAACTATTACATTAATAATCCAATAATCAATGCCATATTGTTTGATGTTAGCAAAGATATTGTCAATAGTCATATAATGTCAACCATACTATCTATACTATTAATATCCGGCCTATTATGTCAATTGATATATAATCTACAGGAATGGTATGGCTGCTATCATATACATAGAATATCCTATATAATTAAACAGAGTGGTCATACTGGAGGTGACAGTATACTTAGCAATGAATTTGATAGCAAATCCAGTAAAACGTTTAGCACTTTCCTATATGTTTATTATCATTTAGTTCACATTGTTATTAGAAAATATCTACCATGGTCAATTATCTTGCTGCATCTATTAAGCAGTATCAATTACTTGATAATGAATTGGTGGTCATCATCTTCATCATTGTCACTATCAATGTGGTGGTCAATCCTATTAATTGTTGCAATCGTATGGAATCTGATTGGTTATGTGGCAATTAGCGAGATAATCAATTTTGTTGCCTATTATACATTTACATTAGTATTTGCGCCATTATATTTGCGATTAAAATTTAACATGATCAATACGGCCATTAGACATGCAGTGGACAGTGGCCGCCGTCGCCGCCGCCGACAAACTGGTCAACTAAGCTATAATTGGCGATTGTTGAGTGCGGCTATCATTGAACACAATCGTATGGCCAATATTTGCAGTGCAATCAATGAAACACTCAAATACAATATATTTGGTGGTTATTATATAACACCAATTGGATGTCAATTATTAATCTATACTATACATCATTCGCAAACATTGTTATGGATGCGATATTTTGATTCACTATTTGTGGCACTAATTATAATTATTTATTTCTACTGTATATATGTGTTGGTAGCTGTTATGCAAAGTGCACATAAATCGTACAGGGTCATTTATAATGTGTTGTTTGAAAATAATAATAATAAAACTAATAAAAATATTCAAATGATAAGTTTAATGAATAAACTAAAACTCATAACATTTATTGAGGTCCTGTCCTCAGCTAATCCAATAGGTTTTTATTGTTATAATATTAGACCATTAACTATGTATTGTTGTTTTGATTTTTTATTATCAAATGCAATTAATTATTTACTAATCATAACATTATTTTGATACAATTTATAATTAATAGTAGTTTAATATACACTAGTATTTGTAATTATATTGTTAATCTATGTATTATAGTAATCGTAGTTCTAATACAAAAAAATATTATAAATTTTACAATATTTTTTTTAATTTAACTACTCTTATAATAAAATTTGCAAATATTTAATATTATTAATAAATAACAACTTTTGTTAAATTATTAAAAATAATATTTTTAATTAATACACTATTATTATATAAGTACAGCATTTAATAGTTGTAAAATATTATCATTACATTTTAAGTGGTAGTATTTAAAAGATTAATATTTTTGCAATAATAATAATTAATATGGTTAAAAATTATTTTTATTTTTCATTCTAAGCTAAATATAATAATCAATATTATTTAATTTTTAATAAAACTTGTATTTTTATTACATATTGTATTCAAGCAAAATAAATAAAAAAATACATTAAATAAAATAATGAAGCAATCAAAATTTTTATTTTTTATATTATTATGTTTTATTATTAATATTTATAATGTTTGTGGAATAAACTTTAATAATAATAAAATTAATATATTGATTAGTAAAAAACAGGTAATTAATTTTTTAAAAATAATTTGTTTTATTTATAGATATAATATAGTATTTTTACAAAAAAATTAAATAATATTTATTATAAATTATTTTACTAAATTTAATAAATGTATATTTTTTATATTTTTTATAACTAAAATTAAACTCTAAATATACTTTAAACATATAACAATTATTACATATTAACATTCAAACATTGTCTATTAATAGGAGTATGGCGAAATTATTAAAAGCAACAATCTTAAATTGGCTATTGAGCACCGGGCATCACTGGGTCGGGTAGCTCAACTGGGCGAATATTATGATGCACGAACAGATCAATTTCTAGGATTAAACATGTTTAATCGGACACTGGATCAGCCGGATCAAATATCCAGAATCGACAATGCTTATACCAGTTTGACCATGATACAATCAGATAGTTTATCGGATAAGTTTGATCAACTAGACATTAGTGTATCGTTGCGCCTGTCGTTTTTGGCCGGTATCATATCGATTGGCGGATCGGCCCGTTATCTCAATGACAAACGTACCAGTGCCCGATCGGCCAGAATATCGTTACAACATTCTATACTAACACAATACGAGTCATTGCAGACTATGGACAGTCGACTGCTCGACTATGTCGATGTCAGGGCACTGGACCAGTTAGATGTTACACATGTGGTCACTGGTATTCAATGGGGAGGTAAGTGTATTGTTTCGGTTAGCGATAGCAATGAAATGAGCGATGAGCACCGTAATATCCAGGCCAAATTGAGCATGGAGCTTAACCTGGTAGTGGCCAAAATTACCGCCGAAGTAGGTGTCAACTATACAGATAATACGTTCAAAAATTTGAGCATGTACAATTTTGAAGTTTACGGAGACATATTGCCCGATAGGGTACCGGAAAATATTGTCGACGCACTGTTATTCATGAATATGACACCCACTTTGCTTAGGAATGGTAATCAGGGTAAAGGTAAACAAGTATCGTTTACACTGACACCAGTCAATGTGCTCCGTGAGCTCTGGGAACGGGAGATCAAAGTGTCGGCATTTGTTCACGAAATTGAAGAGTCGATTGTCAACAAATGTGTCCAATTGTTTGACGATATGAATGCAATTCAACAACAATTAAACGATTATTTTACTGATTTTACTAATCATTGGGAACCGTATGTTAGAGACGAAGCAGTGACTGAATTGCAACAACTGGTGGCAAACTATACGATATATCAGACAACAAATACAAAACTATTGTCTGCATTATTAATCAAAATACGGGCCGGAAATGAAAGTGTCGATCAATTGATAGACATATTGTTAAAATCGCGTAACGATACGTATAGTCGGGAGGAAATGGACAATAAACTGGCAAAATATGATCGACTAAAAAATCAATTACTATTAGTTGATTTTGTTGGCAATATTAGCACCCAGGCCAATGTATGTCGACTAGATAAGCATACTAATTTGGAAACTATTATGCTAAACAATCAAGATAAAAATATCTATATACTATTCTATAACTATGAACATAGTGGCAATGAATTTAAGCAAGATAATATGAATGCTATACAAGCGTTTAGACAATTAATTGAAAATGATAATACTATTTATAGTAATTTATCAACAAATGTATATTGTTCAATTAATTATGAAATAATTAATAAAATGGATGTATTACATATGGCCTATATATCATCAACAAATAATATAACTAAACCTAAAATTAGTTTATACAGATCAGACAAACTAATTAATGATAATATATTGCCCATTGATTTGACAAATAATCCACAGATTTATGTTTGTGGCGGCTATGATGGCCAACAATTTTATAGTCAATGTTATAAACTTGATATATTATTGAACAATTGGTCCAAAGATAGTCTATTAGATCATATGATACACAGTCGTTACCATTTGAAACTTATTCAATTTGACAATAAGTTATACAGTATTGGTGGTCGACAGGTAATATACAGTACTATACATGTATATTATTACTCTATGTCATAGAGTCTATGATATAATATATTTTTTGTTGAAAGTTTTTTAATTATTAAAATCATTTTTTTAAAATTATAATAAAAATAATTATATGTATAAAAATATTAGGATATTAGCACCAATTGGGTGGAAACATATGATACTAGAAATAATCTTTGGGCAGTTGTTTCGCCGCTAAACATCAAAAGATAGTAATTATATAATAAATTTTAAGTTTTTAAGTTTAAGTTTTAAAAAAACAATTAAATACTAAATTAAATTTGTTATTAATTTAGCGGTTTGGGTGCTGCTGTTATTAATAACACAATCTATGTTTGTGGCGGTCTAAACACTAATGAATTAAGTAAACTGAAATACTAAATTAACTAGATCATTTTTTAAATAATAATAATAGCCAATAAATATTTATTACTTAAAAAAATTATTTTATAGGTATAAAATCGTGCGAATATTTTACACGTGAAACCAACGAATGGATGTTTACTAATCCAATGCTGACAGCACGTGATTTTCACGAACTGGTCGCACATGAGGGCTGTCTGTACGCAATTGGTGGCAATAGTAATAATAATAATCAATCGGTCAATACAGTGGAAAAATATGAACATTCTAGTCAAACATGGGAACAGGTGGCTAATATGACTAGTGCAAGGTTAATTAGTTATATATTTTTAAAAAATATATATTTATTATATATATATTTAACATTACCCAGATCATCATTTGGAGCAATATCATTTATGGGTAAAATTTATGTATGTGGGGGTCGCACTAGCAATACAGGACAAACGGTATCAAACATTTGTGAAGTCTATGATTCACACACTAATAAATGGACACAAATTAGTATATAATATTAATAATAGTAACATATTTATGTATAGTTTATTTTGTTTACTATATATTTATAATTAACTACTGGTAGGTTCAATGAAAGAGTCCCGATTTGATCTGCAATTGGTTACCTATAATGACAAGCTATACGCTGTTGGAGGGGACAGTATGTATTTATTATTGATATATAGCCTAATAAATACATTATAATAATTATATTTAAATAATTTTCAGAAACTAATACTATAGAAATCTATGACTATATGTCAGATCGTTGGAGTCATTCAATAACTTTGCCGACAAAAGTTGGAGCATTTGGGGTATAATTTTATTTTATTTTTTAAATTATATATTTTTTGTTAATATTTATTTTATTAAACAGGTATCGATTTATAAAAACTAATAATAACTCAATAATTAAAAGATAATACAACTAAATATATTAATCCAGATTTGATAAGTTATTTTCGGATAATTGTTATTCAATATACTTATAATATTATTTTTATTGAAATCATAAGCAATTAAACTTTGTATTTTTATTAATCCCTTTAATATTAATATTATTTAATAGAAGATTAATAAAAATTAAACATTGAACTATTATTTAATAATGATTTTACTAATTGTAAACACTTGAAATTGCTATCTTTATTGAAGTTATTTTATTTATAGTTGAAAAATGATCATATTTAGTTAATTAAGTAATTTTTAATATTAAAATTTATTAATTAATTATACATTATTTAAAATAACGATAACATTACTGATTAATAAATATATTTTGACATTATTTTATTTTATTTAAAATTAATATAACATTATTAATTAATATATATAAAAATATATATTAATAAATATAATTGAATATTATTTAAATTTATTTTATAAACTTCAATGTTATAGTCGTCTAAAAATTTACAATAAACAATAGGATATAATAATTGATAATATTTCAAGTTTAAAGGATTATATGTAATAATAATTAAATTTTTTATATATTTTAATAATAGATAATATAACTAATATATCTAATAATTATGAGAGAGGATTATATTTAGAGTATAAAAATGGATAATCTATAAAAAAATTGATAAAAATAAAATAAAATATTAATATTAAAACTTAAATATTTTGTAATAACTTACTTAATATATTAAATATATATATATAACTGACTAATAATTATTGATTAATAGTTATTCAGTATCTTAATGTATAGATACAAACAAACAGAAAAATATTGAAAGAGAAAACTAATTAAAATTTTTGTTTATTAAAAATGTCTAAACAAAAAATATTAATGTTATTTCTAAATATATTATTTATAAATATATTTTACATTAATGCACTTAACTTGAGCAACCTAACAAAAATTGAGACTTTATTAGCAAATGAGGTATTTAAACAAAAAAACTTATTTTTTATTATTAACTATTGTTTGATTGTATTATATTTTATAGTTACCGACTAAAAAGCTGATTAATGTGGACGCACTGAAAAAGGCATCACTGGGGCGGGTAGCCCAATTGGGCGAATTCTACGATGCCCGTACCGATAATTTTGTCGGTATCAATCTGTTTGCTACACAACTGGCCAAACAATCAATATCATCGATTGAGAATGCATTTACCGATTTGAAGTTTACCACCGATGACAGTCTACAAAATAAGTTTAATCAGCTGGACGTCGAGGCATCGCTTAAGTTGTCGGTATTGGGCGGTAAAGTTAATCTGGGTGGTTCGGCCAAATATTTGAAAGACACGAAATCCAGTTCAAAAAGTGCCCGAATATCGCTGATTGAATCGATAAATACCCGATTCGAGTCGATATCGGTATCGGACACATCGGTCAAACAAGTGGTCAACTTTGATGCACTGTCACAGTTTGATGTCACTCATGTAGTTACTGGTATACAATGGGGCGGTAAGATTATTGTAACTGTAGAGGACAGTAACCAGGCAAACGAGGACAATTTGAATGTACAGGGTAGGCTGCATGCGGAAGTACAGTACGGTATGACCAAAATTACTGGTGAAGCCAAAGTCAACTATACAGATGATTCATTTAGCAAAATTAGCAAGTACAGTTTCAATTTGTTCGGCGATATACTACCCGATAGGGTACCCGAAAATATTATTGACGCCCTATTGTTTATGAATAATACTCCGAGTCTACTGAAACAGGGAAACGATGGTAGGGGTAAACAGATTTTCTTTATGTTGACACCAGTGAATGTGTTGCGCCAGTTATGGGAACTGGAGATCAAAGAGTCGGCATTTGTTCACGAAATTAATGATCAGATTGTCGATAGATGTGTCCAATTGTTTGATGATATGAATAGTATTGAACAACAATTGAACGATTATTATACAGATATTTCGCAAAAAGAGGCACTAATTAGGGATGACGTCCTAACAGAGCTGACACACCTGAAAGGTAACTATAGTTTATATCAGACAATGACTACAAAAGTATTGAGTAGTCTATTGGTTGAGATCCGATCGGGTAATGCATCGGTCAGTGAATTGGAAAACATTTTGCTTAAATCGTTCAACGATTCCTATAGTAAGGAAGCAATGAAACTAAAGTTACAAAAATATAATATACTAAACAATCAGCTATTGTTGACTGGCTATGTGGCCAACATAAGCAGCCAATGTATAATCGATAAGCATACTAATTTGGAAAAAATGCTATTAGAAAATCAAGATAAAAATGTTTACGTACTCTACTATAACTATGAACATAATACTAGACTAATTCAGCAAGATAATATGGACGCCATTTTGTCGTATAGGACATTGGTTGATAAAAAAGTTGTCGACAATGTTTATTGTTCAATGAATTATGAGATTGTCGATGCTAATAAAACAAGCATGCTAAATCAATTGAACAGGGTTAACAATCGTCTACAGTTAGGTAACAATGACCAGGGTCAATTAAATAAAACGCAAGCTAAAATTAGCCTATATAAACATGGTAAGCTTATCAATGAAAATATATTGCCAATCGACGGCAGCAACGGTTTTATCTATGTCTGCGGCGGTTACGATGGCCAACAGTTTTTCGGTAATTGTCATCGATTTGACATTTTGCTGAACACTTGGTCGACGGACACGGAGGTCGACACTATGCTACATAAGCGACACTATTTGAAATTACTTGAGTTTAATAACATGTTGTACGCTATTGGCGGTAGAGATGTATGTATAAATATTTACTATTTATTTCATACTGTAAATTATTTTTTATATAAAAATAGTATAAGAAATATAATTATTATTCTTAAATATTTAGACTTATTTATCACTATTTCATAGTTTGCATTAATTAAATTAAATTATTTTTTCCCCCAAATAATAGTAATTTTCTATTTTCAATATTACATTATTATTATTATTATTAAAAATTAATTAACCAAATGTTAAACTTAATTATCTTAAAGCAAAACAGTACTAATTGGGTTGAAAATTACGATACTATCACTAAAGTATGGCGAATAGCATCATCGTTAAACATGCGTAGAGAGTAAGCAATCAAATAATTGATAATAAAAATGTATTTATTTATTAATTTTTTAAAATTTTTATTTTAAATGTAATTTTAGCGGTTTGGGCGCTGCTGTCATCAATAACACTATCTATGTTTGCGGCGGTTTATGCTATGATAGCGATCAAAGTATAGTAAAAACATTAATTAATTTGTTATTCAAAAAAAATTACTTAATTATAAATTAGTATCAAATAAAATACAAAAAACATCTATTAATATATTAATATTTTTTAATGTTATATATATATAGAGTATAGAAGTATCAATTCGTGTGAATACTATACACCCGAAGCCAATGAATGGATGTTTAGTAACCCTATGTCTGTCGCACGTGATTTCCTTGAGCTCGTGGCGCACGACAACTGTCTATACGCTATCGGCGGCTCTAATAATAATAATTTTGTCCAATCGGTCGAAAAATATGATCCCATAAGAAAAACCTGGACAGTGATGGCCAACATGAGTACTGTTAGGTTAGATTTTGATGTAGTTTTTTAAAATATATATATATATTGCAACTAATTGTCATATTAAACAAAAATATGCATTTATAATATAGTTTATGTATAGTTTAAATAATTTTTCGTATATCTGTACATAAAATTATTTTTTAATATCAATATTATTGTACTATTATTGTGAATTTTAAAAAAAAAAATGTTAGTAATAATTTTATAAATAATTGTTAGTTATATTTATTATAAAAAAAAATTTTTACTTAAAATTAAATTGCTTGTTTTCAAGATCATCATTTGGTGCCGTATCATTTATGGACAAAATCTATGTGTGCGGCGGTCGGGTAGATGATGGCGACCAAAGTTTAAACACTTGCGAGGCCTACGATTCGCAGGAAAATAAATGGTCGCCAATTGGTTGGTTAATACAATTAATTTATTTAGTTTTTTTTTAAATATAACATATGATGTAATTTATTATAATTTTATTTTTAAAAATTAATATATTTTCTATTGTTGACTATCCATAGCATCGATGCAAGTGTCCAGAGCTGAGCTACAATTAGTGGCCTATAATGACAAACTTTATGCCGTTGGCGGAACAAGTATGTTTTTTTGTATGAGGGTGTATAGGTTTATGTGTGTGTGGGTGAAGGTGTGGTAGTATATGCTTATTTTTGAGTGAGACATATAATAATTTGCAAAAAAATATTGATACATTAGTTATTAACATCACAATAGTATCAATCATTTTTACAATGTTGTATTTTGTGTGTAATTTTTTTATATGTTATTGTTGTTATTAATTTTTAAATTTTTTGTTGTTGTATCCTTAATATTATTAGATATTAATTCAATGGAGATATACGACTATAAATCCAATAGTTGGAGTTATACTATACCGTTACCAACAAATGTCTGGGCATTTGGGGTAAAACTTTATTTTTATTTTCTAAAAAAAATTCAATATAATATAAAATATTTAATTTTTAGTATCAATTTTTAATTATGTTATTTATTTATTTATAGGCATCAATGTTTAAAAAATATTAGCACACAAAAAATAAACACAAAATTTTTTTGTTATAAATTACATATTGTCTATAAATAATAATGATTATTCGGAAATATAATTTTTTTTAAGTTTTAATAAATAATTAAACGATAAATAATTGATAAATTTATATAAATACTATTTAAAAATATATTGTTTATTATTCTACTCAATGTTTTTATTTTATTAAATATATCATATAAATAACTTGACTATTATTTTATTCAAATTTTGTTTGCATTATTAAATCAATTAGTTTGTATAAGTATTACTGCATAAGTAGTGGATGTGTTTAATAGCGTAAAAAACATATTAGTCGTAATGTCCATTATATCGGCCGCTTTGAACACCAATCGGTGTCGACAAACGGACATAATTAGATCAAACTTTTGTTTATCATCGACAACACCACTGTTGGCCATACCTATGGCATGTCGATCGTAGTCAATCCTATCACTAATACCGTCACCAGTATCTGAGCCGATATTCGCTATCCTAGTTTCGGTACATTCGCACAGTCTGTCGGCAGCATTGCGCAAGTTTTGCGATGCCTGACATGTCATGTACTGGTCGGGTATAAGTGCCAACAGTTGCAATGCCAGTGCTAGGACTGTCAAACCGTTAGTTAGTTTGGAGTCCAGATTCTGGGCCATACAGAATACTACTGCCGACAACATAATACCCGAATAGACTGTTTTCAGGAACAATGCATAAGTTATCAAACCGTTTATAGTGTTAACTGAATCACGTATTTCCATAAGTTTGCGGCAAATGTGTCCCACTTTGTCACGTCTATTCATCGACACTGTTAGCTCATCGATGAGCAAACAGTATTGTTGAGACAAAATCATTATCATTGTCGTAACGTTTGATACGTTCAATGACATACCCATACCTAACAGGAAACTTATTATTAGTGATACCATAAATGACAGTTGAATCTGTAAAGAAAAAACAATATTGTTTTTTATTAATCGTACAAATATTTATTAATAATTAAAAATAATTTATTTGAAAATATGTTAATATTATACTATAAATAATTTAAAATAGTAGGAAAATTTAAATTATAATCTATATATATTATCAATAATATATATATAACAGTGATTAAAATTAGACATTATAAAATTAACTTGCACATAGAGTATAAACTATTGCAAATAATAAATAAGTTGATTTTACTCATTGTTTTATTTAAATTTTCAAAATTATAAAATATCTCTTAAATTTGTTATGTTATAATTTATATGTATATATAATTTATATTTATATGTTATGTTATAATTTAACATTGCAAGGAGTCATACAAAAATTAAGTTACTTTAGAGAGTGTTGAAAACGAAAACAATTTTGCATCCGAACAGTATGTATTAAAAAGTTTTCTTAACAACACTTAATTTTAATCACTGATATAAAATTTTATAATATTTATTTTTTTAAATGTTATAATATTAACCTGATCATTAATCAAATAATTTTCAGATATACCAATTATACCAAATGATAATCCAGAAGCCAGACAACTGTTAATCATAGTTATCAAAATTAATTTATACTTCATATTAGCATGGTCATCTAGTTTTTCAAATAATTCCATTATTACTGTCAAAAATTGTCGGCCATTTTTTAGCAAGATAAATTTATAGATGAAAAATTGTATCCAACTAAACATAACGGCCGACCCGAGTAGTCCCTGACTTACAATACTCCGGGTGCTTGTCCTGAACATACGTTCACTGGTCTGATCGTAAGTTAGTAATAGTGTAAATATAAATAGAAAAAATGCGATTATTTCGTAGCAAATTAGCATGTACCGTTTAAATGGCCAATTATTTTTGCTAGGTGATATTATTTCTCCTCTAAAATCAATTGATGCAATTTTTGTTGAATGATTACTATTACTAAACATACAATTATTGTCAAACTCATGCCATCCGCCATAAGTTGTGCCAAACAATCGATAAATGTTTACAATTATCCGGAATATTCTTCTATTAGATATCATATTATTATTATTATAATAATTATTGTTATCCGTAAAATAATTATTAACAATAGAAATATTAATATTATTTTTATATTCACTATTATTGTTGTTGTTGTTATAGATGTCTTGTTTGTCAATTGATAAGAATATTTCTTATTATAGTTATTATTATATTTAATATTTACTATTCATTAGACTATTATCAATATTTTATGTTTAGCTTCTGAATGTTAATAACATTATATTATTTAAATTCTTATTTTATAAATATATATTTTTTTTTTAAAAAGCAATAAAATTACTTACAGTATTATTAAATAATATTTCATCTAAAATATTATATTAAATAAATAAAAAAATATTAATATTAATACTGTACAACATTAGTACATATGTTTATACGTGTACACTATGTACAGTAATATCATATTGTAAACAAATAATTTTTTAATTAGTATTTAGCGTGTATAAATTGTATTTATTTATTTATTTTCTTAATAATTATGTCAAAAAATTAAAAATATTGTATATAACAAATTATTAGATATAATTAATAACATTTGTAAAAATATTTATTTTTTTACAAAATATATATTATTAATAACTAATATTAGTCATATATTTATATTATTTAATAAAAATTTAAATATTTAATATATTTCTATAAATTTATTTAATCAATTTTTGAGATTTTTATAAAAATGTTATTCATGATAAAAAAAATATTTTTATATTTTATAAACTAATACATCATTAGTTTCACTAGAAATTTATTGTATAATAAAAAACATCATTATTTCTATTTATCATAAATAATATATTTTTTATATATTTTATTATTATTATTATTACTTAACATGTATTATTGTATTTATTTTTGATTAACTAAAATTATTCTAAATAATAATAATAATAATAATAATAATAAATTAATAGTTTATCAATTTTATTGATTTTTTGTTGATATTTATGACACAAATTATTTTATAATTCATATTATATTATTTAATTTAGTGTTTTTGAACTTAAATTATGCCGAACCGTAATGCAATGATCTTTAAATACATATAATGTTAAAAATAATAATACTAGTTATTATACAGTATAATCATAGCTAATAATTATTAAAATACTAATTTACAGTTAAAATTAAAAATAATATTTTATTATCAAAATGTACTACAAATTATTTAAACTATAATGTTTTGAATTTGAAACATTTTATGTTTAATTTTAACTAAATTTTATTTAACTTTATTAGTATTTATTGAATCTAGGATATTTTTAAAAAATCAATGATAACTCATATATTTGGTAATAATTTATGTATATCTAAAGTAATTAAATAAAATAAATATATACTATATTTTATGGGGTAAAGTATTTAATGACTTTATCTTTAAAATCTATTGTTTTTTACTTTTGACTGTATATACTATTTATTTAAGGCACTGACTTACTAACAGCCTAACATCGATTATCGATAGTCACCAAACAGTCCCAAACAGTAAAGCCTGACCTAAATAGTCACAAATTAATTTTAATTAAAATAAATATAAACTGATATTTTTATAACTAATAGTTAATAAAAAAAATCAATTATTAAAGTTAAAATTTGAATACTTAAATAATATTTGTAATATAATATATTGATATATTAGTTTATATATAATATACAATATATTATATAATAAAAATCTAATTAATTATTATTCAAAAATTTAGTTATTTTGAATTATTAAATTAATTTTATAATATTTAGTGTTTTATTTACATATCATATATATACCATATTTGATAAATTTTAATTAAATACTACTTGTAGTTTAAATTTTATTATTCATAAAAAAATATTATTAAATATTATTTATGATAGAAATAAACATGAAAATTGTTTTTTTTGTCTTCTATTAGCTTTTAATATATATTTTTGTTTGTATAACAAATAAACAATTTAACAAAAACATAATACTAATTACAAAAAATTTATAAACCATAATAAGTAAAATATTATAAAAATTTTAATTATATTTATCAGTAGTAATTTTTTGTATTAATCTAATAATTTAGTTTTTACAAAATGTATAATTATTTTAACTGTATATTTATCATTTATTTTATCACATATTTCATCTACACCAATCAAGGTTATTGAATCAATTATTATTTATATTAAATTATATATTTATTTACGATTAATTAATTGTTTTTTGTATTAAATATTAAACAAACAAAAATACCATTTACCCAACTGTGCAGCACTACTATCATTATTAGAGCCAAATATGTCACAGGTTTCATACCCAGGTATCGGAGTATTTACTCACAATGATTATTGGCATAAACTCTATCGGCCTATAGTTATGTTACCGTTTAGTCCCAAACGTATTAACACATTGTTTAAGCTATACAGTCGTAAAAATCCTATTAATGGTCTACTAGTTAAACAGGGATCAGTACCTATTATTTTATCAAACTGTACATCAGATACTAATGGTGTCGGCGACAAACCGGTTAAATTTATTGTACACGGATTACTTGAAAATAAATATTTAAGCAAATGGATGATACAATTGAAGGATGCATTACTCAGTTATGAGGACTGTTATGTATTTATTGTTGACTGGAGTGATGGCAATTCACTTCCTTATGAACAAGTAATCTAATTTATATATATTTAATATACAGTACATAAAGTTTTTTAATAAAGTAATTAAATATATTATAATAAATATATATATATATAATAAATTATTAACATATTTAGGCAATAAGTAATACCCGAGTAGTTGGTCCAGTGATGGCGTTATTTATTAGTGAACTTATGGTTAGTTTAGTTTAAAATTTATTTCATTTGCAGATAATTAGGATTTAAAAAATATTAATTGTATATATTTATAAAATAAAAAGGATAAATATGGACTTCAAACCAAAAACGTTCACATTATTGGCCACTCATTAGGATCACATATAGCTGGTTATGCCGGTCAACGGTTGAACGGTACGGTTGGCCGCATAACAGGTCTGGATCCGGCCGGTCCTCAGTTTGAAGGTCTCAATAATATTGACGTCAGATTAGATCCAACAGATGTATTGTATATTTATTTATTTATTAATTATATATATATAAAACAATTATTAAATATAAAATAATTACATTAAAAAATAATATCAAAATATAATAATATTATTATATACCGGTATATAAAAATTAGGCCCAATTTGTTGACATCATACACTCTAATGCCGAAAAATGTAGACCACTTATACCGTTGATATCAGTTATTGATTCCAATGGTTACGGATATTTTGAGACATTGGGTCATTTAGACTTTTATCCAAACGGAGGTATATTTATATATATATATAATATATTGTTAATGAACTCATATATTATATTTTCTATAGCCTTAATATTATTGTTTTTATTTTTTTATATCATTTTATTGAAACCTAATTTTTTTTGGTTCACTTAATACTTATTTTGAATTTACTAATTGATTTGATTGATGTATATACCTATCTGTTCCCGTAATGATCTGCTGATCATTGACATCCAACTATTGGCCTAACCCCTGAAGTCCTATTCAAGTGATCTATCAATCAATTGTGAAGTCATACTCACTGAACCATTTGATATTTAGCCATAAATTGTCAGTCTTATACCAAATGACAAAAAATTGATCCATTGATTAGTGTATCTGTTATTTAAAGATATAATACCAATTCACGCAACCTAACTGATCGATCTGCTAATCAATCAGTTGAAGTAGAGTTTTGAATAGTATTAAAAAACTAACTAAACTTAAAATCACAACAATATATATATGTATATATAATATAATTTTTATCTAATATTTAATTAATAGGTGAACATCAACCGGGATGTTCTACAGAAATAATTACATCATTGTTATCGAAAAGTAAGAATTTTTATTTTTAGAAAAATAAAATTAAATAATTAATTTGTTTTTTCTAAAAAAAATAGTCAACAATTTAATTTTAAATATTTATTTTTATAAAAATGAAAACCATTATGATTTGTAGATGTATTGCGACAACTATTTTGTGATCATCAAAGATCTATCCTATATTATATGGCATCCCTTACCTATCAAACTGTTAAACCTATCAGTCATTTATGCACTAATAATAATGATTATAAATTAGGTAAATGTCGTAAGGATTGTCAGTTAAATATTATAAACTGTGCGGTAATGGGTGTCGACGCCATACAATCAGCTAAATATAAATCAGAAACAATGGGAAAAAAATATTTTTTAAAAACCGGTTCTCTTTATCCTTATTTTAAAAAAGTTTGATTAAAATAATAATTACATCAACAAAAAACTGTATAATAGTAATTAATATATATAAATTGTAAAAATATAAATAAGTTTGTTGGCTTTAAAATCAAACAAAAAAAAAGTTTTTAGATTTTCAAGTATATAGTTTTCCAATTTTATCAAAGATTGTCAATTAAATGTTAATAACTGTGCTGTTATGTGTATCGATACCATACAGTCAGCTAATTATAAAAGCTAAACATAAGGCAAACCAAATTTTTTGATACATGTGCTGAATACACTTATTTTTAATCCTAATTGCATGTAATAATCTTATTGTATGAGATATTAAAAGTGCTAATTTTTGTATTATATTATTAATATTCAATATATTTAATATAATACTATGTTTATAATAAATATAATTGTGTTTAGCAATTGCTTAATATTTTTTATATTAGCATTTACTTTTTGCATTTTCATTAACCAATTACAGATTTGTTATAATAATTAATATATTAATATACAGAAAATTACACTTTATTTTATTTTAATATCGGTTCTCATTATCCATATTTCAATAGTTTTCAATTATAATTAAATAAATTAAAGAATGTATATGATAATGTTTTAATAATATAGTTATATATAAAGTGGTGAAAAATAATTAAGCAAACAAATATAATTAAAAAATTATTTATAATTAATAATAGTTATTTTTATGTTAACATAAATGTTATTTATTTTTGATTTTGAGGAATCATTAAAAGTGTTTTTTCAAAATCTTAATAATAAATATTAAATATCAAATGATAAACCAGAAGCCAGACAACTGTTAACCATAGTTATCAAAATTAATTTATAATTCATATTAGTATTAACAATAATTAACAATAGAAATATTAATATTATTTTTATATTCACTATTATTATTGTTGTTGTTATTGTTAGATGTCTTGTTTGTCAATTGATAAGAATATTCTTTATTATAGTTATTATTATATTTAATATTTATTATTCATTAGATTATTATCAATATTTTATATTTAGCTTCTGATTGTTAATAACATTATAATATTTAGGTTCTTATTTTATAAATATTTATATTTTTTAAAAAACAATTAAATTACTTACAGTATTATTAAATAAAATTTCATCTAAAATATTGTATTAAATTATTAAAAAAAATATTAATATTAATAGTATTAATACATATTAGTACAACATTACATGTACAGCATTAGTACATATGTTTGTACGTGTACACTATGTACACTGTACATTGTACAGTAATATCATATTGTACACAAATAATTTTTTAATTAGTATTTAGCGTGTATAAATTGTATTTATTTATTTATTTTCTAATAATTATGTCAAAAAATTAAAAATATTGTATACAACAAATTATTAGATATAACTAATAACATTTGTAAAATTATTTATGTTTTTACAAAATTTATATTATTAATAACTAATATTAGTCATTATATATTTATATTATTTAATAAAAATTAAAATATTTGTATATTAATATATTTGTATACAATATATGACACAAATTATTTTAAAATTCATATTTCATTATATTATTTATTTTAGTGTTTTTGAACTTAAATTATGCCCACAGTAATGCAATGATCTTGAATTACATATAATGTTAAAATTAATATTATTAGATTATTATATAATCATTGCTAATAATTATTAAAATACTAATAAATGCATTTATAATTTATAAATAAATTTAAAATTACAGTTACAATTAAAAATAATATTTTATTAGCAAAATGTACTACAAATTATTTAAACTTTAATGTTTTGAAAAATATAAATTTAGTTAAAAACATATTATATTTAATTTTAACTAAATTTATTTAACTTTATTAGTATAAAGCAATATTTTGTCTGATCTAAATAGTCCCAAATTAATATTAATTAAAATAAATAGAAACTGATATTTTTATAACAAATAGTTAATAAAAAAATCAATTATTAAAGTTAAAATTTGAATACTTAAATAATATTTGTAATATATTATTGATATTATATATTATACTAATAATATATTGATATATTAATTTATATATAATATATTATATAATAAAAATCTAATTAATTATTATTCAAAAATTATATGCAATTTAGTTATTTTGAATTATTAAATCAATTTTATAATATTTATTGCATTATTTACATATCATATATATATATACCATATTTAATAAATTTTAATTAAATACTATTTATAGTTTAGATTTTATTATTTATAAATTTATAAAAATATCATTAAATATTATTTATGATAGAAATCAAAATTATTTTTTGTCTGCTTTTATAATTTTAATATAATTTGTTTGTATAAAAAATAAATAATTTAACAAAATCATAATACTAATTAAACAAATTTTATAAACCATAATAAGTAAAATATTATAAAAATTTTAATTATATTTATTAGTAGTAATTAAATGTATTAATCTAATTAGATAATTATTATTAATAATCTAGTTTTTAAAAATGTATAATTATTTTAACTGTATATTTATCATTTATTTTTTCAAATATTTTATCTACACCAAACAAGGTAATCAATTATTACCTATAATAAATTAAATTATTTATTTATTTACGATTAATTAATCTTTTTTAATTAAATATTAAACAATTAAAAAAACATTTACCCTACTGTCCCAGCACTGCTACCATTATTAGAGCCAAATATGTCACAGGTTTCATACCCGGGTATCGGACTATTTACTCACAATGATTATTGGCATAAACTTTATCGGCCAATAGTTATGCTACCGTTTAGTCCCAAACGTATAAACACATTGTTTAATCTGTACAGTCGTAAAAATCCTGATAATGGTCTACTAGTTAAACAGGGATCAGTACCAAGCATTTTATCAAACTGTACATCAGATACTAATGGTGTCGGCGACAAACCGGTTAAATTTATTGTACACGGATTACTTGAAAATAAATATTTAAGCAAATGGATGATTCAATTGAAAGATGCATTACTCAGTTATGAGGACTGTTATGTATTTATTGTTGACTGGAGTGATGGCAATTCACTTCCTTATGAACAAGTAATCTAATTTTTATATATATTTTATTTACAGTACATAAAGTTTTTAATAAAGTAATTAAATATATTATAATAAATATATAATAAATTATTAACATATTTAGGCACTAAGTAATACCCGAGTAGTTGGTCCAGTGATGGCGTTATTTATTAGTGAACTTATGGTTAGTTTAGTTAAGTTTAAAATTTATTTTATTTGCAAATAATTAGGATTTTAAAAAAATATTAATTGTATATATTTGTTAAATAAAAAAAAGGATAAATATGGACTTCAAACCAAAAACGTTCACATTATTGGCCACTCATTAGGAGCACATATAGCTGGTTATGCCGGTCAACGGTTGAACGGTACGATTGGCCGCATAACAGGTCTGGATCCGGCCGGTCCTCAGTTTGAAGGTCTCAATAATATTGACGTCAGATTAGATCCAACAGATGTATTATATATTTAATTATTTATTAATTATATATATATATATATATATAAAACAATTATTAAATATAAAATAATTACATTAAAAAAAATAATATCAAAATATAATAATATTATTATATACCGGTACATAAAAATTAGGCCCAATTTGTTGACATCATACACTCTAATGCCGAAAAATGTAGACCACTTATACCGTTGATATCACTTATTGATTCCAATGGTTACGGATATTTTGAGACATTGGGTCATTTAGACTTTTATCCAAACGGAGGTATATTTATATATATATATATAATATATATTGTTGATGAACTCATATATTATATTTACTATAGCTTTAATTTTATTGTTTTTATATCATTTTATTGAAACCTAATTTTTGGTGCACTTAATCCTTATTTTGAATTTACTAATTGATTTGATTGCTTATACCTATCTGTTTATATAAGTAACTGCCAATAAGTATCTGCTGATCATTGACATCAATTACTGGCCTAACCTGAAGTCCCATTCAAGTGATTTCTAAATAAATAGTGAAGTCATACTCACTGAACCATTTGATATTTAGCTATAAATAGTCAGTCTTATACCGATCCACGCAACCTAACTGATCGATCTACTAATCAATTAGTTGAAGTCTTGGATAGTATTCAAAAAAAACTAACTAAACTTAAATCACTTAAATCACAACAATATATATATATTTATATTATATATAATTTATTTTACGCAAAAAACATAAATAATTTTTTTCTAATATTTAATTAATAGGTGAACATCAACCGGGATGTCCTACAGAAATAATTACATCATTATTATCGAAACGTAAAATTATTTATTTTTAGAAAAATAAAATTAAATAATTAATTTGTTTTTAAATAAATACTCAACAATTTAATTTTAAATATTTATTTTTATATAATGAAAATCATTATGATTTGTAGATGTATTGCGACAATTATTTTGTGATCATCAAAGATCTATCTTATATTATATGGCATCCCTTACCTATCAAACTGTTAAACCTATCAGTCATTTATGCACTAATAATAATGATTATAAATTAGGTAAATGTCATAAGGATTGTCAGTTAAATATTATAAACTGTGCGGTAATGGGTGTCGACGCCATACAATCAGCTAAATATAAATCAGAAACAATGGGAAAAAAATATTTTTTAACAACCGGTTCTCTTTATCCTTATTTTAAAAAAGTTTGATTAAAATAATAATTACATCAACAAAAAAAACAAAAAACTGTATAATAGTAATTAATAAATATATATATATATATATAATATATAAATTGTAAAAATTTAAATAAATTTGTTTTCCAATTTTATCAAAGATTGTCAATTAAATGTTAATAACTGTGCTGTTATGGGTATCGATACCATACAGTCAGCTAATTATATAAGCTAAACATAAGGCAAACCAAATTTTTTGATACAGGTGCTGAATACACTTATTTTTAAACCTAATTGCATGTAATAATCTTATTGTATTAAATATATAATAAAGTTCTAATTTTTGTATAATATTATTAATATATTTTTAATATTCAATATATTTAATATAATACTATGTTTATAATAAATATAATTGTGTTTAACAATTACTTAATATTTGTTTTATATTAGCATTTACTGTACTTATTTTCATTAAAAACTTACCAATTTGTTATAATAATCAATATAATAATATACAGAAAATTACACTTTATTTTATTTTAATATCGGTTCTCATTATCCATATTTCAATTGTATTCAATTATAAATAAATAAAAGCATAAAAAGCATGTTTTAACAAAATAGTTATATATAAAGTGGTGAAAATTAATTAAGCAAACAAATATAATTAAAAAATTATTTATAATTAAAATTTTTTGTAATTTAACATTATAAACCATAGTAAATAAATTAAATGTAAAAATTTAAATGCAGTATTTTTAGTTATTTTTATGTTAAAATAAATGTTATATATTTTTTATTTTGAGGAATCATTAAAAGTGTTTTTTCAAAATCTTTAAATAAATAATTATTTGAGAAAATTGAACATATTTGTACTAAACAATGATAATATATAAAGTAATTATTAATCTATAATATAAATATAATATTATTAACAATTAAATTATAATCTGTTTTACATGTAATCAAACATTTTTAAAAATATTTTATTAGATAAAAATACCATTTATATTAAAAGATTAGTTCAATATTTATTTATTGTATATTACTTTTAGTTATAATTTTAAAATATAGATTTTGGTAAACTAGGGTAAAGTTTGGACATTTACAAAGAAACTAATTGCGATTAAAATTATTTAACTAATTGTGTTTATTATAAATTAAATTAGTAACAATTTATTTAAGTTTAATTATATTATTTAATAAATTTTAAAACTATAATATAATTAATTTTATTATTGCTATTTTTTTTTAATTAAGTTGGATAATTATAGAAATTAAATAAAAAATAATTTTAAAAACAATATATTTTATATTATTTCTTACAAAACATTTTTGTTAGAAATTACTCATAAATATATTATTGTATTAATAGATTATTATATATAAAAATTAATTGATATATTTATTTATTTTAATTTATATTAATAATCTTTACACTAAAATTAAATTAATAATAATATTAAAAATACATTTTTTCTATATTTAAATATTTTTTAAAAAATAACTATTCAGTATTTATATCAAAACAAGTGTTTTTTATTATAGCTATTGACAATTTGACAGATAAAACTAATATAGTTTACAATAATAGCTAATATAACAGTTTAATCACTAGAGTTAAAGTCACAATGTTAACTGAAAATTTGTCATATGTTATTTATATGTTTATCATTATTTTTATAGTACACAAATATCCTATTTTTTATACTAATAGGTAAAAGGTACAAATTATCAATGTCAATTGTTGCTTACATTTAAGTCCTAAAATTTTTGTGATTAAGACACAATTGCATAATAATATTGTTATTATAATGACAATAATATATTATTAAATATAGATAATACTATTTATTATAGAAGATATTTGTTACAAAATTATATATATATATATTAATTAATTAAAGATTAAATATGATAATTATTTTTTTGAATCCTATCCAAAATTTTGTATAAAAGCTATGCATAACTACAGTATATACTGTATTACGTGGCATAATAGTAATAATAATAATAATTATTATTATTACAATTATTTAACTAAAATATAGTAAAAATAATAATTAATTCCTTAATATCTTTATCCATTAAAAATGAAATTATTTATTTTATTAACTGTAATAAAATTGCTAACCATTGTTTATGCTAAAAGTTTGAGCAATGATAATGGTAATTGAAAATAATAAGATTAAAGATAACAAAAACTTATATATATAAACTATTATTATTTTTTAAACATACGTATTATAGGCATATTTGAAGTGACCTATCCTGGTATCGGACACTTTACACTATTGGACTTTTGGGATCCACTACACCGGCCGGTAGTACTGTTACCGCAAAGCCCTGACCACATCGCTACCAAATTTTTGCTGTACACCCGACAAAACCAGGATTCGCCGCAAACCATCAAACAGGGCGACCAACAGGCCATCAAATCAAGTCATTTTGATGGCAAAAAACAGACAAAATTTATTATTCACGGATTCTTTGACAACCAGATTGTCGGCCAATGGATGAGAGATTTGAAAACAGAATTTCTGAAATCAAGCGATTGTAATGTCTTTCTTGTAGACTGGAGTGGCGGTAATGGTATGCCTTATGTTCAGGTTAGGACTATTTAGTAGTAGTAGTAGTAGTAGTGATACTTAAACTATACTAATGATAATAATTACTAATATAAAACTATATTAATATTATTTACTGATATAATATAGGCAACGGCTAATACTAAAGTGGTGGGACCAGTGTTGGCATTGTTTATCGAAGATATCAAAGTAAGATATAAAATATTAATAGATATTTTATCATTTAAAAAAATATTAGCTATAATACTAAATTTTTTATTGAATTGCATTTTTTATATAATGATAATTATAGGCAGCGGTCGATATTAATTTAAATGACGTTCAAATACTTGGCCACTCATTGGGTGCACATATAGCTGGTTATGCCGGTCAACGATTGAATGGTAAGGTCGGTCGCATTACTGGTATGGATCCGGCCGGTCCTTACTATGAAGGTTTGGCCAATAAAGATGCCAAACTTGACTCCACTGATGTATGTACTGTATATGTATAAAAGATTACCAATTTTTTATTTAAAAAAATCATTTTAACTTAAATTTTAGGCCCTATTTGTTGACGCCATTCACAGTGATGGCCGCCATCTGGAAACACTGCCCGACGTAGGCTTCGGTATGATGGAAACATCCGGTCATTTAGACTTTTACCCGAACGGCGGTCACAACCAGCCGGGCTGTGAAAACGAAAAGTGGACAACAATTGCTACCGACGGTAATGTTTTGTTGTGAACAACAATTTTTTATCTTAGTTTTTGCGATAAACTAATTTATTAGATATATCATTGTAGGTCTGTTTGAAGGCGTCCGACGCTTCTCCTCATGTAATCATCAGAGAGCTGTCGACTTTTATAAGGCGACAATCAATGCGGCGCCGACTACTGGTATTGGCCACCAGTGCACCGATTTTGATGCATTCAAAGCTGGAAAGTGTGTCGACTGTGGTTCAGATGGTGTCAAATGTGCTCAAATTGGTGTCAATGCTGTCATATCGGAAAAATATGAGAAGCAAACTGTGGGAACAAAATATTTTTTGAAAACTACAAATAAATATCCATATTTTAACTAAAAAAACAATATATGTATAAATTAGAAAAAATAAGTAAATATAAATATCTATTTAATTTTTAAAAATCTTAATTTAATACTGTATTTTAAACATTAATAAAATAATAATTTATAGTTTATAATTTATTAATCATTAAAAAATTGAAATATATTTATAAATTTTTTAAAAAAAATTATGTACACCTGTTAATAATAATATAAATTTTAGATGTGATGTATAATCTAAATAATTTGTTTTAATAATCCTATTGTAGCAAAAAATAAAACAAAAAATATTTTAAATCTAATAATATTTGTTTTAAAAAAACTTTAAATAAGAAATATTTATATGTTTGAATGCTTTTAGCAAAAAAAATATTTTCGTTATTTAAGTTTTTATCTATTAACAAATATCATTAAATATAAATTATTTTATTTTAATTAAATAATAATAATACAAAACAATAAAAATACAAAACAAGTAAGCAATCTTTTTAAAGTTATAAATACATTAGTACAGTCAATGATTTTTTTTAGTTTAAAGTAAAAAACAATTCAAAAATAATATTATTATTAATAAAAGAAAAAAGTTTAATTACCAAAGTTGACAATTTTGATTAAATCATTTAATATATATATTAATTGATTATTATGTTTTAAAGTTAAATAAATTTTGTTTATAAGATTTCAAATTAAATATTTTTTTATTTTGAAATAACTGCTTATTTTAATTACAACAATTTTAAAATGAAAATAAAAATTAATTTAATTACTAATAATTGTTTTTCGATGTTTTAGTTTAAGTCAACATTAGCTGAGATTCCCAATGGATTGGTTGCATCGTTAGCTGTATTCAGACCACCATTGACTGCATGTCTACCAGTATTGATAGCACTGTTAACAATGCCTTCAATATAACCGCTGGGATTAGCCAATGCTTTACCATTAAAGATAGGAAGGACAGCATTTTTGGCAGTTTTCAAACTGTCCCGAACCGCACCGTTAGCTGTTTTGAGTGCATCGCCAACAATATTGCCAACAAAACCAAATGGTTTGACTGAACCACTAATAGAACCGTTAGCTTTTAGACCAACTGTTCCATTATTATTGTGATTAATTTGACCACCAAATGGTATTCTTAGAGCTCCTCTAACAGCTGTGTTAGCTGTATTGAGTGCACCACCAATGATATGGTTGACAAAACCAAACGGATTGATTGAACCACCAATTGTTCCGTTAATACTATGATTTCGGTGACCACCAAACAAACCAAATGGATTCATAGCATCGGACGCTATATGCAGACCACCATTGACTGCATGTCTACCAGTGTTGAGGGCATCGGTGACAACATCGTCGACATAACCAGTAATATTGGTCAATACTTTTCCGTTGAAGACATTAGTAACAGCAGTTCCAGCAGTTTTGAGGCCATCCTGAACAGCACCACGAGCTGTGTTGAGTGAATCGCCAATTATATTGCCAACAAAACCGAGTGGACGTCTTGTATCAACTGAACCATTGATTTCTAGGTGACGGCCGTAGACCACACATAACAGAATCGACAAAATAATAATTGATTTCATATTTTTTTATATGTAATAATTGTTTTGTTTTTTACAATTTTCTCAATTGCTGTTTGAGATGTTGATAATTGTTTCAACTATTTAACACTGACTTATATACCCTTAAAAATTTAATTATAAAATATATTTTTTTAAAAATATAATTAATTAACGGAACTATTGTCAATAAATTAATAATTGCTAAATAATTTCATGTGATATTACTTATTTTTTTTTGTTTAACATGTTTTTGAATTAAATTGATTTATTGTATTTATATAACAAATATTCTACATTATATATATTAATATATATATATATATATATATATATATTATATAAATTTAAACTTTGTAAAGATAACCAAGCTAATAATAAATGACAATAAATAATTGCATTTGTCAAATTAGGATTTTTTGCTTTAAAAAAAGTTGAACTTATTTTCTTGTATATGCATGACGTAAATTCAATAATATTGATTAACAAAATTGTAATTAATAGTAAATTTTATTTTATTAATGAAACAAATTCAAAAATATTTACTTTAATAATAAAAACATTATTAATTAATATTACTGTATATCAAACTTATTAATGATATATAACATAACATGTGTTTTAATATTTTTGCACACTTAATAACTTTATAAACTAAACTGTATACTAAATAGTAAAGTATTTTATTTATAGTAAAGTCATTATAATTATTATCAATGAAAAACTTTATCAATATTAGTTAACTTACTAATTTTTAACTTGAATAAAATATCATTATTATAATTAACAGAAATATTTATTTTACTTAAATTGATTACTTTTTTAAAAAAAATTATATTATATTTAAATTTTTAATTACTAATTTATAATATTAATTTTTTAAAACTTGTTTTGAAAAATAATTGAAATATAATTTTTATGCTATATCAACATTAATTGTGTTTATAACCAAAAATACAAATAAGTTTAAGGATATTTCAACATATTTTATTTTTAACATTAAAAACAATTATATTAGAAATAATTTTTAAGATTAGTTGTGTTTAATATATTATAATTATTTTTTCAGTTACAAGATTATAACTAAAATATATATTTCTTTAATTATCATTAAAATATATTACATTAGTTAATAAATAATAATAAAGTTTTATTACAATTATAATAATAATATTAATAGTATAACATATTTTATATGTTTAGAATAATTTAACGTTAAAATTATCGCATTTATATGATAATAGTTATTAAAGATAAAATTAATTATTTCATTAATATTAAAATTTTAGCGCCAACAAATATTTATGATTTATAGAAAACATTTCTAATTGCTATATAAATCGCTTTTTATTTTTAAAAAATGTTTATAAATTCAAAAAATATTCAATTGATTTTGTTTATTCAGTTAAATTTTATATTTAAAAAAATATATTACTTATTTTTATATAAAAAAAATAGTTAATAACAATTACAAAAAATGACCGAGTTTAATAGTACTATGGAAGAACCAATGTAAGTTTTAAAATAATTAAGTTTTATTTTTAAAAATTTAATTTAAAAAAAATAAAATTACTGTATTTTTCATTTCTAGTATTGTACTTGAAACTATTGAAATTGTTTTTACAATAATATTTATATTATGTCAAATAGTCAGCGGTATATCCAATATAATATGCATTATTGTTGTTGTTGTCGTACAAAAAACCAGATCATATAAGTCAACAAATAGACCCCGACTATTGATGGCTAATATATGTGTGTCAGACACTATATTGACATTAAACTCATGGCTATTTCGCTACATATTGTTGGCCTTATTGTATCCCATGTATCCATTGACAGCCAATATACTACAAACAGTGCAAAACTATATGCAAAATGTTAGCCTATTTGTAACATCGCTAACATTTACTATCATAGCCTGGGATCGGTACTATGCTATGACCCGTGTATTTTTCAACCCATTCAACACAAAGAGTACCCGATTTTTGGTTTACACGGTTTGGTTATTAAGTGCACTGTTATCGGTACCGTTTCTAGTAAACACTTATATAGACTATTATAATTATGACAACTATACGATTACATGTGCTCATATAAAAAATTATATCAAACTTAATCTATCCGATAAAAATTTCAAATTGTTTATACAGTTACGTAGCTATTTGGTAATCTTCCAGTTTATCATACCGGCGCTTATAGTCGTATGGTTTTCGGGTAAATTACTATTCAAAATGATTAGTACATTCAAAGAGTCGGGTGCTGATGGTGGTAGTGGCTGTGATGTGGCGTCTATAATGTATGTAAGTCGGACAAAGTCTATAGAGAGATGTCATATAACAAAACAGTTGGTCGCCGTTTTGTTTATATTTATTATGACACACACTGCTTATGTTATTACCCATTATCGGGTCGTCAACATTGAATATTTTTGTCCGAAATGGGAAGACGATGACATTTATTTTGTATTTTCCGAAATATTTCGTATCACAACATCACTCAATAGTATTATATTTTTCTGGTTGAGTCCAGACTTTCGCAAACAGTTTAAGCAAATAGTGTGGACAGGTATTTGTGGCAACAGTCGGCAATTAATAACAACTACAACCTCTATAAGACCTATTACATCAATTTCCAATAATTTTTAATTATTACACATTTGTAGTCATAATATTTCAATATTTAAATTAAATTATTATAATATATATTTATTTTTGTATATAGAAAAAAATCATTATCATTTACTACTGTAATATATAATATAATAAAGTTATTGTTTTGTATATAATATATTTATTATTTAACCTTAACTTTAATATTTATTATTCATAAAATTTATATATATAGCAAACTAATTAATTATATTATTAACTGTATACTTTAATAATATTGTGTATTAAAAAATATTAAGGATATATTTTTTTAATAAAATAAAGATTATAAATTTATAATAAAAAATACCAGACTGTCTAGTGATATATACAAATGAAATGCTTTTTTGAAAAATATTAAACTTAATTATATCATATAAGTATTATAAATGGTATATTTTATTATATTTATTTTTGATAGCTATACTGTATATTAAGTGTACTTATAATATATATATAACGTATTTTTTTAACCTTTTGTTGTTGAGTCTAATATCTTAACGTATTTTCCCATTATCACAAATTATCAAGTTTAGAAAGTATATAAAAATAATAATAATAAATTAATTTTTATATATAAAAGTTTATCATCAATCAAAATTACGCTAATTTTTATCTAATAAATTGCATAATTGTATTATAAATTAATATCAAAATATTATGAAATTGATATTAAAATTTTTGTATTACTTTAATCTTTAATATTTATTAAACGATATATTATATAATGTATATACTGTTATACTATTATTTTTTATATAAATACTTAATAATTACTAATTATTATATCATTTGTAATTTTGTTTTCAATTATTCAATTAATAATAATAATAACAATAATAATAATAATAATAACAATAATAATAATAATAACAATAATAATAATAATAACAATAATAATAATAATAACAATAATAATAATAATAACAATAATAATAATATTACTAATTTATTAATGTAAATTCTAATAATTTTTTAGTAAAAATAAATAATCTAAACTTTTTAAAATTACTAATTTATTTAAAAAATTTAATTATGGGAACAATGTAAGTTTTTTAATTTAGTTAACATAATTATGCAAACCTAATTAATTTTTATAATTTTAGTAACTAAAATAAAAATTATCATTTTTTTGTTCAATCATTTAGCATACACCTTTATCAAATTGAAATAGTATTGGTAGCACTGTTTATTTTGTGTCAAATGTTAAGCTGTATATCCAACATAATATGTTTGATAGTTGTACGCAAAACTGGTACTTATAATTCAAAAAATCGACCCCGACTATTGATGGCCAACATATGTGTGTCGGACACCATACTGACCCTATGCTCATGGTTATTTCGCTACGCCCTAATTACCAAACTGCACAACTATGAATTAGTTAGCATAGTACTACAATCTATACAAAACTATTTGGAAAACATGAGTCTCTATGTAACGTCGATAACATTTATTATAATTTCATGGGACAGGTACTACGATATGACCCGGGTATTCTACAATCCATTCAATACAAAAAGTACCCGATTTCTACTGATGACTACATGGCTAGTCAGTGCACTGTTAGCCCTACCGTTTATTATACCTACTCGTGTGGAATATTATGAATACGAAACGGGTAATATAACATGCGAACTGACCCAAATCAACCTTAACCTCAATGTCCGTTCGGTATCAATGTTTGCCATATGCCGGGCCATTATGACCATACTGTGCGAGTTTCTTATACCGGCCATATGGGTTACATGGTATTCTGGCCGATTAGTGTTGGCCATGATTACCGTTTTCAATGACATACAAACTGGTGTAGGTGTGTCCATTATGGATATGCGCCGACAAAACTATTGGCTCCGATGTCATGTAACCAAACGTCTGGTTGCTGTACTGTTTATATTTATATTGAAAAATACGGCCTACACTGTTATTACACACTATAACCTGTTGGATCTGTTCAACCAACTGGACAAACTGAATCCCTGTCCCCAATCGCCGCATCTATTGTACTATATTTTCTCCGAAATATTTCGTGTGACCACATCGTTGAATAGTTTTATATTTTTCTGGATGAGCCCTGAATTTCGCAAACAATTCAAACGTTTACTAAAGAACAGAAATCATGGAAAACGTGAACAAAATATGAACACTATTTCTAATATGTTTACAAATAGTTAATATCAATAGTTATATAAAAAATATATAATATATGTATATAATATTTAAACTCAAATTAATTTTTTCTATTTATACAGTATTTATTTATTTATTTATTATTAAAATATCACATGTATATAGTTTTTTTTGTTTTGTTTAAAATTTATCACTAAAAAATCAAACATTTTAAACTTTATCAATATTTTTATTATTTTTAAATTAAATACCGGTATGTAAAAAAATTATTAATTATTTAATAGTATAATGATAAATAATAATAAATGTACCAGTAAAAAATGGTATAAATAAATAATGAAATAATAATATTGTATTATTATTATAAAATAAGTTATCTTGGTTGATTTATTTGAAAAACGGTAGTATTGCACTAAAATGAAATGGACCGATACGTAATGATATACCCGATCGATGATTATTATTCACTGGCCGACTGTTTACTGGTTTATCCTTATTACAGTTGACATCATCGTCTAAAACGATTACCGGTTTATCCAGTGTTGTATTATCAACAATATTCGGACAGTTAGTCTGTCGTACAATAGTCAGATAGTGTTGGTTGATATCATAGTTGGCCAGTAGTTCCCGGAGTTCGGCAATAACTTTTCTATCAAGTGTTGGCCGTCTGGACATAATCTGTGCCGACTGTCGGTGGCCGACAATCATTGGCTGACAGTTCCAGACCAGTGCATAGCTGTCGTAATCGGTGGCCAATACGGCATAGTGTTTGATATTTATGATACCTGTGTCGGACAGTGGATAGTTGATTGACATTTCCGATTGCGAACCGTTTTTAGGAAACTCTATGACACCTAATTATAAATGATTATGAAATGTTAAAATTAATGATTAGTATAATATTACTGTATATTACTTGATTAATATTTTTAAAGTTTTTTGTAGTATTATATTGATACAAAAAAATATATTTATTATTGGTATTAAGTATATCGGATTAAATTCATTAAAATATTAATATTTTTTTTTTAAAAATAACATTAAAGAGATTTATTTAATTATTATCTATAGTTATAAGTATAGAATTTAAATATTATTATTCTATTAAATTTTTCTTTTAGATTCTTATTTTATAATTAATTAATTTTGTTTTATTTTTATCATTATAACTGTTATAACAAATAATAATAATATAATTACAGAAACACCTTACCATTAACAGTGGATATAACTGGTGATCCCAACAGATTGGATATCCGACTCACACAATACCTGTCCTCTATTTTGGTAAAGTTTTCGCGAACACAATCGCTGGCCGATCGAAACTTTTGTATGACATACCATTCCCCCAGAAACTGGTCAATACTAAAGTCGGCCATTGAGTCAACTGTAGGACATTCACCCGTACGAAATACATGACCACTGGTCACTGTTGATAAATAATATATAATATATGCAAACAAATATCTAATAGATAAGTTTAATTTATTCATTATTTTGTTTAGTATTTAAATATCTATCTATTGTATCGATTAGTCTTTCAGTATTTATCTGATATAATAAATATTCAATCTTTAATAGTCAATCAAAATACTGTACATTAGTGTATAAATTGAAAATATGCTAACTTTCACTGGTAACAAAAGTAAAAATCATTACAATACAGTATAACCTCTAAAATTATTTATCATATAATTATATTGATTAAATTGCAATACAATTTTTATTTAATATAGTGTTTTTAAAACAATTTTTTTTAAGTATTAATATATTAAACATCATAATAGAGAAATTATTTAATTAATTAAAACAATCGTTGATCATTATAATTATTTAATCGCATTAAAGAAGTTTTATTGTATTTATTTTTTTATTGTACATACAAGTTGTCAAACTGGACAAAATTTGTTTTACAATGATTTTTAAATTATAGTAACAAAACTTGTTTTCATTGATTAGATTTCCAATAATATGTGTACACAATTTTTATCTTAATTATATTAATACACTGTATTATATTTTTATCATATAATTTTTTTTTTTAAAATACATAATATTGAAAGTTAACTGAACCTTGTATTTCAAGTTCAATATCATTGAGAAAAAATTTTTCTCAAAAATTTTTGATATTTCATTATGTGATGCAATAAAATTTTGTTTATTTACTTCTTAATAAAAATGGAAAATTACTTTCATATTAAAAAAAAACTATAAATAATTAAATTTAAAATTTTAAAAAATGTTTTTTCCATAATAAAAAGTTAGATGCATTAAAAAATAGAGCAAAAATATATTTTATAGTTTTTAATAGATAGAAAAATGTAGATAATTTTAATTAAATCAAAATAAATTTAAAAATTATTCTATAAAATTGAATTATAATAAAAATACAATTTTTTGATTTTTTTTGATGACATATTATGTTATAAATATTAATTATAATTTTATAATAATTTTATCGTCATCTTCTAAATAACTGCATTTATAAATATTTTCATCATTATTATTGTTATTAATATTATTATTATTAATTTTGATATCATTATCAGGTAATTTAGTTGATTGTAAATTATTATTGCTATTATTATTAGATGACTTTTTGTTGTTACTAATCATTGATTTTAAACAATTATTGATCGGCGCCTCAAACAGCAAATGATTGATAAAAGCAAATATTAGTGTAAAGCCAAACACTGCCGATGATGTAAATAACTGTTTGTTTTTTTGTGGAAATATTATAATAATTTGAAAAAATACATTAATTTTTTTAGAAAAAAACAATATTATATATTAAAATATTATTAATGTAAATACCATATCATAATGTGTGGCACGAATCAAATGTTTTGTACGAAAAGTATTGTACCAAATGATAATCATATGAGACATATATAATGAAAACGATAGACGAGATGTCAATTGAAATATTTTCGACGACAATAAACGGCTTATTATATCTTATTTTTTGTTTAATTAAAAATAAATAGATTTTTAAAATTATTTTACAAATAATAATAAAAAAAAGTTTATAAATGAAATCAACTTACTGTTTCTATAAATAGCACAATAATATGCAATCCATGACAGTCCTAAACCCCATATAATACGGTAACACCCAAAATACATGGCCGCACCAAATCTACTGTATGGCCAGTGAAGTCCTGCCCATACATAGGAGTACAATACAACAAACAATAGGCCAACCAATGTAATTAACCAAATAGCTATGCTATATACCTATATAGATAACAAATTAGATAATTATCTTAATAATAATTTTATTTTTGTAAAATAAAAAAACATAATATTAATAAATACTTTGTTAACATAGTAATCATTTTTTGTTAGCAAAAAACATGCTACAAAACAACCAAGGTAATATGTTGTTAAATGATTGTATGTTTTATAGTGCATTAAACTTAAGTTTTCTGACATATTCCTATAAATTCAATAAAATAAAAATAAATTCAATTAAAAACTCAATTAATATTAATATAAAAAAATTACTTGATATCCGGTTCAAATATTATTGATGGCGGCAATTGATTCAAATAGTTAACAGTAAATGCAATGATTACACCACTTAATGACAAACATAGCGATCCTATCATTGCTTTATATGGACTGTTGAGATACAATTTAATGATAACATAGGCCAACAAATATAGTTGAAAATCGGCGCTCAGATACCACGTATGTATCATACACTATGATATAGGAGTATAAATATATTTTTTTTATCAAAAAATTACTATTACCGGTAATATTAATATAATAATATATAAAATATAACAAACTTGATCAATAGGTTTAAGCCAATTGCTAATAAATAAAAAGTTTGTCCACCAGTTAGCAACACATGGATCAGTTACATGTTTGATATAATTTTGATGAAAAAATGGACCAGTACCAATTAGTGGCCATAGAAAATTTATAGACATTATGGCTGCCAAAAATGGTGCAAATCTATATATTTGTTTAAAAAAATAATTATTATTAATCATTTATAGAATTATACCCAGTTATACAATTATACATTAATTTTTATTTGTATAAATAAAAATTAATTTTTAATACCTGAGCCATCGTAGAGCCAAAAATAATGGGAAATTTAGTTGAATATTGTTTTGTTGTTTTCTTAATTTACTAACACTAAGATAGACGACCAAAAAGCCAGATATAAAGAAAAATGTGTCGACAGATAACAAGGCATTGATTATGATTTGTGTTGACAATTGTTGTGGCATTACTAGAGTCTCCATTGAATTGGATGCTGTTTTAGATTATTTTTTTAATAAAAAAATACATGTCATATACCATATATTAAGTATTATTTAAATAAACAATTCTAGTTAAAAAAACATTTATTTTTTAAATAAAAACTGTAAACATTATCCTAAAATTTAATAGTAAATTATTTTAAATTAAAAATAAACATTTTAATTAACTAGATTGCAGTTTAGATATAAAATATTTTATTATTTATGTTATTAGCTAAATTTATATTTATTGTTTAGTATAAAATATATAATATTATATCATAACTGTAAATTTTTTATATTTTATTATATTTGATATATTAAAGATTGGATAAAATAATCACCAATATTAAATAATGTAATAATTTATTTATATAATAGTTTTAATTTAATTAATTTTCTATTGATTATAGTACTATAGATATTATATAATTACCGACAAAGTTGACAGTAGGTATCATCCAATTGAAATATAGGGCACCGGCTATGTATGTATGGCCAATGATTATCCATATGATTGACAACACTTTAAGACCGTTAATAAATTTCAAATTATGACTATCTTTTGGTTGGGAACCGGTAGATGATAATGAACTACTTTTATCAGTAGTATTATTGGTACGGAAAAATATTTGCCAATTATTCAAAATTGAAAAACATTTTGATAATTTAATCCAAAAATTATCCAAAATTTCTATTTTATTACTTTTCTTCATATTGTTTATGTAAATAATGTCAATACTAGTAGCGATTAGTGATGTCGACAAAAATATCATAAGTATTGTAATGGATATATAATGAGTATTATTAGTTAATTGTTTTATAATTGTTTGGTGAAACAATTTTGTTTGACAATTATCTAGAGTTATGTTTACTGATAGTGATCCAAAAACTGCAAAATAATTAAATTTGTTAAAAACTTTTAAAATATATTTTTAAAAATATTTTAATATATTATAGACATGATTATCATATTTGCTAATTACTAGAATATTTAAAATATTTTTTTTATATAAATTTTTGTTGAATTAAATATATGATGTGTACAGTACTTACATAATTTAATAATAGTAATTATATCATTTTGTTGGCAATTGTTTGGCACACAAATGCCATTCATAATTGAAAAATAATAAAAATTATATAATTTTTCTTTTAGCTGTTTATCGATCCAAGTGTTTTGCCATTGACTGCCATTCAATGAAATGATTGTATCGTCCAATTTGATGACCGATTTTTTTTCGGGCAAATATGGCCTCAAATTTAGCAAACAGTATTGGCCAACAATTTCAGCATCAGCCGATTGATGACCCGACTGAACTGCTAGACACTGGTCATAGTCGCCAAGTGCTGTCAGTGTACCACTCATTAGGCCCGACGGTAAGTGTCCGTTAGAGTCAATCACTAAAATTACAAAAAAAACATAAATTTTTATGTAACAAATATTTATTAAATATGTAAATCTATTTATTTTACAATGAATATATTTTTTATGAATTAAAGTTATTATATTTGTAAAAAAATAAATAATAATTGTTTTTTATATACAAACTTTGAAAAATCCACTTTTCATTGTTAATAAAAGCACTGTACGATTTGGCCAAACCTGTCATACATTCAGTGGATATGTTAGCCAAAAGTATACGGTCGACAACTATCGGTATCATATCGTTGCTAACAATATTATACACTTCTCTAATTGTGTCTAATATTGATATTAATTTTTGATCTACACTTAGATCATTGATACTATTGTTGACATTATTATCTTTATTAAGCAAATTCAATATTTGCTGAATAGTTGATGTATTTTTCAAATTAATGTCATTATCAAGACTATAATCATTATCATCTAATAAACTATTATCAACATTATCATCATTAGTATTGTTTTCCTCATTAGTATTGTTTATAATCAAAATAGTATCAATATAATCATCAATTGAAGTTAAACTATTATTATTAGTAGTATTATTATTATAAGATTTTTCAATAAAAGTATTATTATTGTTGTTGTTAAGAGTTACTGTAAAATTAGCACCACATTGATTAATAATATCAATTGATAGTAAAATTAGCAACAATTTTAATTTATACATCATTTTAATTTGTTATTTAATTATTTATATATTTAATTAAATTAATTCATTATTTAAGCTATAATATTATAATACAAAATAATATTAAGTTTTCAATTGATGTTCACAGTTATTCAAATAGCTTACACTTACACACAGGTAATAAATACATACAAAAAAGCATATATTTATTAAAAACCATTTATTTTGAGAAAAAATTTAGGCATCTTTAAGAAAAATATGACAAAACTATTGGATAGCAATTATCGCTTTTAACTATCAATAATATTTAAGAGCCCATTGAAACTAATGGCAATAATTAATTAGACTTTTAAAATGTCTTATTAAGTTATATATATATATTTATTGTATATATATGGGGACAGTAAGATCCAAACATAGATATATTAACTGTATGTCACCACAGTGTATGGGTGCAAAAATATGTAGAACAGTAATATGACAGGTGATGGCAGTTTATCTGGTAATAGTTAGTTAGGAAAGGGAGGGGAAAGCAATTTGAAAATCTTCACCACTAAATGTTAAGGTCACTTAAAATTTATAAATAGATGAAACTTTATTGATATTTATAACGTTTGTAATAATAATAATAATACTAATAATAATGTATTAAATAGAGAGGAAAATGTGAGAGTATTTTTAATAAATATAAGTTATATATTTATATTTATATAAATATATATTTAATATTTTTGTTTATTAATGTTTATTTAAGGTAATAAAAATTGAAAAATTAAATACAAGTATAAATAAATATACAATGTTTTCAAATATTATAATTGCTATTTATGTAAAGTTTCAAATAAAACTTATTAATCATAAAGCATAATATTTGTTTTATTATTTGGTGATTACAACAATTATACTAAATATTATGATTATTATTGCATTTAAATACATTATATTTTTCATAAATATTTTTTTAATACATCTAAAAAAACTTTTTTAAATCTAAATATTTTTATTATATAATATTTATATATTAAAATTATATTTGTTATAATTATGTGAAAATTTTCTTTGAAACAGTTTTGAAATTTTTGCTCAATTTTTTAATTTTATTATTTATATTTAATTCATATTATAATTTAGTAGTAGTAGTAGTATATTAAAACATATATCATTTTTTCTATAAATTTAATATCAATATTTACATTAATATGTTTTTACTCATTTAAATTGTTTGTTTGTCTATTTATTTATTTATTTGTTTGATTAAATAACTAATTAAAACTAAACATCGATTTATTGATTTTAAAAACACTAATAATTATTATTACAATAATTGCAATACAATCAGTAATGACATAGAAAAAAACAGATCAATAGTAATAATAATAATAATAATAATAATAATAAATTAATCAATTATTTTTTTGAACCAACTCTTTGGCGATCTTTTCGATGATTTTTTCGCTCATTATTTTGTCGCTGCGATTGTCTATTATTATTATTATTATTGTGTTGTCGCTGATGACCAGCACCTGTATTATTGCCAGCACTGGTATGTTCACTGTTGTCTTGTTTAGTGCAATCGTAGTCGTTATTAGTTATAGCCTTCAGTGCTTTTCTCAATTGTGGCGATTTGTGCGGCCATTGCATTACAAAAGTTGCCCAATTAGTATTGGTGTCGGCATCGGTGGTGCCTATTATAAAATACCGGCGCTGGGCGTCAGTGGTCTGTTTGGTGATGACTGGTGACGATGAAGACGACTGGTCGGCGTTATCCATAAGTTTTTCGATAACAGTACTGTTGGCGCTTAACACTACCGGCGCCTGATTTGGTCGCATCTCTCCGTGTATTAGCCGATAGTTACGTATTTTTATCTCATTTTTGTTGTTATTCACTGGATATATACGAGCTTTCAGTACTGATGGATAGCAAATAAATTATCGGACATTTAATTTGCATAATAATAATAATTTAAATTAATTAAAATTGTTTAATATTTTATATAGGAGCTAATGTATATATATTAATAAATACATATTCAAAAAATTTACTAATATTATAAGAGATAATAAAATATAAATATTATTTTTTATTATTACTAAAATAAATATAAAAGATAAAAATATCCTAAAATTTTAGTAATTATTGATTACTAAAATAATATATTAATAAATAGATTTTTATCACTAAAATATCATTTTAAAAAATTTTTAAATTGCATTTCTATAATATGAAATAAAATTAATAAATCTATAAAATAATGAATTTATAGATAACTTACTCCATTGTGATCGACAAAAGTTTGTAATGACATCATTGTAGAGCTGGCGCTGACTATCACTCCATTTCCTAATCGGCGGTCTATCCGTATTAACCGACATCTCATTATTGTTATCGACACGACTAGCATCCAAGTTTGGCTGCACCTGTAGATGTCCGACTTGTGGTTCATATACTGTCACTTTGTGAGCGCCGGTAGTCGATTGTCGCTGACTGTTGCTGTTGTTGTCGTCCACAATATCAACATTATGGTTACGTCTCTTATGTTTGCCATTGCCTTTATTACGATGAGAGCTGCCAGGCTTACGATGATGTTTGACCTCCTGGTGCTGGTCAGAGCTGGTCACCACACGATTGTTGTTATGATTTGAACTTCTATCGGATGTTTGCGACACCAGTGGCGGTGCGGCGGCGGCTACCGATTGTTGTCGGCCATGTTGTGCCTGAATACACATATCGTTGTCGATGGGAAACTGGTCGCACTTTACGATCGTAGGCCACGAGTAGCCATAGTTCAACATTACCCGTTCGCACGCTGTTTGCACTGTTTGACAGAGTGACCGACACGGAGGTATCGGATGATCTAAACAACTGTCAAATTAATAGATTATTATATATTTTTTTGGTAAATAAATATCATTTATAATCCTATAATTTTTAGGGCAATGAGTAATTGTCGATAAGATTATATGAGGATATTATTTTTAATATAATTATTGTATATATTATAGTATATATATACAGCTTTGATATAATTAATTTATGTTAATATTATACAAATTAAAATTGAGATTAGCATTGAATGTCTTTAATAACATTTTTATAATATTTAGTACTAATAGGATTTAATTAATTAATTATATTTTATCATAAATTATAATAATTAATCAATATTATTTTATGCAAGTTTAATAAATAGCTTTTAAATTGATTACACTATATAATATAATATTAATTAATATAAATACTATATAATATGCAAAATACTAAAATACTATTATAAAATGAATTTATTTAATATAAAAAAATAAAATTAATAAATAATTATATTATTTTTTTCAAGACATACACTGGACTGAATAGAGAGCACAGAAACAGTTTGGTGTCGGGATGACAGTCCAACTGAGACAATGGTATCCAACTTTTTGCCTGTTCAGACACTTCACGTAGTGTGTCGTGATTTAATAGGTTAGGTAAACGCATTTTTGTGTAACCAATTCCCTGACATAGTGTCACATTTGACGGTATGTCCACACATACTGCGGCACCGTTTTGCTGGGAGTCTCTAATAAAAGTAATTATTATTATTATTATTAAGAAAATATGTATATAATAATGTTTTATATGTATTTAATTATAATAATAATCAATTATTAAATTTAGTTTATAAACATCTATGAAAATAAGTTATTAAAAATAATTGTATATGCTTTCACTAAACATTACTAAATATACATAACAAATATAATATCCAAAAAATTTTAAGAGTAGTCAAAGATAAATAATATTTTAATAAATTATTTTATAATATTAAATAATAAATATTATAATGTTAATATTTTTAAAAAAAATCAAACTGCATTCATATAATGTATAAAATATATAAATTATAAATGTAATATTAATATATATAAATATAAATATTTTGATTTATAATATATATTAAGTAATCTTTTATTACAAAAAGTAAAAAATGCTAATTTAATTGATGATTAAACAAAAATTTATAAATATTTTGAAACAAAATTATAATATTTTATTTGGAATTTTCAAACTATTAATAAAACATTTAAAATATATAATCAAAATAAACATAGATTTTTGGGATAACTTCAATATTGAATATAAATTATTTATTTAATTGTCAGTAAAATAATGTATTACTTGATTTGTCAGCAAAAGTGATAAAGAAATTATTATTATTATTATTGAGTGGGAAGTGATTTATGATGAGTGAGTGAATGAGTGAGTGAGTGAGTGAGTGAGTTAGATAGATAGATAGATAGATAGATAGATAGATAGATAGATAGATAGATAGATAGATAGATAGATAGATAGATAGAGAGATAGATAGATAGAGAGATAGATAGATAGATAGATAGATAGATAGATAGATAGATAGATAGATAGATAGATAGATAGAGAGAGAGAGAGAGAGAGAGAGAGAGAGTAAAGTGATTAATATATATTTTTCTATCAATTGACAGTTCATATTAAATCTAACTGTAAATCTTTTTTAATATTGTCAAACAAAATATACAAATAAAACAGTTATTTATTTACACAAAGTTTTTTATTATTATATATTTTGTTTGCTAAGCATTTTCACACTAATTTTAAGTTGATTTTTGTTATAAAAAATAAGTTCATATAAAAATCAAAATAATAAATCAATACTTCTATTTTGCAACTATTGTAAAAAATAACATTTTAAAAAGTTTAGTCAATTTTTTTTATTTCATTTGTAAATATTTGTATATTTTACTACATTTTTTTATTAATATTGTATTTAATATTTAATATGTACAAAATAATGACATTATTATTATTATTAAAATAGTGTAAATCATTTTTTTTAATTTAAAAATAATCTTATTAAAAGTAATGATAAAAAATTAATAATGCATAATTAACTAATAAACAAATATAATATTTAAAACTTATGCTAATTAGTTTTGTTTATGTAGCATTAGTACTAAGCTATTTATAATTATAAAATTATATTTTATATTTATATGTTTTACTGAATAATTAATAAGAAATAATTATATAAAGTTATATATAGTATTAATTTTGTTATTAAAAAAAATATATGTAAAATAATAAAAATGTAATTTAGATAAAATTTATAATTTTATAATATAAAAACTATAAATAATAACAATTACATTATTATTAATCTAGTATACCGTATATGACTAAACAAACATAAAGTAAAACTAATTTATATTTCTATTGTATTTCTATATAAATATAATAGTATACTGTATATTATTAAATCATACAAACGACATACCTGTGCCAATGGGATGTTGATTCCAAATTAGGATCGTTAGCCCATTGAAATGTATTGGCTCTGACCAGGATTATTGTGTTAATAAGTAGACACAATAATATATATACTAAATCTAAAAATTTACAATTTGCCATTGAATGATGATTTAGCAAATAATTTAAATTAATATTATATAAACAAATATAGGGTTTATCTTAATTTTTTATGTCGAATGTGTTGAATATTATCAAATATTTATTATTTATAGATATATAAATATATATATATTTAAAAATGTTTAATTAACACATATACAAATAACATTTATAAATATATAAACACAATAAATAATCAGCAGGAAATTAATATATATATATATTTGTATTTATATATTTACAGTATATATATATATATATATGTATAGAAATATTGATATTGAAAATTTTAAGATATTATATTTTTAAAAATTGATTTTATTTTATTTAATCAATTTAATAGTCAATAATTATTAGTTTATGATCAAAAATTTTAGATTTTAATATTACAGGTTTGATAACTTATAATTTTTTTGCTGACAAATTATGAAATATTAAACAATTAAATATATATTATATTAATAATTATTTCACACAACACTTGATAGTAAATTTGTTTTCAAAAAAAAAATGTTATTAACTTTTTTCTTATTAAATTAAGTTATATATATTAAGTATTTTATTATAATGTACTTTTATATTATACATAAGTTATTTAATATACATTAAGATTATTAAACAATTATTTCACACATAATGATTACAAAAATTTTTTTCTATCTTTCTCTATATTTACACAACACAAATGCAAATACTGTTATTAAATATATAATATATTTACAGCACACAAATTGACTGATTATAAAACTTATGTTTATATAGATATGATTTTGTTGTCTCTCTTTCAAGTAAAGTGTTATATGAAAAGTGTATTTAATAAGTGAGAAATTGTTAGAAAGAAAGATATAGACAGACACTGGAGAATAGTGATAGTGAATAGCAAACACACCATACAGTTTTGGTACTGCCTGTCTATGAACTGCCTGTGCTGTGTGTGTGTGTGTGTGTGTGTGTGTGTGTGTGTGTGTGTGTGTGTGTGTGTGCCTGAGATTATGCTCAACAACTGTTGCTTAGGAGAGAAGTATACTTAGGAAGAGAGAGAGAGAGAGAGAGAGAGAGAGAGAGAGAGAGAGAGAGAGAGAGAGAGAGAGAGCACTGACTAACAGTAAATCAATCTCTGATTGGGAACTACTGGAGGATGTGGTGATGAGATTGTGATGAATAGAGATGTATAGTATGTATAGCACTGTCAAACAGTAAGTGACACTTTTCCAACTATATATAATATATATCAATATACTGTGTATTTATAGTGTATTTATTTTATTTTATATATTTAAATCGATATTTTTTCAAAAAATAATTTTTTTTATATTGAATATATAAAACTATTGTGAATTTTGAAATTTATATAGATATAGTGTATTTATATTTATTTAAAATTATATATAAAAATAAATATTGTACAAATAATAGACAATATATATATATATATATATATGTTAAATAATCTTACATAATTCAAAAATATAATAAAAAGATAAATCAACTAGCTTAATTGAAATTTAATAATATGATTGATAAATTAAATTTTAAAATCTCCCCCGGATTTTATTTCTATTGTAATTATATTATCATTTTCAGTCAACAAATTTGCTTTTTTTATTATTTTTATGGATTATATATTAGCTTAAATAAACACTATTATATTTTTATAAAAATATACTGTATATTATAATAATGTATAATCCATACTTGATTATTAAATGTTTACACAATAAAACCCTTACACTAAATATACTACTGTATGGCATACAATACAATAATGGATAGTACTGTATATCAGTGCACTACACACACACACATACAGACAATCTACCAGTGCTTATAAAACTTAATAAATTATAGGAAAACAGTGTGCAAATAAATCTCTCGAAAAACACATACACATAGAGTCAACTAGTGTAGAGAAAATGCATGTATAATGTCTTTTAATAGTGAAATGTTGTGATAAATCGATTTTTTCACTTAAAAACCTGGAGTTCCTCTTTAAGGCTCACTCTCTCTGGTACTTCACAGTACCAGCACTAGTATAGATCACTCCATATGATTAATTCAACCATCACTCGCAACAATCTCAGGAATAGACAAACACACTGTTGTTATCGCAGTTAACAAATCTATTTTTTCAAACATCAGACCTAATATTCCCATCACTTTTCGTATGGCATAGCTTTCTCTCTCCATATGAGAGAGAGTGAGAGAGAGAGAGAGAGAGAACAATCAGTTACTACTCTACACACACACACACATATATATATATATATATATATATATATATATATATATATATATATATATATATTTGTAGTGATGTTTTCAATAATAATAAAAATAAGAACAATATTGAAGTGCTTTTCATATAAAATCTGTTTATTTTTGACCTCAAAGAGCTTATATACCAAACATATTGTGTGTGTGTGTGTGTGTGTGTGTGTGTGTTGTCTCCCAATTGTTTGTTGAGTACAAACAGCTAAATAATAATAATAATAAAGTACTGCAACTCATGCATACATAGAAAAATAGAGAGATAGATATAGATAGAAGCTGTGCTGACACTGGGAGGTCAGGCATATAATCCAGTGCACTGTTAGTTAGACTTTTTGTTACTAAAACTTTGATAATATCACAATCCTATGAATTTCTCACTACTCATATAATATACTGTATATATAGAAGTTAAACAAACAATACAAAGATTCACTGACTATTTATTCATCAAAATATTCATTGCTTTTGGCAAATATCACACAATATTACTGTTCACTTAATATCAAAGAGATAATAAACGTTTGGTTCTAAACTCATAGAATCTAAACTCATTTTATCCAAAGAGAAAATATTTAATATTATTGTCTATTAAATGACATATATATATAGTTATACTAATATAATAAG